AGTATTTTTAGAGATTTTAGAGTTTTCTGTCGGCAATGTGGTGTACATAGACGATAATAACTCATGTACAATAGAACAACAAACTTCTCGTTTCTTCACAACATTTTCCTTGTTAGTACAAGAGTCGTTGTCATGCTCAACTGCTTTGAACATGTCTTCCAAAAGAGGAATTTCATTCAGGGAGCTCTCCAACAGCTCCATAATAAATGTATTATATGAGGAACTGTCACTTCTTGAACCTACTTCGTTCGGTGTAAAAATCGATCGAAGGATAGTAAAGGATAGCCTGGGTAGAGTGGAAATCATGCTTTTTATAGGAGCCATCCAAGCATCATTGAAATCACTTTCTTTCTCATCACATACCATGGAATGAACTTTATCTAATTGCTATAAAAAAAATACAAAAAATAATGTTTTCTTCTGTGCAAATTGAAAATAAGTTAGGGTCAAGTAAAAATGAAAAATTCAAGAACGGCAGTTAGAACTACGTAAAAATATTGTTTAATACAAACAATCACATTTTCTCCGACAAAATTCTTTACAAACCTGTATAAATTGATGAGATACATCAATTTTCTTTAGAAGTAGTAACAACATTCGAAACTCAACAGTTTTCTGTTCTCTTTCCTGTAGTACAACCTATAAAGTATTTATAAAGACCATCTAACTATTGCAAGGATGGAAGGAAGAAAAGATCAGAGGAAAGGATGTTGCATATAATATGGTGTATGTCAGAGATAATGCAGATGGAAATAATCAACATACTTAAATATTTATTAAAAGCAAATACTGTGAGAAATGTATAAGATGAAGATTTTCAAGATCAATACTTGTGAACCGAACACAAAGTGCATCTAAAACAAACTTAGACCACTAATGTCGTTGTTATTTAAACTTATTTGAAATATATTGCGAAAGAGGTGTGTGGGGGGGGGGCTTTTTTGAAAAGTTGCCATGGATTATCCACTCATCATACTTTCCAGTGACCGTGTATGTCATTCCAATGTCGATAGGTTAAATGTAACGGACACATCTATCAGAAATGCAGCTTGATAAGCAATCATTTTCTAACTGAGCGATACCAATGTTGTGGATGAAGCAAAGTAGCTGTTGATTATCCAGGTCAGTAGAGTCTTGAAAAGGACTGTTGGTGTTGGTGTTGGTGTTGGTGTTGACTGACGTTTTGACAACCTAAGCAGAAGTCAACTTCAGAATCAGATGATGACTACCCCTAACGTTGTCGAAGCGTCAGTGAACAACAACAACAAAAACAGTCCTTCTCAGGACTCTACTAAGCTGGACGATCTACATCCACAAACATGTAACGATACTCTCATGTTTTAACATTTACTTTAAAGCACAGTAGAGTAGCCAGCCTGCAGATTTACTCTCACTATATAAATTCTGAAAGATTACTATCGTCCATTTCTTTAGAAATAAATAGTTTTTATGTTCAGTGAACATTAAAATATTTGAATGGCGGGAGTAAAAAGTTGTGCTAAGTACGCTGTGGAAATTCGTTAACACAAATAGGAAGAGAAGTATCCCATTTTCCTCCGAGCTACGGACAGTCATTTCACCAAATTGATAATTTGGGACACACACAAGGTGCTCATACATCACAGTGTTGAGTTTACAACAGCTGATGACCATAACTCAACAATACATTCTTGGCCCATGAAAAGGCCTTGAACATAACAAAATCTTACAAATCCAACATGGGCAGTGTAAACCAACAAAGGCTCTAGAGTAAACACAGCCTAATTGCAGTTGCTTAAAAAATTGCTTAACGAAATTTAGCCTTGAGGAGAAGTTTACTGAGATGCCTTTAAAACTTTTTAACTAGACGTTTTCTAACTTCTTTTAAGAACTGAAACGTTTCTGCAGGTATCTAGGTATTTTTAAATTATAAGCTTTCAACAGTCAATAAGACAAGTACCATACAACATTTAGTCAACAGAGCGTATTTAGTGTGTCAAAACTTGCCAATGTACTACTCTAATTCAGTGATCCGCTGATTGAAAAGAAAATGGACAAGTGTAAATTTTGAAACATTTGCATATCAAACAAGATAGTGCACATAAGTTTATGTGGATTCTGAGTTTTGAAAGAAAAAAAGACACTTATACTGAAGCCTGTATTTTCCTATTAGTTACATTTAAATAAAAATATATAGCATACACATGCTTGTTTCAAGAAAATGTTTTAAACATGGCACTGGTTTCCTTATTCTCTACACCAAATTACAAATACCTTATCACTGAAATCTTGTTGTAACTCCTTTTGGGCAAGCCAAGACAAATGAAATGGTGTTGGAACCGAAATTGATCCATCACTAATGAAACATTCAAATTCAAGATTAGAATACATATAGATAGAGTAAAAATATCTCATACTGTTTAAAATCATATTGAAATCAAATAGATGTTTTCTAACTAATATTTTCATTGTTCAATCAAAATTGATGTCATTGTAAAAAGTTGCCATTAGAAAAAACAATGTTATAATTAGTTACTACTACTATAAATACAATAAACGTGAAGAAATATTTCCTGAAGTGATAATCTTCATAGCTAAATTCTTTTTTATGTTTTTTGTTCAAATCTTTGGTATATGCTGTCAAACACTCCAAGACATACATTAATAATATATCCTTGCTTTTTTCTTGTTTCAAATTACTATGAAATTGCTGAAGATTAGCATCATCATATATCATAATTTAGCAAAAATTGCTTGTTTTGAAAAAATCTGAACACAGTTGCCACCATGCTTTTCTGGTGCAGATGAAAAGAGTTTCATATACAAAGTTTTAAATTGGAAAAATGAAAGCCCGCATAATAACAACAATTATATTTTTTTGATGGAATATTCTTCTGTTCCCATTATGTCAAATTATATACTTAAAAATACATCGCCAAGAGGTGATGTTTCTTGCAAAGCTAAGTACCAGCCTTTCTAGAAATGCCACTGATTCACATATTTTGTTTCATCCATTTTTGAGGAGGGGGCTTTTGAAAATAATTCATAACAGTGAAACTGATATTCTACAATCATTTTGCATCATCTACATGGAAAAAGTTAGTGGAGAAGGAGAGCATGAAAGTTTGTTTGGAGAAAGATGCCATGAACCCAGAAAGATAGGAAATTGGAAATAGAGGTATTTCCCAAAAATTTGCAGGAATCCAGTCGACTCAGTTTATTAGTAAAACTCAGATCAAAAATTGGATGAAATCAAGGGTGACTGGAAAGTTATTAATTTGCATATGTTTAAATTCACATGAAACTTCATAGTGAATCTATACTTTATATCACAACTTGTTTAAATGGCTTTGCAAAAAGTTCAACCTCAGTCTATCACTCTTGATGATCAAATTACATCAAGACAAAAATATGGAATTAAAAACTAGCGGCCAACAGAACCAAATGTCACCACTAGCCAGGTAAAAAAGCTGTTAATATCTGTCACAACATTCATCATATTACCTGTAAAATTGTGACCCTGACGAAATTTCACGCAGTATTTTCGTCAGCTCATCAATAACTCCAGTCAAGTCCTTGCGAAGAATCGTGTGAATACAAGCTCTTGCAAGTTCCCACTGACCCACGCGTATATTATTCAAACAAAACTTTGTCAGAAGTTCAGCTTCCTCTTCCATATGCTTCATTGAAAAATCCATTGAAGCAGCCATGACATTTACATTTTATGTCTCATACCTTTACATCAAAAATACTAAAGTAAATGTGCCATCACTCATTTTTGCTTTCCTAAATTTCCAATCTTGTGATGAACTGTCATCACGAGGTCGAGGATTTGATAAACATAAACAATGAACCTGGAAATTGTTTTGCGGGGGGGTCGCAGGCTTAGGCAAATATTTTTCGAAATAGCTTCCGTAAATGATCTAATAAACGCACGTGGCGCTTATTAAGTTTCAGTTTGGTGAACCACATCCACATAATTGACAATCACAATACTAAGGTTACAGGAACAAGCAAAATGACCAATGGCCTTTTTACATGAAAACTTTACTTCTAAAGATTTTGGTAAATACGCAGTCTACTCCAATTTTGAAGAAAATTTGCCGTAACACAATAGAAACCATCACAAGTAAAGTTGATTTACTACTTAAAAAATTGAAAAAAAGAAAACGCACATCAAAGGGTGTTTGATTAATTTCTGACATATCAAAACTACAAATCTTTACTTCAAAAATTTTTCATCTGAAGAACATTCTATCCGTTTGATGTGGCAAGTAAAAATGGATTTGCTTTGGAAATATAAAAACATCTCCAAGCATTGCTAAAGAATACAAATGATTTAAAATTGTAGCGAGAGACTTGCCGAGCGGAAATCGAATTCGTGTGATAAAAATTAATGCCCAACATAAAGTTCTGATTAGAGCCATAGAAATAGACCAAAAAAAAACGAATTGTAAAGTTAAATTTATTGTGACGTTTCGTCTTTACTCAAAACATCTTCAGACAAATAATAAATAGGATGTTAAGACAAGATATTATATTTACAAATAGGTGTTAAATTACTACTAAAGGAAGCGGTGTCGAATGGATACATGATAAGGAAGTTAGGAAGTAAAATAAAGAGAAATTAAAAGAGGTTAAGTGGAATGGAGTTTCCTTGCACATTAAGTGAAGGCTTGTATTTATTGATTAGAAGGCTTTCATGAAAGCAAGCCTTCACTTAATGTGCAAGGAAACTCCATTCCACTTAACCTCTTTTAATTTCTCTTTATTTTACTTCCTAACTTCCTTATCATGTATCCATTCGACACCGCTTCCTTTAGTAGTAATTTAACACCTATTTGTAAATATAATATCTTGTCTTAACATCCTATTTATTATTTGTCTGAAGATGTCTTGAGTAAAGACGAAACGTCACAATAAATTTAACTTTACAATTCGTTTTTTTTTTGTCTATTTCTATGGCTCTAATCAGAACTTTATGTTGGGCATTAATTTTTATCACACGAATACAAATGATGTTGCAAATGAACAAATTATTTCTTCAATTACTATTGTCCACGTTAGAGAAATGGTTACCATGAAATATCTAGATGGACATTGCATGACTTATAAAATGTCACTAACAATTATCTTTAACGACACGCTGTCTACGAATGATATTGTAGTCACAGATCATGTTTCATCACAAAATAAAAAACTACTGGTGATTTAAACAGTAGATAATTCTATTCGTTCAAAATCACACAAATAGCGAGGGGAGTTTTTAAATGAAAGACTGTGTGAGCAATTTTTTAGTTTCAACTGACCAGCTTTGCTTCAGAGGAAAACAGTAAGATTCGAGCACATAACTTAAGAAACCTCCATAGCAGCTTGCTGGATCTTTTTCTGAAAATCCTGCGATTGAACCTGTTCCAACGTCAACAACGACAGGCCAAGCTGGTCTTCCTTCAAAGAAAATGGAGAAAGTGGGCATTATGAGTTCGATGTATAGCGTACAACATCGTCTCGGCAGTGTAAATTATCTACTGTTAATTACATTTAAAGCAGCCATCACAAAATAAAACGGTAGGTTTGCATAGTGCTGACGTCTTACAACACCAACAACTAAAATTTGTATCATAGGAAAAAGCTGAACTAAAGCTAAAGTCTCCAAAGGATATTTACAACGTTAAAGCATTTACATTCACCAAGAAAATATTGATTTTTTAAGTACACATTTGCTATATAATAGCCTTGAAAAGCCTTTGTATAGCATTTGGCACGATGCGAAAATATGAACTTTAGCTCTTACCCTGTGAAAAGGTTGGGCCATTTGACGCAGGAAATGCTTGGAAACCTAAAAGAGATATTTTTAGCATACATCTGATCTCTTTGAAGAAAGATTGGATCATTGGAGCGTTGGATTAGGAACCTTCATATCATGACAAGTCATCGAAATGTTACAAAATTGACATTGAATAGCACACACATGATCACAATTCTCAAGCGTGTTAAACACGCAAGTCAACATTGAAGTGCATCAATATTTTTTAGCCATATTTCAAAGTGAGAGCATGCAAAGTGGTAATCACGAGTATCTGAAGTTGATTTTCACGACTGTAGGAATTGTTTAAGTAGTGTTTTAGTTCAGCAAAATTTCATTATTGTATATACCTGAACAGCTTCGTCGATAGTCAGGTTACATGCAGAATCTTTCACATATTCCTAAAAATAGCAAATAAACTATAGTCTATAAAATAAGACGTACACGTCTCTAGATGTTTCAAAATCATCACTTAATTTTTCGCAAGAGTTAATTTTCATGACATAGAGAATACGTTTGTAAATGATGATCGTCCAGGTTAATAAAGTCCTGAGAAGGACTGTTTTTGTTGTTGACTGACGTTTCGACAACCTTAGCGGTAGTCATCTTCAGAGTCAAAGAAAAAAAAAAAAAAGTGGGTTCAAACCATTTACTTTACATAGAGAATACATTGAGCGAATCCAACTAATAATCTGGAACCAGAAACAATATAGTGCTTCTATGCATTGGTATCAGCTACGTAAATGGCAGTAGAAGTGACGTCAGTCATAACCAAAATCAAAATTGAAGTAAACTAATGTACAGTTGCATCATAAGTCGATAGAAAGTATTTGTCAGATTAAACAGTCACAAGAAACTACTATGTGTATTAACTGACAATAAACAACACGATCATGATTACCTGAATCCATTTGGGTAATTTACCCCGTTTATCCATCTTTGCAAATCTCTGAAAGGAGCGAATGCATATTTAAAAATGTGGACTAAATTTACTTGATCAGCTCAATTAGATTTTAACTTTAAAACTTTTAGGAGTTGAGCTGACACAGAACACCCATTAACTCATATTGCATGTGAGGAATTCTTTGCGATATTTAATGAAAGTTTCGCTGCTTATAAGTTAAAACTTCGGAAAATAAAATTTTACGTTTTAAAGTCGAGATATTGTGGACCTCATTCATACATGATGAATTCTAAACAACCATCTGATAAAATAAAAGAGTTCTCAACAAATGATAGTTTAAGGAAATCGTGCAGTCTAGTGGTTGAAATATGAAAATTAAAACCCTTTAAAATTACTGATAATCTAACACAAGAACTAAAAATCACCGATTGAACATACTGATTGAAGAAAAATACAATACATTTTAAGGGAGTTTTAAACTAATTTCACGATACCTTATCAGCAAACACCATAATTCCATAGTCAGTTTTGCCACGAATAGCACGACCAACACACTGTTGAAATTATCATTATTCTTTAGCTATGTTACTGGTTATTGAAAGTACGAAACAACAGAATTACAAAGCTCTACAGACACAACTGTTTATACGATAAACGAAAATGATACACATGCATTAATATAGTTGATCGAACCAGTTTTGAAAAACAATGTACTCACAACTCGTTTTGATTAACTGTCATTCATTGAACCGTTTATACTGTTGATTACTACCAACATTTAGGTTTAAAATTTGGGATTTTGGCAAAGACATTGTAATAATTTTATAATTACCTGAGCAGCGTGTCTCATTGCATCAAATGTGAGAAAATCATTTTCTCGAATATTAAATTGGTCTCTCAAATATTCCAACCTTGCCTGTAGAAAAACATATATACTAGAGATGAAAATGCATCGAACCACTAGACTGTTGATCCTAACAGGAATATGTTTAGTTTCCATAAAATTTTCATGAATGTTGTCCACTATATTTTACAGCAGTTGATACAATATTTTTTACTTTTACGTGACGGTTCATCGTATAAAAGATTCTGTTTTCAAATTTTACTTCTATATCGGATACCTAACATGCATATCAACATGCCTGGAATTTAATTTCGGAGACAGAAAAATGGATTAAATTAGTTACGTTGACAAAAGATTCCTACTTGAAATAACAATTAACCTTTACAAAAAATGTCAAACGAGAAGAAAACATCATGCTGTAATTCACAAATGAATACGACAGAACCATTTCGTTTTCATGTTTGAAGAAAAATTGTAACTATGACGTCATTTAGGTTTTAAACTCGCATTGAAATAAGAACACATATGTTATACAGTAAAAATAACAAACCTTGAGAATTCTGCTTTGTGTGTACACGTATGGAATGCCAAACATTATAACGGCACGGCCAAGATGATGATCTGTGAAATAGAAATTAAAACTGACACTAATCATGTGTTTTGAGCCTGCAAGTAATCTAAGAAAAACCATTCAAAACTGGATTTTTTTTAGCTGTTATTCAAAGCTTGTTCTGAGTCCTGCAATATTGCATTAACCTACCAAAATCAATTCCTTCGGAAACTTTACCACGAGCAACAGATAACAAAATAGCTCCCGTCCATTTTCACATGCCTGACAAGAGTTGAGAGATAATTGCAAACGAATAATCACGAAAAAATCTTTTAATTTATTTCTAGGAATTTTTAAAATCTCACAAAGAAAATTATTCAGTCTGATCGCGTGTCGAAAAAAATAGCAAATTGAGCTGTAAAGCATGGCTTTTTATTTTAGTAAATGATCTTATTACCATGCATGTATATTTTTTTCGAAACATAAAGCCTAGTATAAGTTTGCCTTGCATCTCATATATATTAAATTACATAAACGTCATGCTCACCATTTGATAATTGTGTAAAGCAAGACTAGTTTCCGCAGAATCTTGAGTTTCAATAAACAATAATTTGTTCTTTTGGATATTTCCAATAATTCCCTGCAAAAAGTTTTTCATTAGTCTACAATTCTCTGTTGTTCATCAAGTGTTTGGTCTTTGAAGCACAGAAAAATTGTGGGATTTCATTAAAATGCTAGCTTTTTCGCAAAAACTAAGGAATGACACAAATAAAAACTTTAAATTATTGACCACAATAATGTATGTGGGTTTTCAGCAACTTTTGAACGATCTTCACAAACAAAAATCATTTTGAACGATCTTCACAAACAAAAATCATTTTGAACGATCTTCACAAACAAAAATCATTTTGAACGATCTTCACAAACAAAAATCATTTTGAACGATCTTCACAAACAAAAATCATTTTGAACGATCTTCACAAACAAAAATCATTTTGAACGATCTTCACAAACAAAAATCACTTTGAACGATCTTCACAAACAAAAATCATTTTGAACGATCTTCACAAACAAAAATCATTTTGAACGATCTTCACAAAAATCATTTTGAACGATCTTCACAAACAAAATCATTTTGAACGATCTTCACAAACAAAATCATTTTGAACGATCTTCACAAACAAAAATCATTTTGAACGATCTTCACAAACAAAAATCATTTTGAACGATCTTCACAAACAAAAATCATTTTGAACGATCTTCACAAACAAAAATCACTGCTAATAAGATTAATAAAAGCACTGAAATGTACTCCAAGAACTCGGAACAATGACTTTATGACTGATTAGAGAAAACTATAGCCATCAGCCATTTATCAACATAACACAATGTTTCAAAGAAGAAGAACTAAAATAGGCTTATGTAGTTGCAATTTGGTAGAAAATAAATAGGAAAATGTGAAATAAATTACAGCATTTATAAATGCATAAATTACAGATAGTCAAGAATTAAGTTTCTTTGAAGATAAAACTCTAACTATTATTTTTCTTATAAATTACAAATTTGACATTTTGACAACAGTTATCAAAATAAATGAAGCAAAGCATGAAAAAAAAATTGGGAATTTATTAAAGAGTACATTTGGGAAGGAGTGCAAAGGTATACTGCAATAATTTGGAAAAATTGTAGAGGCAAGAGCATATGGACATGGCGTATAAAATTCTGACAAATTTATATTTTTGCGAACTCATCACAATACTTTAAAATATTTTAATTTTTAAATTAACCTGATCATTCCAAGCGGATACAACAGTTTCCTGAAAAGATTGCAAAAGACAAAAGTAAAATTCGAGGAAAAAGCATTACAATACAATAATTTAAATGTTTGACTTCTTGTTTTCACAAATGAATCATATTACAACAGGCATACTCTTTAACACCTTCAGGTACTTCATTTGAGTAAACATCCCATAAAACAAACATAAGACTTTAACATAAATTCACGTTTGAAATGGCGATTGAGGTTCCAAAATTCCATTCTTTAAATTATAAACGTAAGCGAGTGATACGAAAGAATGTTTTATGCAGTGCGGTGTTTGAAATTAAATGTAGATATGATCTTCGCACTTTGTTGGACAATTTTAAGCAATTGTCTCATGAACCTGAAAAATTCCTATCTACATTTAAGTAAGCGAGTGATATAAAAAACCCAATTCATGATGTAATTAAGAGAATCATGATAAGAGTTTAGAGAGAAGATAAGACTCACCATGTAATGATAACTAGGAAAGAAACAAACCACTCCATCGGGAACTGCAGATGAAAATTCTGCAAGTAAAATGCCGTAGTTTCGTATCACAGCTGAAAAAAAAACCCAACAAAGTCATAAAATTCTAAGATGTTTCGATTCCAAAATCCTCAACGCGCAACACAATTAAAGATGTAGTCATTGTGTAGCTTTGTTTAGCAAGCTATAGTATTTTACCATTCTTTACTGAAATTTAACATCTTTATGAAACACATGCTTGAAAATGATGCATAAAGTTGCATCAAAATATTGATAAATAAATTTATATTTGTAAATCAGAGTGATACGTTGTTAAATTAAAACACTTTAAATCGTCCAACTTTTGTCTTTCAATATTTGTAATTCTTTGGTGAAATTCTAAATAGCAAACAACTTGAGCGGACATCTATGTCATATTGGAAGATGGAAAAAGGTGCGCATCCCTCTTGAGTTCAGAACTTTTTATTGCTTGTTATATATAAACATATTTTTTATAGCAAATAACGCACACTTCTTTGGATGATATCCTGGATCCACGTTTACAATTATTATGAAGTACTCACCCATATCTTCTCTTGTTTCATATTTTGAAGAGATAACAACTTGGTCATTGCCACGGCTCACAATCTAAAAAGAAATTTGAAGTTTAAACTAAATATTAAGAACAATGTTTTTCTATTGCAACAAGCCTCGAAATCAATGAAGAATGATTCTGGCATTATTCTTCATTGCTGCAAATTAAAATACAAAACAGTTCACTACTAAACATGCAAACAATGTGTATGTCGTAAGGTTGAATGTTCTATCAATGAAATGCAACGAATGTAAAACATGGGTTTAAACTGCTTAAGACTGTGGCACCAAGAGAAATTCTTTGTGTGTTAGGAAAAATAATTCGCCTATCTCCAAACTCGTCAGAAAATGATATACTCGGGAAAACTCTAAAGATCATAACTAATTATTTGCCAAATTATGATGTTATATGTCATTAGACCAGGATAGACAATCGACATACCAGAGGGCAAACACAAGTTCTGCTCAGAGTCATTGTAAAGGTCGCCATAGTAACAGGGTTGAAGTCCAGCATCTTTGGATACATATCGACCGGTGACAGCGTCTAAAAATGCCATTATACAAGCCAATTTAATACACACTTCGTATATCCCTGAACAAAGTTAAATCTTGAAATCCATGATTAGAGCCTCACAACCAAGAACCAATAGATTTGAAGTGCTTAAAACAATTTGCAAGCGTAAAAAGTTCCGTTAAGTGTTTAAATGCTAAATGTGGGTACTTAATTTTCCCACTTTGTAATGAAATCAGCTGATATAGTATCTCTTGCAGCCATTCCGACCGCTGTTTTAATATTACTTCTTTCAATCATTACTTCAATATATGCTTTCTTCTATGATCATAAAAGTTAAATACAACAGTTCTTACACCCGATGTGATCACCACTGATTGAAATCGGTCAAAAACTGGTTTAACAGCAATTGAAGCATCCATGCAACTGTAATAACATAAACACAATAAGGTAAATAAACTATAAAATGTAGAGTATTTTGTTTAAACATTTGACTACATGAGCGATTTAGGCTAGAGAACGAGACAACCATAAAATAAAAGAAAACTAACTTTCTATAAATTTACATTTAAATTTTGAAAGCGAGCTAATCTTTACTAAAAGAAACAATAGACGATCGAACTCTTACGACCGAAGGAAACTTAAGCTCTTAAGGAGACGTAATATGTTTAAAATTTATTCAAGTCAAACTATTCAGGTTTCTAAGAATTGTAGCAAATGCATTAATATTCTAATCCCCGTCCACATAAGACATTAGTTTCAATAAGCTAAAGGCATCCGCATAATATCGTATTGTAGTTAGGTTTGTGTTTTTTCTTTACACACTATAAAATTGGTGAATACACAGTGAAATTTTAATTGCAACATCGAATAAATAAATAAAGTTTACCTTAAATGTAATATTGGATTAGGTATGGTTGGAGTACGATCATCAAATGGTTCAATGATCAAAATAAACCCTGAAAATAAACTTCGAAGTTATGTTTACAAGTATTAATATTCTAAAACACTTTCCGAGAAATACAAGGCTTAAGTTAGATTGGTAGCAGCATCTACGAAATATTTTGAGTTGTGAGATGGAACTTGACGATCAAAAACCAAAAACCAAAAGAAAAACTAGGGAACCAAGAATATTGCAACGTTTCGAAAGAGCACTGCCTTTTGACTAATTTAACTCAACCATAAAATACTTTTTACATTCCTCCTTTAACAAAAATTTCATTTTGATTTATGTATCATTCGTAACTAAACCTAACATACAAGCTGTTGCCTAAATAACACTTGCTGTTTTGTTCTTCACGGTTTAAATATAAGAGATTTTCCTTTTGTCAAACGGTTTAAATGGTTATGTATTGCCTACTTTGCTTTTACGCATGGTCGAGACAAGCAAAGCCGATAATGGTCAATGAGGTAACGAGTTTCAAAATACATTTGTTGACGAAGACAGACAACGTGCCAATGATATATGATTGTAAACTTGCACAGTTCATACAACCATCAGCTTTCCTTGTCTCATTTAGTGAGACAAGGAAAGAGAAATAATTGAGTCTTCCAAGTTTTTACAAAGATAACATTTAATAATTCAACTGTCCAAAATAAAAACCACCAACAAAAGGAATTAAAAATATCGTTATGGTTTTTGTTTGCATTTAGAAATCTTTTAAAAAGGTCGCCATTTAACTATGTTCAATGGTGAATCCACGGTTAGTGACAAAATGAATCATCGCAACTAATTTTCCATTCAAAAATCTTCTAACCTTTCGAATACGTACTGACAAGGGTCGCAAAACTAGCAATAAGTCGTAAAGGTCCATAGTCTGCGATATCGGGAAGTTCAAGCGTGTAGAGGAGGGAACGCAATCTTTCTGAACAAAATCTACAAAATAGAAAAAACATTACAGTGTTATACTCCTTAAACTGCTCATATGTAATGAAATAATTAGTTAAAATGACCAATAAAATTTGAATAAATGTACAATGGCATTTAATAGTAGCTATTATTTACAATTCTCTTGTTCTTGTTTTTCAAAATTGTAAAGCATTTTTATAAAAAGAGGAAAACTGCTGAGGATGCATAGAGGATTTAATATGCAGGTAACTAACAAACAAAACGTTTGATATTAAATTAAAATAAATTATTTCCGAATTTTTAAGATTAATTATCTTTGATGCTTTTCCATCTCCCCATAGTGAAGAATTTTAAAATTATCGTTACGTTTAACCTGTACACTTCCTTGGTAATACGAAGTAATTTTATAAAAAAATTTGTATCGCTGTTTATATTAACTATAGCGCTTCTCACAAAGTAAAAGCGATATTTTCATTAATAATAACTATCCTTAATAAAGTAAAACATCATTCAGAATTTAGTAACCTTTGGAAATAGCATGTTCTTAGACCATTAGCTTGTTCATCGCAGCATTCCATCTAACGAAATTGACTTAAGCTTCATTTGTTTGAATTTGTTAAGTTTCGTATTTACCCACATGTACGCAACGTACCTATTTTTAATGTGTTCACATACAAGAGCAATTGCAGCTCGGTGAGTAATGTGAAAACATATGATCACTTTCAGTAAAAGAAACCTGCTGTTGGAGTGTATGGAAAAACATTTTTCTGTCCGCTTATTGCTTATCAACACGCTTCTTGACAAGCTTCAAAATAGTGTATTAGCGTTTTCGTATTCTGTAGTTGCTATGTGGCGTCATATTATATGCCACGCCTTGAAGACCAAGTTACGTGAATAAAATGCATTCATATGAAGAACGGTAATTTATCTGGATGGAGACTAACCTCAATGGTTTTCTTTCTATACAAACTTGTTGATAAATATGTTGCAGGAAGGAAAGAGGTGTTTCAGACACAACATGATGAATACGTAATCTGGTCTATAACATATGGAGATATTTCGTTGCAATCACTTCAAAACATTAACGAAAACTTAAAATAAGTTCACACATAAGCTAAATATAGACAAAAGATGACTACATTAAATCCTGAATGTTTAAAGCAAGTTGTTGAGGCATTTTTAGTGTTTATAAAACACCAGTAATTAACTAGAATATAATTTATAAAATAAAAACAATGAAACGCGTGCGATAATTGGTCTAGAGCCGTGTTTCCATTAGCCTGTGCAAAACACATCTGAGCTCAACCAATGAAATCAATCAAAACAGTCAATCAGTCAAAGAGAATTTGCAAATCGATCATGAATACATTTTAGAGGAAAAATTAAAATGTTTGTCTTTTTCGCATTGTTATTTTACAAAAGAAATAAAAAAAATTTTTCGTGTTTGCACAGGCTTATGCAAGCCTCGGAGACGTTTGTGAGAACTTTCGAGTGTGTGCAACTCTCGAACTTCGGTCTCGGGCTTGCACTGATCTGCTCTCGAGTTCTCCCAAAGGTCTCCTCGGTTTGCATAAGCCCGTGCAAACACAGTAAACATCTTTTATTTCTTAAATAAAGCGACCAAAATGGTAAATACGACACTGCAACGTTTCAATGATTTCCTTGATGAGGTAGTGTCTTATCAAGTTTTCCAACAATGATATATGAAATGTATTTTTAGTGATGAAGACACTCTCTTGAATTTAAACACCACTCCTTTATAGTTGAATTTTAAACGCAAGAAGATAAGTAATTCCGACATAAGACTACAAACTATGTACCTTCAGGTATTCAATAAGCAATGTTTAAATTTTATATCTTCAGGTATTCAATGAACCATCTTTTAATTTTATACCTTCAGGTATTCAATGAGTCTCCTCATAAACCCAACATAATGTTCAGCTTGACGAATGTTTCCCGGTATTGCCTCTAAACACGAGGACGAGAAAAATGAATAAAGTGCCTACTAGCATGAGACGTCATGGCAACTAAGTTGGAACGTAGAGGTTATCATAACTTTAGGCAACTTTAGGATGGCTTAATACATGTAAATAATACAATATACAAACACAAATGAATTATGTGTTCAACTAAAATTTCGTACATAAAACCACTATGTGGAAAAAAAATTGCATCAACTATTCATCGCAGCATTCCATCTCGTGAAATTGACTAGAGCTCCATTTGTTTGAATTTGTTACCTTGCAAGACGTCATCCGGAAGAACTGAATGGAAATACAATGAACTACGAGTTAATAAGAACTGCAATGTTCAAATTCCAACAAATAGTAAGTATACCTGGATTGGCCAATATTTGGTCTGTTTCTCGTGCCACGTTTGCTTCGCGTAAACCTTCAAAAATCGTTTACATGCAAATTATTCAATTATTACATACAGTACGAGAAAATGTCCATCAGTACTGGCTGCATCGCTGTCGTTTTCACGAAATTATTCGAAAGAATGTTACATTGTAATCTGTATTCTGTTCGTTATTAACAATACAATTTAGAAACATACAGGCAACTGCTCATTGTGATGTGCGAAGACTGGTTCATATACTACAGATTCAAAGACTGCCTTTTGACTCGTAATTTGAGTCAGCCATAAAATTTTTTCATGCATCACACATCAAAGAATATCAGTAGACCAATACACCATCACTATCACACCAAAATAAAATGTGTGACAACAGTATTAAAACAGGATAAACATTAAAAATATATACAAAATACCTTCAACAAGTTGATTGTATTCTTCCCGCAATCTTGCAGTATCTGAGATTTTCAAGCTGTGAAACAAAAACATACAACATCACTGTTATATTTTGCAACTGTTGTAATGTCACGCACTATAATGTAATCCAGGACTGTAGCCACCAGGAGGTGTGGGTAGAGTGTGAATTGTTGTGGATGGGACCGCTATCTGCGATAGCTGCAACTTTTTTAATAAAATACTTAGTCGAATGAGTCGTATTGAGAAATGACAAATGAAATTTGTGCACGAAAAACAAGGTCACGACTTACTCGTTTATAGTCTTTGCAAGAGATTCCACATTATTGTGCGCTCGTTCGAGAGCACGTCGGGTAATAGTTACACTCATTGACTCAATACAAACATTATCTGAAAGTAAAGCCACGACAAATCAAACAGGGCAAATCACAGAACTGTTAATAAATTCATATTTACCTATATTATGGGCTTCGTCAAATACCACAACAGCCGACCTGGGCAGTCCTTTTGACACCAAATCAGCAATTTTAGGATCAAGTAAATAATGATAACTGTATACAATCACATTGGCATAATAGATCTAAAATAATGAAATATTTTCAAACTGATCACATAAGATTAAATAAATTTTTCAACTATTCTTGAGTTTCTATCAAGCTCCAAGGGACAGTGGCGCAGTCAGAATTTTATCACAAGGAAGGCCAGTCAAAAAGGGAAGGGGGGCCATAACATTCGTTAAAAAATATAATATATGTAAAACATAACATTTTAGCGGGGGGAGGAGGGCAAAATTTTGTCAGGGGGACCTTCCCTCCTCCCTCTTGCTACGTCACTACTCCAGGGTTTTAAAAAATAATAATATAGGACATCCAACATGGCTGACGAAAAACCCAAGAATTCTACGATTCGGAAAAACTCACACTGCAATTATTTGGAGTGTCCATCTCCAAAAATTCACAAAATTTCACAATAAAGATTTCTTCATGCCAAAGTTTTGGAAGCAATTGTATTTATCACGAAAGTGGTCAAAATTTCTAACTTAAACTTACTAAAGGCTAGCGTGCCGATCTTCCCTAGTAAAAAAGTGCACCGTTTATTGTTACAATGGAGTTGTTTTCAAATAGAATTATAACTCTTGCTCTGGTGCACAACAGAACCATGTCTTTAGCTTTATTTTGACCGATGCACTTCAAAAATAATACTATACGTCAACCAAAGTGTTATGTAAAGTTAACAACAATCTTGAAAGAAACTCAGCTTGCTTCAGGCAATCAAGCAGAAACCTATAACTCATACTGTTTGCTGCTGTTTACGCTGAACGTGGAACTTACGGAGTATCTTGCAAGAAAGTACGGGCACCATCCTTTCTCTCGCCCAACATCTTGTAGATCAGACTAATGTAATTTAAAATTCATATATAATAACAACTCAACCATCAGAACAGAAATTACTGATTGAAAAAACACCTTATAATTTAAATGTATTATAACTTTATATAGGTTAACAAGTATTGTCGTTTTCAACTTTTCTAAATTCATATCATGTACTAGTTATATTACATAGATGGGCTTCGGCTTATCAAAATTGGCGAATAAAATACATTGCAAACTGTGGCCTAGACTGCTCGATAATTGGCGGTGGGGGCATATTCACATACTTATGTTCTGGCGTATTGCGTTCCTTTGAAATCAATTGTTTCCCGCGAACCAACATGTATAGCATGCATATATGAACATTGCCCCCCCCCCCGTTAAAACACACCACTGATTGTAAACTGTGACTTGATGAAAATTGCAAACTGTTAAGCATGCATTTATATGTATGGAAATCTCTTTTATTCCCCCCTCCCCAGTACGTTAATAAGAGTGATGTTTATGTTCATTCAATACTTGCTTTAAAAGTTATTGCAATTAAGTGGAGGGCAAATACTTAATTAGGTCATAACGGGCATCAAAATCCGTCATGTTCAGCTTCGATTTCAGATAGTGAAATTTACTAAAGAGAGCCTCAATTTGAATATGTGGCTGTACATAAGGGACTCAAATCTAACAGCAATATCATGCATATATACATGCAATAAATTTCAACAAAATCTGTAATATACTAACAAGATTGTAAACACCAGGAGCCAGTTGCTGTTCCCGGCCACAGTCCTCAAACTCCTAAAAAGCAATTTCATGACTGCGAGCAAGCTACACGTGATCTTTACTACTTCAGAACCTCGTAAAAAGAACAAACAGGAACTCTGCTATCATGTTTATGTCTTGCTCTGATATATGAAGCTGTAAGTGTTTGACATTTTCCATCGACTTTTTTACCATCTCTATCAATGTTCACCTAAAAATTGCACAGATGCTCGTAATCTATCTATGGGTAATTAGATTATACTTAACAACAAATTACTGTTTTCTGCTGAGAAGCATGATTATCGTCAAAGAAAAAGACCCAGAGCTGTTTTACAAGACCAGTGAAACTAGCTTGATAACTGTTAATAAAGTCAAACTATAATCTAGTGAAACTGCAATAAAAATTTTCATGCTCAAATTTCTATCTGAATCATAACAAAGTCGAACTAGGGATCTCCCAGGAAAGTGCAAACTTTTAAAAAAACACTGTCTTCTGACTCGTAATTTGAATCAAACATAAAATGTTTCATACATTTATAAAAATAATTTCTCCGTTAATTCCCGTTTGATTTTGATGATTCATGTATCATGTAGCGAACATCTCGGCACTAACTTCATGGCAAAGAAAAATAATTTTAGTAAAACCTATCCACAAGCTATTGTCTAAATAAACAATTTTTTTCCACAGTGTAATCTCTATGGTTTTGGATTGGCTGGCTGCTTTGCTTTTGCGCACATGTCTTTTTGCGAGGCGGTCATTGAGGTAGCGTGTCTGAAAATGCATTCGTCGTAAATTATTCACATCACAGTTGTCACTATTTCACGATGATATGAAATTTTATTCTATTTTATTTGATTACGAACTAAGCTATTTGTACCTCAGGATGTATGCACAAATTCTTTCTGGAACTTAAACCGACACCTAAAATTTTGGGTTTCTTTCCACTTTCTCTTTCATAATATTCCAGCAAAACTTTTAGTTCTTCCAGAACCTGAGGGAGAAAAGGGGGTATCGATAAAACAAGAGATTTGAAGTGCAAATTAAAACACCATACACTCTGTCGACACTTTGGGTGGTATTAGCAACTGGACATATCGACATTATTGAAATTACCGTCGTGTTGACCAATGACGTTTTACAAATTCGACTGTGACTTATAATATAATCAGTTTTACAGATGCTTTGCACAGTTCAATGTCAACAATGTCACAGACAGATGTTGGATTCTTTAAGCTTCAATAAAAGACATTGACAGATACACTTAAATAACATTCTATACCTTTTCCATTTCAGGCACGGTTCGCGAACAATAGATCAATTTCGTGAGTTCCAATGGTTTGTGCTAACAATAAGCAAGTAACGAATAATTTCACAAAGATTTTTCTGCCTTCAAAAGGACCTTAGTTGCATATTATTTGTCATAGCACACATTGATTAATTTCAAAGAAAGTAAGGTTGTTTAACCATATATATTCTCCAGTGAATAATTTCAGTATAAGAGAAAACTTTATATATAAGAGGGAAGATTTTCCAAAACAATATTTCCACTTTATTCTAAAGTCATTATCAAGCTAATGACTCATGTTAAAATCAATACTGTGCCTGTTCAACACTGGCAAAATGGAACAAATATTTCCTAAACAGGTTTCCTACCAGTAAAAAATTAATCCCTTAATGAAAACTTGAGACATTTCTACAAGATGGTTTCCATTGGCTAAGTAGCTATGACCTCAAATGTAGACCTAAAAGCAGCCAATTAGAGGGGATGCACTTTGCTTGCCATGAAAAATGACAAAGCAAGCCACATCATATACTTGAGTACATGAAACATCACGAACATCTTACCATAAGGTATGCAACAATTAAAGATAAAAGAGATATAGTTTTTCCTGTTCCAGAAGGCATTTCCAATAAACAATGACCCTGAAGGAATGTTAGCAAAAAAATTTTAACATTCATCCTAAATCACAATCAAAACATTTTCCTATGAATGCCATAACTTCCATGATGACAATTTGTATTGTAAAATTTTTTGTTTCACTGTTATGTTTAACATAAGTCATTCATCAACTGCAAAAATATTTTCTAATTTTTGCATAGATTTTTTAATGATTCACTCAATGAAAATAAACAAAAGAAAAATATTTCCCAACAAGCTACAGGACCATCTGCATAGTTTCACCATGCCTCTTTGAAAAAAAAATTGATGACTTAGAATGTCTCTGGCAAGATGTGATGACAATATACAAAGAATTTTAAAATGTATATAAACCAATGTGTAACATTATCTCAAACAGGTTGTATAAGATACGTACCATTACTTTGTTCAGCTGATTTACACGGCTAGATAATGAGCTCACCTTTGCATCCAATGAACGTTTTAATTCATACATGTAAGAATATTGCTCTGGGTAGATATAGTCATAAGGGAAATACACCAACAAACCATCAATATTTATCCTAAAAATTTCACAGTGAAAACCATTCAAAGATCAAATTTGCAAAAAAGCATAGCATAAATACTAGTGATGGCACTTTAATAATAAACGAACTCCTTTTTAATGTTAAAAGAAGATACAAACAAATGCTTGAGCTATTTATTCTGCCTCAGACTCGGTGTTAAAATCAATAAATATAAATTAGGTTGAAAACTAAAATTTGTAAAGCTTCAAAAGTCAAAAAGGTAATTTAAGTCTTAGCACGTTTCTGACTAAGCTAGGTTTGGACTGTGGACACAGAAATACAACACACCAAAATTTCGTGACAGCAAAAGATAAAAATGAAGCATATTAGGTTCTCCAAATGATATATTTATACCAAAATATAACTTTGCCACATAGTTTCTGTCTAAGTGACAAACAACTAACAAATAAACTTTAAAGAAAGAACAAATACTGCACAAGTAACGCAACTTACTACTTACTTCATGTTTCCCGAAGAATTCCTCGCACAGTCGTACGTGCTATATAAAAATAATATATGGAGCTCTCACATTTTTTTTTAAAAAAATCCTTACTTAAATTTAGAGTAAATTTAAAAACGCATTGCCAAGTGCCAACAATAAATGTAAAATAAATTATCAAAATATCCCAATTCTCAATTTTCCCACTCTCATTTCCAGGCTCCCAGCAGCGTGAGGCCTTCAGTAAATTAATAAAAATAGGTACCACGACAATAAATTAAAAATAAAAATAAAAGGTTTTTATTTATGACGTTTCGTCTTTAACTTAAGATATCTTCAGATAAAATGGTAAAAATTTAGTCGAGGCTTTTAAATACAAGCATATATTTACAGGGTGATAAATTACATAAGAGGAAAGTAGGAAGTTTGGATGACAGGACAGGATAATAAGGGCAACATTGATTAGGGAACATATTAATTAGGGAAGGTGAAAGGAGATTGAGTTGCCTTGGGTGTTAAGAGAGGGTTAAAGTTAAGATATGAGAAGGCTTTCATGAATCATAATGTTATAATTGTAAGAGGACGAAGAGAATATTGAGAAGTCATTGAAATGGGCAGAGCCGGTGAGATGTGTTTCTTATATGAGAAAGAATTACTTATGGTGGTGGACAATAGGAAGCTAGGTTACCCTGTTAAGTGATGAATTACAAAGTGTTCAAATAATCTGGCGTGCAAATGACGAGTGGTTTGACCCACAAACAACGCGGAACAGCATCGACACTTAAATGAGTATACAACACGAGATGTCAGAAACTTGGGAACCCTATCCTTAAAAGGAAAGAAAGAGGAGAGACATTTGGAGGAAAGAAAGAGGAGAGACGTATGGAGGGGCGAAAGACAAAGCCAACAGTAATATGAGGAAAGGCAGCATTGCAGAGTCGAGTTGTTAGAGTGTAAATCTGAAGACAGTGCAAGCCGGTGAAAGGGAGGCAGAAGTACATGATTTTCTTAGGAGCAGTGTAGGATCTTTGGTTTCAAATACATTGTTGAGAAATCGGTGAGCATACGCAATATTAATATGTAATATTAATTACATACGCAATGTTATAAATTGCAGGAATGACTAGTGACCTGGCGCCGTGCTTTGTATGGTTTCCAATCTACGGTTTACGTCAAGGTTGTCGTCATCAGATTCATTAGTCATCACCAAATACTAGTTATACTTCCGGCTCAAGTCAAAAGAAACCGTACTTCCCATCAAATATCAACATCTAATTCTACTGACAACATTGTGATGCCAAGCATTTTCCAGGTGGAATAAATACTACTTCCCTTAATACCTTCGGTTGTTTGGTTGGTAATGAGGAAAACTTTATGGAGAATATATTTAATTTAGGCAAAATTAAGAACAAGCAACCTTATCCCATTTTTTATTTCCACATTATTACTATCATATTTAATAATTTATAAAATTTCATCAATGAAGTCAATAAAAGAATATTTTGTTTCCAGTTGTTAAGGCTTTTGACAGGAATGAAATTTTATATTATGGAGTTTTGGGCGATAATTGTAATGATATGGAGCATGCACTTGTTCGCCCTTTGGATACGCCATAATTTTAAGTAAACATTTGAACATTTTTTTGCAGAGCAAGGTTGAAACCGTTAGTATAGCAGTATATAAATAACTATGGCATTACCGGCGATTTCAGCTTGCTTTTGAAAAGTTCTATTCTTCATTGAAAATTTCGTAAAATTCTGATTGGTAATGTTTTTATACATTTTCACTTATTTTTGAAAGTTTTATCAAAAGCAGCTGAAATAGACGTCAATAGAGCAAAAGCTATTTTTTATAGTTGTAAAGCTACATTTGTCCAGTGTATGAAAAGTTGTAACTTCATGTAACACACTATACTAACTACTAGATTTACCATCGTTATAAAAATAATTGTAATTACAATTTGTTTATTTATAATTTGTAAAATCAACTGTTATTTTTCATTATCATTTCCATATCACAAATGTATTTTTGGTGGTTCTCTTTCAATGTAAAGGCAGCTCTATATTCATTTCGCGACACACACTCTCAATACACGATAACAACTTTTCCATATCATCTGGATAAAGGCATCCTATATTACCAATACGAAAACAATTTGCTTGGCTAACCTTTCCCGGGTATATTACTTGCCCTTTGTCGCTCAGACGCTTGTAAAATTCTTCGAAAGTGAAATTTGGATGATCAGGAAAGAAATATGACGTAATGATGTACCCTTGGTCAATATCTTTAAGCAATTCTTTAAAACCCATTTTTTTCATACCATCCTTCAAAATCCGACGATTCTCTTGATACCTTTATAATTTTACCACAAATTTTAAAAAAAGACTAAAAACAACGAGGTTGACTAAAAATTGAATCAAATACTGTTAGTTTCACTTTCACAATACAAAAATTTATATCAGTTGCTTATTGCAAACATTGAACAACATGTTGTTTCATATTTTTTTAATTAAGCAAGTACAAATTTTGATATTGAACGATTAACACTCAGCAGATAACATTTGCAAAACAAAATTTTAAGTAAATAAATGTGATAATATGATGGAAAGATTTTTTTGCATAACGATGATGCTTACCTTTCTGAACGTGCTTTAACTCCTCCTTCGTCTTTTTGAAAATCTATTGCTTTCTTAAATGCCAATATGGCATGTGTTGGTGGTGTGAATCTGAATTGTCCATTGGACAACAACCCTTGAAACTGAGAAAATGCATCCAAGCTAAGACTTCGAGCATTTCCTTTGCATTTTAATAATTTCTCAATATCTGCAATGATAAATGAGAACCCAGGAACTCCTTCTATGCACTTATTAGCAGAACTAACAAGAAAATCAATATTTGACTTCTCAAAATCAATGGGAACAGCAGCAAAAGTACTCATTGCATCAACAAAGAAGGAAGCATCTGGAGAATAAATGCGTATAACTTCACCAACTTCTTCAATTGGATTAAATATTCCAGTTGTAGTCTCACAATGCACCATTGCAACATTGGTAATCGTTTTGTCATTAACTAAAATATCTTTAACTCTTTCAACATTGGTGGTTTCTGTTTCAGGATCTTTAAGATACACCTTAAACCAACAAATGTAAATAGCCATTATAATTACAATACATCATTTCTACAGCCAAATTCTTTTGTGAGCAATATTGCAATGATATATGGATATGGGTAGTTTGCCATAGAATGTTTGAAACTGGTGCAAGAAAGCTGTAAACTGTAAAATGTAATTAATAAACCACATGCATTTGCATAATGCATAAAAATAAGTAAGTACACCTAAGAAGCATTTTGGTGAGGTTTTTTCCTCTCAAAAAGAAATCTTTTCCTTACCCCTGATTGGATAGTTCTTTGCTGCGGCAAGCTGCTTATTTATCTTGATGTTTCAAGTAATGTGGTCAAAAATTCGAATTATACTACTAACCCTCACATAATGCAATGCATACTGTTTGCATCATAATATATGATTTGTGGCAGAAAACTAATGTTCAATTTATTGGCATTTATTAATCATGAATTTTGCATACAAGTATAAATACAAATTGATTATCATGAAAATCAGAAATAGTTTTCACATAAGAAATAAAAGATGTTAACGGGTGATTGCACAGGCTTATGCAGGCCGAGGAGACCTTTGGTAGAACTGGAGAGCAAATCAGTGCAAGCCCGAGACTGAAGGTCGAGAGTTCACATGCTTGAGAGTTCTCACAAACATCGTCTACAAGAATTGCATAAGCCAGTGTAAACACAAAAAAACATCTTTTATTTCTTTTATAAAATAAGAATAATGCGAAAAAAGACAAACATTTTAATTTTTCCTCTAAAATGTATTCATGATCAATTTGCAAATTCTCTTTGACTGATTGATTGTTTAGACTGATTTGATTGGTTGAGCTCAGCTGTGCTTTGTACTGGCTAATGCAAATGCAGCTCTAGACCAATCAGCACATGCGTTTCATTGTGTTTATTTTATAAAAAATATTGCAATGCTAAACTTGGTTTTGGTAATTGTAAAGATTGCCAGTCAACTGTATTATATGTTCAATTGTATTAAATATGAAAAATTCATACCGTATTTATTCCTAACACATCAGCAATACTAGCTATTCTATCACCGTATGCACCATTGCTACAAACTAGCAACTTTCCATCTTTTGGTACTGTAGTTCCAATCACAGACTCTACACCCATGGTACCAGCACCTTGCATGGGTATGCAGGTGTATTTGTCCTCCGACAGACCAGCAAGCAGAAGTACGTTTGAACGAATATAACTGACAGTTTTAATAAATTCTTCATCACGAGAACCATAGTCTTTCAACATCGCCGCCTTTGTGTCCATGCGAGTATTGAGAGGACCAGGAGTAAATAAATTTTTGTCCCCTAAAACATAAAAAAAGCATGTGCTATGCAACACCATGTTCCAGCAAAGACAAAAAAATGTATGCAGTGCAAATACAACCTTGATTTGAAGGTGACGTGAAATAGTTCTTTACTGGATAAATTGTTGCTTTTGGTAAAATGCGTTCGTAAATTTTAATAGCATAAGGAAGACGCATATGTAAGGAGGCCATTGCAGTGTTTTATACAAAAAATGTTTGCCTTTACGGCCAAGTATTTATAAAAAAATTTGATTGCTTTACAGCCAAGTGCACGAACCAGATCATGGAAGAAAACAATGGTTAACGTGAATTGGCAATGCCACGTCACGTGCCTCCCAATGGTGCTTCCTCGCGACTGTCGCGCATTGAGCAAGTTGAGCGTGGACACAGCGTGGAGGAGAATGTGGAGGAGAAGCCAGCCTTGCGTAATCCGGGGGGAGATGGAAAATACTAAAGCAAAATTTACATTTAGATGTTGTAATTTTGTCAAGTAAAAAAGTTGAATAGGTGACGAAACAGGTAAAACAAAATTGTGTCGGTGCGGTTTGGAAATGAGAAAGATTCTTTCTTATAATTTTATACTGTCGCTTCAAGAAACAGTTTCTGAAATGGCTGAAGTGTAAACGTCATATCGTATTATTTTAGATTTTTCATGAAAATTTGTAAATGTCAAGCGAAAGAGTACATTTTGCCGACTTTGAAAAATGAATCATATGAACGAAGCACATGCTATGTATTATAATGTTGACCATTCTTCGATGTTTGGTTCAAATTTATCAACTGTATATGCTGATGGTCCGCCACCACTAGAGGATATAAATGATGAACAGGAAGAATCTGACTTTAAAGAGTTTTCATCAGGCAAGACTTCTATACGAGATGAAGTTTTGGATGGTCCTAAAAGTAATTTGCAATTTGACTTTAAAAAAAATCATGTGGAAAAAAGATATAATTCATTAGATAGTGTTAGCCTTAAAAATAATGACAAAGAAAGCAGGTTTGAGAGAAACAAAAGTATTGATAGTGAAAATGAACTGAGTCCGATATCTCAAACCAAAAAAGATTTGAAGCAAAATGAACATGGGCAGTTTGCTGATTTTTCAAATTTTCAAGAAGAAAGTGAAAGTGATTTGACAAATAATTCTGTATTTGCTGTTGGCAAATGGGAAAGTGATGATGAGTTTGGAACATTTTCAAGTCATGATGAAAATTTTGAAAAAACTTATGACAATCACAATTCAATTAATAGAAATTCTCAAAAATCCACAAAAAAACAATTAAATGAAAATGCAATTGTGGATACTGATAGTGATTTTAATTCAATTGACAATTATTGTGTTAACAACAGCTCAAGTGAAAAAATGTCAACCTTTCATGATGGAAATTACAATCAGATGAAACAAAATGATTTGAAAGTCAATATGGACGATGCATCTTATGTTATGGATTCTGAAAAGTCTTTGCAAGATGATTTTGATTCATTTAAGGATAGTGAGTCAAGCACAACATTACCTAATGATCATGTAAACAGTTCAGATGGTTCATTGGTTGATAAAGTCAATTTTACATCAAATCCATCACCAAAAATGTTTACCAGTAGCTCTTCAGCAGATGTCTGGAATGAACAAGACAATTTCACTGATTTTGGTGCATTTACTACAAGTAAAACTGACGTGAACAATGAATTCACCGACTATTCCAGTGGCGATCACAAATGGTCAAATTTTCAGGCAGATTTTTCAAATTTTGGTGATGAAAATGTGTCCAATGAAAAGACAGCTTCCAAAGATGGTTTTAAACTTGAAAATTCCCTAAGCTCATCAAATTCGCAATCACCTTCCATTGGAACATCAGTGGTGGCAGGATTGTCATTACACACGTGTTTTCCTGATATTTTTTTCACATCTTCCGTAAATGTAAAGCAAGACATCAATTTTGCTCAAAGGTATGTTTTCTTTACTTAGAGAAGAGTTTAATGTGTTGCTGAACTTATATTTGTGTTGTTATTTGACAGTACAAAGCAAATGTATGTTTGGAAAAATCTGGAATATAGCATGTATGAAGGCGTTTTGAGATTCTTCTGGAAAGAATGTGATACTTTTCATAAAATATGTCAAGTTTTGGCCATTTCTCAAAATAATGTAACGGTAAAGGAATAAAATATCAGTGATTTGTTTCTCTTTTTCTTTCCTAATCTTCAATATTCACTACTTCTAGGTCAATAGTCAAAATCCTGTTGCTTTAGTTGAAAACAATGATATTCCTATGTTTGCAACTGGTTTAGTAAGTGTTTGGTCATCTTCTTTCACAGTTCAGCACTACATATAGCATTGATGACTTTCATCAATGACTTTTATACTCTTAATTTAGGGAATTCTTCAACCAAGCATTCTTCCATTGCCTCCAAAGAAATCCAAAGTAATATCCCAGAATGGCAACAAAACACTCAATACTCATGCTGTGCTAAAAACATCAGAAACAAAAACTGGTAATTTTCAATATATTGTGGTTGTTTGTGTTTCTTAATTAATTGTTTAAGAGATTTTTCAACCCTCTTAGAAAATGTATATAATGGTTTGGATACTCTTTCAAATGCTGACACCGCATATCTTAATCTGGAATTTTTTGAATCCCTCTCTATGGATAATCCTGTTTCAAAAATGGAAGGTAAAATACTGATTAGAATACTTATAAAGTATTCTGATGCTGTTAGAATTTGTGATTTAGTCTTCAAATAATATGCTGAACGTTTTATGTTTGTTTTTTTCAGTTGTGAACCCAATTAGTAAATATTCTGGCAGCCACATTGACTTGAATGATTTTAAAAAGATGAGCTCTAACCAAGAGGATCCTATTAATGTCTATACAAAACTGGATACCAGTAAAATATCTACATTTTCAATGAACTACAATCAGAGCTGTTTGAGTGAACTTGCGAAGGAAACCATTGACAAATTTGAGGATCTTTCTTTCATGCATTCTTCTGTATTGATGTTCCCTCTTAGCAAAAATAGCTAAGAATGAGATGATCTTTTGATTTGTCAGATAACAGTTAAAATATTTACAGTAATATGCAGTAATTGAATTTAGTTTGAAAAATGAAGTATTGATTTTAGCTGCTTCTATAATGGAGAAATGTGTATGGAGGAACAATAATTATTTTATACGTTGTTTACCAACATAATTTTGACACATTTGAGAAGAAGAATTAATGAATAACATAGAAAACCTATAAAATGGCAATGAAATGTCTACTATTTACATTATAATGGTTTTTGTCTTAGCATGTTTTCAAGATTGCTGTTAATTTATCTCCACTTGTAGTATCAACTCATTTAAGTCATTTTCTTTGACACAAGTGAGCAAGAAAGGGAGATGGGTGTTCGCCAATTGGTATTTACCTTTTTTTCAGCACCCTTAAGCTCTCTGTAAAAAGCCCAGTTTAGAGTGTAAACGTTTAAGTTTATATAGTACAGAACACCCATTAGTTACAACGTTGAATTTGAGCTCTTGTTACCAATGGTAACTATGGCTTGTGCCTTGTCGGGGTTGGTTGATCACATCTATGGTTCATACACTTTTTCTCTGTACGGTTAACTGTGACAGTGATGAAAGTGTATGATAACGAAACATGGTGGTCACACTACAACCAAAATTCCTTTTATAATTTGTTTAAAAACTCGTTAAGCCTGCAAATGTAGAAGAGTGTGATTTCCAATCATCCGGCAAGAACGGTGTGAAGATCGTTGATAAAATCTCCGATGGTTTATGTAGTTGTCGTTCGTTGGTATCTTTAACGTCAATGTCTTTTTTGGTTTTGTCCTTGATGTCCCTCATATGAAACCAGTTATAAGTAATTTGAACAGCAGTAGACGACAGTATTTTGTTGACAATTTTGTTGGAACTGACGTTGCTGTATTTTATTTGGGATTTTTTTTATGTGTTGCCAAAAATATTATTCAGCATTACAACAATTGATTTGATATGAATTACTCTGCTTAGGATTACGTTTTAGTACTGCTATGTTCTTTTAATACAGGCATTATTTTTTTTCTTTAGAGATCTATTTTTTTAATAAGTGAATATATAGAAATAACTCTATAGGCAGAAATTTGGCTGTATAGGCAGAAAGTCTATTTATGTGGATATATCCATGAATGTATCTTCTTACATCATTTGTATATGGAGCTACTGCTTTATGTTCATAGCAAATTAATATGATGAAATTCTTATAAGCCCAATAAAAAACAGTTGTAGAAAAAAGCATAGTGTATCATCTCACTCACCTGGGATTTCACCTTTTAGCCAATAATATCAAGAAAACACGTAACCAATAACAATCCAAAAGCTTGCCGAAATCAACGAGTCTGCCAATAAAATCAAGCACCAAATGATCATAATACACGTCAATCACTTTTCATCACACTTTTCACTAGTTAGTCAGGTAGATGCCTCAAGAGTCGAAAGTGAAAGGAAGGTTTGTTGAAATTTTTATTAATTACTTCAAACGTCGATAAATTCGACGTCAAAATCTTTGTTTGATGTACCTATGGTTTTACTTGTAAATCTTTTCGTCAATTATTTTTGTGCAATTCGGCGTTAAACGTAGCTACCGCTTGTCTTCGACGGTGTGTTTGCTTTGCAAGAGGACCTTGTTAGTATAAAAACGACAAGTTTGTATGTTTCGATGCCTTTTTTTCGATTTTATGTTAGTGTGTTGCTTACTGTTAGTGTTTGGAATGTATAGCGCAAAATCAAATTTATTTAAAATTATAAACGTCTCAAATATTCTTGCTTGATGATGTTTTATGCAGAATTTTGACGTTTAGTTCAAATTGTTTGATTTTGAACCATTCAAAACTTAAAATGTTCATCAAACACTGGAAAATAAAGAAAAAAGTCAACATGTATAAAAATATTTTTGAAATAAATAAGTGGTTTTTATCATCAAGAGGAACATGCAAAAAAAACTGTTTTATTGATCTAATGAACAGTGAAACAAAATAGGTGCATGAAACCTGCCCTTGCTAATGCTAAATAGCTGTCAAAATCAATGTTATATAATGGTGCAGTCTAAATCTTATATTCCGAAAATTGACCTCCGTTCCAATGTCTTCGGAACACGAAGAATAATCACAAAAACAGCTTTGGTTTCTTAAAAAATTTTTATTCTTACTCCTCAAAGTATCTCGCTTCTCTCGCTTCTCTCCCTCGTCTCGCCTCTCTCACTTCCGTTCTCTGCTCTCTCTACTTCCGTTCGACTCATGTTTTCTATATTGTTCCTTAACGTCCCCAACGTACCCGAATGTACAATTGAACGCAACACAACTTTAACATAATTTGCAACACTTATCATTGTTCGTTGTTACCTCGGGAGAACTCGCTTGTATTGTTCTGGCAATGGCTTTGATGAATCCACAGTCCTTCATAGAACGCTTTGAAGCGACACTTATCTCTCCACGAATGCTAGTTTTCATTAACTGAACATACCAAAACAAATATGTAAATTTGACGATCTAAGTCACCCACCAATAAGGCCAGAGATAGCATAACCCAACCATGCAGAGTTAAGATCGCAGTCACTCCAGCATGCAGAGTTAAGCCCGCAGTCAGCCCATCAAAAGAAGGGTTGAGACCCCATTCATCCCACCATGCAAGGTACACTAAATTTATTAAAAGGGTTCGGAAATTGAAAAGATATCGCTAAGGAGCAAGGACGTTCAATGTGACTGACAGTACAAAATGCGATAAGAAAACAGGTGGAGAAATTGGCCCGGTGTAATCATAAAATTACCTCCTTCTTTTTGTCTAAAGATAAATCCAAACTTAAAACGTATGAAAGTTTAGTGAGCGCTGCTTCAGTTGTAATGTCAGATCCAGAAATGACACCGATGTTAAACAGAACCTAAAACAGAAATGATTCATGATGCTTTGAATTTTTTGGTAAGTTGATAACGATTTAATTTTAACCTTTCCAGTTTCATAATCATCTTTGACACCTCCTTTCAAACACTGCGTACAATTAACAATAAGCAAACCACGTTTAACTGCTTTTTCTAGAATTTCGATGAACTTTTTTCGTTTACTTGGACAATTTCCAGCGCCAAATGTTTCCAAAACAATTCCCTTTACTGGTTCACGGCAAATGGATTCAACCTGTGGTTTCACACAAGAAAATAATGAATTAATTCATAACAAACGAGGTCAAAACATAGTGACTTAAGATATCCATCGTACTGTATTATCAGTTATTCCAGGAAATAATCTCAGCACTCCAACATCAGGATTCAATTCTGTATGAACAGTAAATTTCTTAGTTGTGCCACATTTCCAGATAGCATCCCAGCGAACTATAAAACAATTTTGGGCATAAAGAAATGTAGTGACTGGTGAAGTGATTTCCTGAGATGAGGGCCATTGCGAGAAATTAAATGGCTTAGTTCAAAATTTTCTCCCATAGAACTATGACGTCATTATTTTTCATATCTACTGACTACGAGGTGTATAAGCTTCAAGTGACGTAAAAAGTTTAATGAACAAGCTTTAACATGTCACTCACCATTGATATCAACACCAATTGTAGCAAGCGGGGCTAGATTGGGTGAATCAAATGCCAGAAAATCACTCGAGTTGATCTTTGTGGTTCGATTACCACGATACAATTCACCATGAAAAAACAATGTTACCTGAGTAAAGACAAAAAATTGTAGCTATTCAAAATCAATTGCATAATTTAATCTCAACATGTAGTGATTTCATATCAAAGGTTCTGCCATCCACTTGACTACTTTTTTTTCAACTGCCCATGAAATTCATAAGCTTTCCAACATACCTTTGTTTTGAAATTACTACATAAAATGAGAGCTTTAAATATATCTACATAAGTCTTACTTCGGGAATGACAAAGTGACCAGCAAACATTAAAGCACCAAGTACATTATCACGGACATCATTACGTTGTTCAAAAATTGATATCTGTAGTTGGAAAACAACTTATAGTCAGAAGTAGAAAAGTATTCAAAAATATTAATTTTCATTACCTGAGATCCTGTGAGGATGACAGTTTTCTGAAGATTTTGAAACATGAACGAAAGAATAGATGCTGTGTAGGACATTGTGTCCGTACCATGAAGAATAACAAAACTGTCAAATGCATCATAATTTTCCCTGACATCCTTGGCTATTTTAACCCAATCCTCACTGTTCATGTTCGACGAATCCTTTTTCTTTTCATATTCTTTGATATAATAAAACACACGTACACCATATTTTGATAACCTAAATAAAAGGCAAAAAATAGTGGCATATTGTATTTACTAATAGAAGTTAATTTTGGCAAACATACGGTAACACTAATTCATAAAGATCATGGCTGACATCTGGCTTTCTCTGGTTTGGATTTTTATACTCATCATCATGTAGCATGGGAAGTTTCTTGAGATACTCCACAAAGCCTTGTTCACACTTTGAATCTGGAATACAAATGATATTAGATGTGTGAGTTTAGTGAATGTCGACGTCTGTGTCCAATCTTCATCTACGACAGTAACTATCGCAGCGATGAAAAAGTTGAGGAAGGAATGAAGATTAAACAAAAGAAAGCAGAACACGCTTAACACATCTGTGTGAGTGAATGAGATCCAAAAGAACAACAAGTTATCCCTACAAGAAGGTTGATAAAAAGATGTAGGAAAATTTAAGCTTCATAGGATCAACAGCCACTGGCTGGGAGCCAGCACGTGTATTTTCCGAAGGTCAACCACTGTAAAAAAAAGTTTCGGATGGATAAAGTATTCAAAACTCTTTCAGCTTTTCTGCTCCTAGGAATTTAGCAGCACTTAAAACAGCACACATGCACAGTGATGTTTCAGTGGGAATAGCATTGTGGAAGGTATCAGAAATAAGCATGTACAGGCAGTAAGTATCAAGTGATCATTTTTACCCAGTTTGCAGCTCCTATTGTCCTTATTTGATAAGTCATATAAGAACTGAAAGATTCCAAAAGTTCAACATTAGTTACCACGCAAAGCGGTAGAGCGACTAAAGCGACTGCCTAGTGTGTTTCAACCTTAACATGACAATGGAGGAAGCAGCCATATTGGTGTACCAAACATAAGAACATTATTACAATTCTTCTCAATTGGTACCCCCAACGTGGCGGCTATGACGTCAGGTGAAAACGATCCATTGTGTGATGGACATGCAAATAGAAGAGATGGAGGCAAATGATTCGCTGTGCCAACCCTTGATGGGAAAGCCGAAAGATACGAGTGACTCGACGTATTGTTGAACTATTTTTTTCCTTGTCCTTCTCAGTGCAACAGAGTAAAGCGTTAAATATAAAGTGCTTTTTGAACTCCTAGCTATTCATTGTTTAAATAATGCTCCGCGATGATACTTAGCCGAAGCCCAACACCAACGCTTACATGCGCTTGACATGCAAGCTCCTCGTGTGGCTCACGCACTGAGATTCGCAATAAAATTTTTGCATTTCCCTTTCTGATTGTATTCTTCTGTAATATTTCATACAATCAAAATCAAATATTTGACTCTGAAGATGAGTACAGCTAAGGTTGTCGAAACGTCAGTCAACAACAACAAAAACAATACTTCTCAGGACTCTACAAACCTGGACAATCTACATCTACAAACATGTAACAAAATCAAATATATCGTGCATATGCCACGAAGCATGAATAATCAAGCTAATGTAAACATTGAATATCGCCATAGGCCAAACACTGCCAGTATCTCGGGCAAAGCTTTACCTAAATAACACGGAAGACAAAAAGCAATTTCTATTCAACGCTTTACTTTGTTGCATTGTGAACGACAAAGAGAAATAGACGTAACACTGTGTACAAACAAGTAAATCCTGCAAAATTGCGCCACCCCAGAAGGCAAGCTGCTCCACTGACCACAGAAAAGTAACTGCGTATTTATTCAAAGTACGGTGGCTATTTAAAACAAGAAAGTTTTGATTGTTAGCTGCACAGAGGATTTTACGACCTGCTTTTTTATTCCAAATTCTGGCAGGTATTCAAAATGGGAGACCGGTTTAGCTGCATATTGCAATTTCAGGACATATTTTCATTCCTAGCCATAAAATTTTCACTCTTAAGTATCTGCAAAGATTAGTCTCCAGCGAATTTCACATAAATATTAAGCAAATGCCATGAAATTTACCAGCATTTGATCGATACATCCCTATCGTTCCACCTGTATATAATACCAACACATTTGTTGAATTACACTTTTCCTCCTTCGAACACATTTTAACGATGTTTCAATATATATTGCAATGTGTTAATGCAATAATTCTTTGTTTTTACGAAACGATGTCTCTATACGTTTAACTTGCAGAGAAAGAAAACACCGGCGTTTCTAGTGCTCTAGAACAGCTCGCTATCATTTCTGAATGTCTGAATCTGACAGTCAGTCAGTCATGTGACCATTTCTCATGGAAAGGCAATGAAACGATTTCATGGAAGGGCAACGATGTATTGTCTAACATTAACACCGGGAAGTGGAAGGTTAATTTCTCAAATGTTGTTAGATAAGGTCGTTATTGTTTGTAGTTGTTGTTTAAAGCATTATGCTATCATTCTTGTTGTTTAATAACATTCCAAATATTTTATTCTTAGGAAATATATAATCAATGAAATTGTGATAAAAGTACTTTTCCAAAAGTGGTTATTTTCACTTTATTAGTTTTCACGTACTATTCTCGCCATATAAATTTATCGAGACTTCGAGTTCATATTTCTTTTATTTAATTTTTTGCTTGTTTAAAATCTTAATTGGATTTAAGAGTTATCAGTTGAAGAAACAATCTTGAACATATTGATTCATATCATAAAATAATTGAACAATAAGTCATTATGCTTCTCTAGTTCTCTTTTTTCATGAGTAATACCGAATACAATGTCTCAAAACCAATGTTTCCTCCACACACAAGCAAGACAATATTTTCACCCAAATGTTTTTTTCTGATTTTCTTGTAAGCAGCAATACAAACTGCAGCTGTACCTTCAACCAACTAAATGACACAAACAACCATAATATTCAACAATTTCTTGTAGCCTTTAGAACTGTTACATAAACTACATGATACCGACGCAAAGTTCCTTTACAGTGTATTTTCTATATTGATTTTTAGTGATAGCGTAGCGTAGCACAGCACAATTTGTCCTAACACATGCGTAATCATTAATGTATACTACAGAACAGTAAAACTCTATCTGCGTATCCTGTGTCATACTCCGCTAAAACAACAGTGACTGCGGAGGATCGTTTATTGGGAAAGAATATTCATATATGCATGTTTAAAGTATTCGTGTCGATTGAAATCAATCGTGAGTGTGCATTATGACGGATCAAAAGTATGAATATATAAACCTGCCCAAATTATCAACCCCCGTGCTTCCAGGACAAGTAAGACATTCAATGACTTACCTTGTGTTCTTTTTCAAACATGAAAATCAATGCATCAGCTATCTCATCTTCACTAACTAAAACCCATTCATCGACATACTGACAACACAAGTCAAACGTAAACTACAGAATGATTAATTGAATTATCAGTAATGCGAAAAGATCTTCACAAAAAAATTGTACAAAATTACAAATTGAGTTCAACTTACTGATGTTGCATCAACTCCACCAGCAGAGCCTTCAGATAATGTTGGTAAAGAGGGCAGATCAAGAACAGTTCCAGCTTTACATGACTCAAACATGACACACGAGTTTATAGGCTGGCAACTTACTATCTATACAACACATTCATTGCAAGATGTAAAGACAACAAAAATTTTATGTAAAAAATTCCCAGATAAATTGTTGTTCATTTTACATGCCTTTACATGCGGTTTGATAGCTTTCATGTAAGTTGCAATTCCAGAAACAAGCCCTCCGCCGCCACAACAAACAAACACTGTGTCTACATTTGGTAAATCTTCCAAGATTTCAATCCTTAAAATGAAGTTTGAATACTGTATAAAACCAACCTTGCAAGACACAACGATTCTTTATAAACTCACCCTATTGTGGCTTGACCATGAACAACACCAAAATTAGCATATGGAGATATATATAACGTATTCTTTGTCTCGCGTGCAATATCCCTTGCCCTCTCTTCAGCCATGACAATATCATCACCAAACTTTTCAAGACATCCTCCATATTTCCTGATTATCTTGCATTTCGATTCGGAAGCACACGTTGGAACGATTACTTTGCCTTTCACACCAAGAGTTTTCATTGCCAGAACCTGGAACACAAGGAAATGACATGTCACTCAGTCATTTCTGTAGGAAATTCAAAGTGACGCACATAAGGGCAGAAAATCAATGATATACCACTCTTAACTCTGAAAAAGCGACAGGTTTACAGGCACCAGTTTTCACCTTAAACCAAAATCTATGACATACAATAGGCTATAGATGGACAAAACAAAGAGTCCTAAATAGAAAATTATCATAAATAGGTTCGTAGCGACTCAAATTTGAAGAAATGTGTTGAAATAAGAATAAATTTAATGTCAAGGAATAAATGGAACAAAATGTTATGATAACCATTGTCAACTATAACATAACTTAATCAAGCAATTAAAAGGAAAAAAAACATTGACGAATTGCAGAACTAATGAATCGAGTAGATTTCTGCAAAAAATGCATCAACTACGTAGCTATGTTTTGTGTAAGTTCCTCATCAGGTTAAAGTCTGATAACTAGGTTGGGCATTGAATCACATGGATTACGCGTTTAGGGTAATTGTCATGTTGGAATCAAATGTATTGTATAAACTTTCATTTCTAAGAATTCAGACACTGACTAAGCTTTAATAAAACAGTTTCTTCAAGTAGTTTTAACGATGTTTGATTGATGTTAATTTTTGACTGGGTGCTGTGCTACATTTCTGTCTACCCATTGTACATACACAAGCGAGGCCATGGTTTCCACCAGATGCAGTGATGATGGTGTATTGTTGGTCTTCAGGCAAGCTTCTATTGATATCTTTCACCAAACTTATCTTGTTGAATGCACCCCTTGCTTTGAAAGATCCAGTAACCTGTTCACTTTCTAATACATAAATGGTAAAAATGATAATCAGGTTACTACCATGCTCTTTTTAATTTGTCTGAGCTATAAATTTATCCTTATTTACGGACCATCTTCAAATAAGATACAACACTTTGCCTTAACAATACTGCCAAAAACTACCAGAATAACTATACTCGTGTTAACGAAAGTTGATTAATAAATACAATTTGATATATGTAAATAAAGAGGAAAATGTGAAGGCTGTGATAGCCCCGATGTCATGGACTTAGGAAAATCGATAATTGGAGGAGGGGACTAATATTCATATATGCATAATATGCCGTATTAAATTTCTTTGAAAACCATTGTTTTCTATGGAGTATAATATCCATAACGAAACGAGACCCCACAATTATCAATCTTCCTCCGCCCATGCCTGATGTGATTCGCCACTGTGAGAGAAATTAACTATGTGTACTGTCCGTGCAAACAAAAAATAAAAGCAGAAACACCATATTAGAAGAAGCCCATGGGTAGAAACAAATAACAAATTTCTGCCTCTCCCAACAAGTGCTATGCGAGTCTTGGTGTTGCGCAACTGCGCGCGTTGTAATGCTTTGTGCTTCATGACATTGCATTCTTGTCAGTGTTTCTCAGCTTTAGGTCAGTTTTTATCGGCACCATGTTTTCATGCACAACTTTTTGAAATATTTTTAAGCCATCTCTTGGTTTTACCCATACATAATACGTGGTATTTCAGAAAAACAACTTGATGAATGGTGATATGAAACAAGAGAGGAGATATTTAAAAGTTTTCAGGCATCAGTACATTTTGCCAGATTTGACACAATCCATTGTTTTTATTTAGTTAACTATTTTTTCTCATTAAGTTGTCATCATGAAGGTTGAACTTCCAGCAATACTGTGGCTATTGAGTTGTCACTCTCTTGTAATGTTGTTTATATTAAGTTGTCAAACTCCTACAACATTGTTCTCATTAAGTTGCTCCCTTATTGTACTTGTGGAGTTGTCAACCTCATACGACATTGCACTTATTGAATTGTCCCCTTTTGGCACCATTGTTCTAATTAAGTTTTCAACCTCAAGCAACATTGTTCTTACAAAGTTGCCACACTCTTGCAAGTTGCAATGTTGTTCTCATAAATGTCATAAAGTTACAGCAACACTATTTTATGTTTTGAAATTTCTGTGGATCTACTTGTTGCAAAAGTTTCACTTGATTTTGTACAAAGAAGGATCAAATGTTATTTGTTAGTATTTTCAATATGAAATTTTTGAAAATAATATTTTGTGAAAACTGGAAAAGTCACCATTAAACATAATGCGATGCAATGAATTTCACAAGTTAACAATTATGGTCAATTGATGCAATGGTCCTGCTATGTAAATGATAGAGCAATATCATCAATCATTTCACAAAAAAATTAAATAGCAGGCCCAAATTTTCCAGCCATTGAATTGTTGAAATTAATATACAATCAACAAAATGACATCTCGGGCATACAATTGTGTCTTGCTGATCAAACAATTTGAAACATTGCTTGTATAAAAAATTCGGTTTCAAGACTTTAGTTAAACAAGACATAGATTTGTGCAGTTGTACCCCCTCCGCCAAGCACTAGTAGTCAGCAATGAAATGGTCAAAAATGGTTTGTCAATCTTGGTATGTTTCTAGATGGTCTACAGCACAAGTATTGGCATTAGAGCTACAGTTTATCAGACACACATAAACAATTTATTAACGTATTAATTTATACACATGTCAACTTGAAATTAGTTGATTACCAGAACACTGCAATGGCATCCAACAGAAACTGCAGGAAAATCAGTAAGACAGTAACTTACCCATCTTCAAGAAAACATTCGTTCTTGTATCTTCATCGGTGAGCCATATTGAGAGATTTAATGCAGTTTTATGCACAAACGTTTGTATTCTCGCACGCGTTTCTTGGACATCCTCTACTACAGTTTCTACAAATTTCTTGGCTAATTCTTTCCTTTCCTCTACTGATATTGCTGTCATGGTGCAACGAATAAGACCCGCCAGCGACAATTTTTGAGCAATTCATTAGTTCTGATTCATCGATGATTTACGGCGTAATTACGAGTGGTAAAAACTATCCTTCTACCACTGGTCCACTGTTACTAGATTATTTCATTTACTGGATAGTGAAAATTTTTGAATATATTTACCCATGGTAAAAATAGGTACGTGCGCGTACATGTGGGTAGTCGGCAAAAATGCTGCTACAAAAACAAAGTATATTGATGAACAGCATTCAAATAATTCATTTTTTACAAATCAGAAGCGGGAAGAATCGTAATATTTCCTGCAATCTAGCTTACTGAAGTACGGGGCGGAATTTTACGATCGTGGTCCGGAGTCCTGTCATTTTATCTAGTTTTGAACTTATGTAAATCTTCAAGCACCATCTTTATACCAGGATTAAATAACTAGTAATTTAATAAATTAATTGTTCTTTCATGTTTAAAACTTTGAGCTTGGTTAATTTAGTACAATACGCAAACAAATTAAATTACATGTCGAGTAATTACTCTCAATTGCTGTAATTTACTTTTAACTCCTAGATTTCTTCTATGTACCACCTTGACTGTATTGTTTCATCTTGTTTTGAATGTAAGGCAATCATTAATGAGCTGCACCATTTTCATTATCCTTGTGATGAGAGGTACCATTTAGAAGAAGTTTACTAACATCGTTATTGTCCGGGGTAGAGTCCATATCACTGGCAATTGCTTTGATAAATCCACTCTTGCTCGTTGAAGCGACGCTCAACTCACCACGAATACTGGTTTCCATTAACTGAACAAATCAAAATAAATATTTAACTTTAAAAGATCAAAGTCACTCACCGTCAGGAGTACAGCTATCATCACAACACCAGGCAACTATTGGCAATGGCAAAATGTTTGATGCTTATGGAAAGGAAAAATTTTCAGTATAACCCTATTATCACGCAATATTCAGAAACGAAGCCAGCCAGTTTTTTTTTCTTACAACGCGAATGACAGCATGCAATTTTTTGATGGTTCTATGAAAATTTCAGATCGTTATCATATATTATATCTTTCATAGAAATGTAATGTTTTACACATTTTCTGGACGTGAGTGAGCACTGAAGTACTTGGTTCATTTACAGGAAAAACATCGAGTGGAATTTATTCTTTGAAGAAATGAATCATAATTTGTTGAAAATTTGTATTGTAAAAGTAGAATGACTTGGACGAGCTGGCTAAAAATCTTTTATTACAAAATTACCTCCTTCTTTTTGTCTAAAGGTAAATCCTTACTTAAAACGTATGAAAGTTTAGTGAGCGCTGCTTCAGTTGTTATGTCAGATCCAGAAAGGACACCGATGTCAAACAGAATCTAAAACAGAAATGATTCATCATGCTTTAAGTTTTATGGTACGGTGATAACGATTTAATATTAACCTTTCCAGTTTCAAAATCCTTTTTTACACCTCCCTTCAAACACTGGGTGCAGTTAAAAATAATTGCACCACGTTTAATTGCCTTTTCCAAAATTTCAATGAACTCTTTTCGTTCATTTGGACAATTTCCAGCGCCAAACGATTCCAAAACAATTCCCTTTACTGGTTCACGGCAAATGGATTCAACCTGTGGTTCCGCACAGGAAAATAATAAATTGCTTAATAAAAAATGAGGTCAAAACATAAGGACTTAAGCTATCCATCGTACTGTATTATCAGTTATTCCAGGAAATAGCTTCAGCACTCCAACATCAAGATTCAATTCTGTATGAACAGTAAATTTCTTATTAGGGTCACATCTCCAGATAACATCCCAGCGAACTAAAAAACAATGTAAATAAAGAAATTTAGTGACTGGTGAAGTGATTTCTTGAGGCCAGCCACCAGAGCCACAATTGTATGACTTAGCTTAAAATACTCTTGTCGACCTAGGAAGTTATGATTTTAAATATTAGCAATTGTGACAAACAAACACTTCAAATGATGCAAAAGTTTTAAGAACAAACTTTCAATCCCTTTTTCCTTCCTTCAAATTGGAGGCCCCTATTAGATGGAAGATCCCTGGAACTAAATGCTCTACCCTCCCTCCCAGCTGTCATGTGTAAAGCAGAGTCACTAACCATTAATTTCTGCACCAATTGTAGCAAGCGGGGCTAGATTGGGTGAATCAAATGCCAGAAAATCACCCGAATTGATCTTTGTGGTTCTATTACCACGATACAATTTACCATGAAAAAACAATGTCACCTGAGTAAAGACAAAAAATTGTAGCTATTCAAAATCAATTGCATAATTTAATCTCAACATGTAGTGATTTCATATCAAAGGTGCTGCCATTCACTTGACTACTTTTTTTTCTACTGCCCATGAACTTCATAAGCTTTCCAACATACCTTTGTTTTGAAATTACTACATCAACTGAGAGCTTTATAATTTATCTACATAAATCTTACTTCGGGAATGACAAAGTGACCAGCAAACATTAAAGCACCAAGTACATTATTACGGCCATCATTACGTTGTTCAAAAAGTGATATCTGTAATTGGAAAACAACTTATAGTCAGAAGAAGAAAAGTATTCAAAAACATTAATTTTCATTACTTGAGATCCAGTGAGGATGACAGTTTTGTGAAGATTTTGAAACATGAAGGAAAGAATAGATGCTGTGTAGGACATTGTGTCAGTACCATGAAGAATAACAAAACTGTCAAATGCATCATAATTATCCCTGACATCCTTGGCTATTTCAACCCAATCCTCACTGTCCATGTTCGACGAATCCTTTTTCTCTTCATATTCTTTGATATAATAAAACACACGTACACCATATTCAGATAACCTAAATAAAAGGCCAAAAATAGTGGCATATTGTATTTACCAATAGTAATTAATTTTGGCAGACATACGGCAACACCAATTCATGAAGATCATGGCTGACATCTGGCTTTCTCTGGTTTGGATATTTATAATCATCATCATGTAGCATGGGAAGTTTCTTAAGAAGGTCTGTGAAACCTGATCCACACTTTAAGCCTGCAATCGAAATGATATCAGATGATTTCATGCTTTTTCTGAAGGTTTTCACTAGATCACTTAGTTTCATCTACAACATTTACATACTCAGCATAAAAACAATATAAAAACATACAATTATTACTATATAATATGTTGGGCGGTAGTTTAGCTTTTAGCTGCATCGGGATTTCAGAGAATATTTTCGTTAAACGAAACGCAAGAAAATTTACCAGCATTCGATCGATACATCCCTATCGTTCCACCTGTATATAATACCAACACATTCGTTGATTTACACTTTTCTTCCTTCGAAGACATTATAATATTCGATGTTTCTATATTGTTGCCAAATAGCAAGGTGTTTATTTGCAATATGAAAGTGCAAAAAGACAAATAGAAGTAAACGAACACAAATAGAAGTACACGAACACAAATAGAAGCACACAAACACAAACACAAATAGAAGTACACGAACACAAAGAGAAGTACACGAACACAAATAGAAGTACACGAACACAAAGAGAAGCACACGAACACAAATAGAAGCACACGAACACAAATAGAAATACAGTCCATATTCTGCTTACTTTAACAATGATCAAACAGTAAGTACAGAGTTTACGTCACAATTGCTATCAGCTTAATATTCTGAGCTAACATTCTCAAGATGGAAGAAGAAATACAACATAACTTTAGTAAAAATTATCAAAACAAAACTACAAGCACTCTTATACGTTACAATACTGTCAAGGAAGTGACGTACAAGTCCTATATGGTTGTTGCCAACCAAAACAGGTATTTATGAATACTAACTAAAGCAGATATTTATAGCTTGTACATAATACAATTAATGAATCAATCAGCTGGTGAAATAATTCTTTCAACAGTATAGTATGGATTTCACCATAAACAAAAACTACAATATTGGAATGTCATATAATATTTAGATGTGAAGATATGACTTTAACGTCCCCACTAATTAAACAATATCAAACGTCCAAGAACTTTTCTCGTAAAGAATGCATAAAAACTCTTCAACTAATTCATTGTGTTAATAGGTGCTCGGAACTTCAAGTAAAGGACCACAAGTATGCGCAGCAGGACGACGGGATAAACCATTTAATGTCGGGGAATGTGATCTTCAACTTCATTCCTGGTGGAACCACTGTGGCTCCTAAATCAAACTGAAGAAATGCCATGACGTTACTTTCAGGAAATTTAATGAGTTAGGTCAAGTGGTCTAACGTTACGTGCTCGTTGTCATTTTGCGAAGATGCATCAAGCATTTTAATGACTTTCTTTTTCATCGTAAGACAGGAAATGTTTGAGATATTCTGGAATTCTACACCTTCAATCTTTAACAATTGTAGCATCAGATTCCAGCAGTTGCAATTACTTGGTAATATTGGATTCCAGGGTTAAGAAATTACTTGGTCATATAACTAAAGAGCATTTTCAAATCTTGAACAAGTTTAACTTAAATGATATTAAATACATAATTTTATTTGATTAAATCTACTTCATTCAGTACCTGTATATTTGCAGGCTACCAACATGTACACGCTGCGTACCTATTTTTTTAAATGTGTGCCGCTTTGTTGAAAACGCAGTGTTTTGGGAGATACACCCAAAGGCCAGGTAATGAAAATGAAACGTGAATTTTCATGAAAGCTACAATGTTATGACAAATGACTTCCTTGGCCCCAAATGTGGACACTGTTTTTTTTCCGAAACAAAACGAAATGGGAGGGAAAACCGGATGATCCGGTAAAAAACCCTCCAATAAAGGAAAAGATGAAAAATTTAGAAAAATTTTCCCAAATTTTTGGAGTTTTAAGATGTTTTATATTTTGTTCTTTTGTTCTTTTGTTCCGAATGATCCCGATGATCTACTTTAACATGCAGCGTAGTCAGATCGTGCATTACTGTCGCATAAAAAATTTAAATTTACAGAGCGACAATAAGTAGGCTGACTAACCAATTGACACAGCAAATATTTTGTGCTCGAACAAAAAGAAACGCAAACTTTGGTAGAAAGAGCGCAGTGTGTTAACAAAAATTTTATTAATAGAAAAAAAAACGAAAACGAATAGCAGCCATGTATAAATCATATGAAAAAATTATTCAGTACGTACGACCTGACCATTCACGTGCCAATAACAATGAAAAATAGAATGACCAAAGTGAAGTCATGACTTGTATAAATATCAATTTTGATGTTTACAAAACTCCATTCGATTCAAAATTTCGATAATGCGTCATTAAAACTTTCATTAATAGCTGGCTTTCACTCATGTGTTTTGTCAAAATATTTAACAATTGTGAAAACTTAGTTTTACGGAAATTTTTAACGGTTGAATTTGAAAATGTGCTATAATGGTGAACATTATGGATAACTAAAGTCTGAATCTTTCAATAAACATTCAGACTTTAGTTATCCATAATGTTCACCATTAAAGATGTGTCTTGGTGCTTCTGTCTGACTTGGTCTTCATTCATTGTCCAGTCAATAGGCCTACAGACATAGCTACTCTATAAAAAACATGTTACAAATGTCAGCATAATGAATGAACACAAACCAAACTTAAATATATTGAAAAGAACAAAAACTTTAATACCTGATTTCTAAGCGTAGTCCTGGTCAGTCTGATACAGGCGACTTGGTCGGTCTCGTCGTTTTCTTTCACCGCGCAGTTTTTACGTATACATCGTTAAAATTTATTTTAACATTTTTTTTATCTTCGAAAATTAAGAAATCCTACTTGCATCATTGCAATTTTTTTATAAACGTTGAATAAAATTAGTAAAAAGTAGCGAGTGAAAGCCAGCTATTTTCTCACGACAAGTGACATTTTTTACTGAATTTTTTTTAATTTGGGTGTTTTTCATGATTAAGGTTCAAATTATAATAATAGACCATCAGGACCCCTTTTTTAGCTAACTATCTCATGCAGTTACTCATATCCTTTAACACTTATCTACTCAACTTACAAACCACAAGACTTGGATCGTGTTTTTCCACTTGCTTGTTTTCCATCTTCGTAGATTATAGTCCGTTTTTAAAGTCCAATCATTCCATGACGTTCATACGTAGATGCCGTTATGAGATGTCCATTTAATATATGTATACAATTTCCTACGTCAAGTAACGGGCGTCATCAACCAATGTACTCTTTGGGTAACTTCAAACGAGGGAAAGGGATCACTTCAATACCCCAGTTATGTCATCACTCAAAGAATGCTTAATGCAGAGTTGATCTTCTATGAGTATCAGCTGACCACCTTTAGGTGGGCTCATATAACAATGGGGCCCATCATCATTATATGAACAAACAACTGACATCAACAAAGAATCCAAACTACAAATAAACATTCTTGGCCATGAATCACCATGACACATGAGTAATGACAAACTAGTAAGAGTGATCGAAGTGAATGACAGAGGTGGTAAAGGGACTTTAACAACTTCATCCATGTGGCATCTACCATCTAAAAAAGTATGAAACAGATATATAGAGAATGAGCAAATCATAATATATTTTCTGTTTGACTTTCGAAATGGTAGAACATTCACCTACATTACACGAATAGCTATAGTCAATTGAGTTCTACATGAACTTCCGAACGATCAAAGGCTTAACATCATAGTTAAAGCATATTACAAGGACTCCAAATACGACTATTTGATTATAAGATTATCGATTTTCAGAAAAACATTAGAAATAAATCAAGAAGCAAATAATAATTTATCGTCAGTGTAGTCACTTACATTTTTAGTTTCTAGCCGTCTCTTGCTGTTGATCGGATTATGCCCGAATTATCGGCTACAATCAATCTTCTCCTTCAGTCATATGAACGTATTTTGAGCTGTATTTTTCCATGTTTTCAAAACGTTTGTTCAAAGTCATACCTCATACTTTCCAATTCTTGTTCTGCTGCCTTCACTGATGTTGGCGGTCTTTCTTCAACACGTTCAAATACATCTGCAATCAAATGAGACGTCTTTCGGCAACTTGTCATCGATGATAGTTGAAGGCAGCATCTTAATTTTGCTTTGCACAATCACAAATCTTTATACCTGTCACCTATGTGTGTAGTCTTGTTCCATCTCATGTGAAAGATATCTACTTTCCATGACGCCTCGTGGTTTATATGTGGCAAAGTTCAAGTGACTAGCATGTCGTTATACATATTTGTTCCACATGATTAATTTATTGTTCGTACTTGAACAAAATACCAGATATCTATCAAATCTAATTTTTAAAAAGAAAACGTATTGTTGCCAAACAAAAGAGCTATGCTCTCCCTTCATTAATATACGTAAAATGCACATGACAATTGACCATTTTTCTGTGATATTACGCAAATCATTTATTAATTAAATTTATTCAGCCTGTGCCTAAATATTACGATTAAGGGCGTTAACATGTTGATGACGTCAATCAAAACGCCCTTACACCCTCTCCTAACGTTACGGTGCGGTACGTATATTCACTGACAAATAGCTTTATTGGTAGACGTTGTTGCAACTCTGCATTGATAGCTTGCAGTGTAAAGTGGGGTTCGTTGAGAATCACTTCCAAATTTGAGATAATAGTCCTTCTACATGTCGTCTCTCATGAATATCTGTAAATACTTCGGCTTGCTCTTGACCGGTTTATCGCCCAAGTTATCGTCAGTTTTCGAGTAATATTGAAAGCACCAATCAATTTTTTTATTTTTTTCGTTTCTTCATGTGTACTTCCACTTCTCATCCTCTCTGTCATTGATATTGCTGTTATTCTTTTCATTCACAAATCTGAATACAACGCTATTTTTGTAGGCTTTGTTGTTAATTATTTACACATAACCTTATGCTTGGTTCACACGTGTACAGATCATAAGTTTGAACGATAAGACTTTTATTTATTTTGCCTAGAGATTTACAAAGAAAAAGAAATTTTATTTAAATTTTATTTTGTTCTTCGTTTAGATCATGCTTTAAACGCGGGCCACAGAGTGCACACGACTTGGAGTGTTCTCAAATAAGTGTCGATTTTGGTCAAACGAGGTGCAACCGTGCATATTTTATTAACAGCAAACGAGAGCTATCGGCCGAGGTAAAAGTCACTTGTGCCCGTTAGCTCAAGCTATAACTCGCTGTGTTCGCATGAATTTTACTGAGTTTTACTGCTCAAGCAACCTTTTCTCGCATATCAAACATTTTTGGTAACGCGAGGCAAAAAACTCACCGCTTGCGCAGATTGTGAGCTAGATGCTGAGGTAAAACCAATTTAATAATCAATAGTGATGCGTCTTTTTATCTCGTGAACAAACAGCAAAATATCGATTACAAACAGGTCATGAACGAATACCCATTTATGCTTTTACATGCTCAACGAAATATTTTCAAAAATTTCATGTTATGAGAGTAAAGTCGAGAATAAAGTATGTTAAACGGCCAACATGCAGATGATTTTTTTACAAAGATTTTGTCATTTGTCTGCTTTAATTCCTTTGCAATTTCATCATACGCAATTTAGCCTTTTGTATTTTAAAGTGCGGCGAACTAACATCAAATACACAGGGGTAGTTTAGCCATAGGTCAACATGTTTGTCAATGACTTGAATTTGTCTAACATGTACTGGCTCATTAATTCATTTGTATCAGTGGCCTATATTTTGACGTTTGGTCATTGGTTCTTTATGTGAGCATCTAGCTCACATTGAGTGCAAACGGTGAGTTTTTTGCCTCGCGTATCCAAAAATATCAAACATGCTTGTTATGCAAGAAGGTTGCATGAGTAAATTTCCTCCTTATCAACGTGAGATTTAATACTCTGACAGCTGAGTTGCAGTTCTAATTCACTCATTTTTAAAAGAAAATGATGGAATTGATGTATCAGAAAATGATCATTTCTTTAAGGTTATTATCGCTAAAATCAATGTGCTATTGATATTTTTTGAATGAAAGTTGTCCTAGTTTACTTGCATTAGCAATATTCATGAAACCTCATTCCCAAAATCATTCTGCAACAATTCGTGCTTCGCTGGGAGAATAATTATCATAATTACTTACGACAAACAAATTTTGATTCAAAATCCTTGATTTATACCATCACTATTAACTATAATCCCCCCAGCGACGCAACAATTCATGCGTTGCTGGGGGGATTATAGTTAATACCCCCAGCTAATGAATTTTTCATAAGTAGAGATAAAAACGTCGAGTTCTTAAATTTAAAAAATCTGCTTTATGGTAAAGCCTTTGTGCTCTTACGGACAAAGTGCAAGTCCAACTAAATGAATCATTTTAATTTTTATAGGGTCAGTATACAACAAAACATTAATGGTGTGAGCCACGTAATTTTTTAATGTATAAAATGATTTAAAAATTCCAAGGAGCTATCTGCGGGAGGAAAGTCTTCAATTACATATATTTGATAAATTATTGATGGTTTGTAGGGTGCAAAACTAAAGATGAGATGAAAATATTATTTGAATGCTGTTCCACTGTCATAGAGACCAGTGCTTTAGAAGACTAGCCTGGACAGCCTTGGTGCGTGAAAAATTTGCAGCTTCAAACATTCGCGTATAAATAGAGACATGCAACAATAGTAACTATGATAACTATTTATGAACTCTGTAATTATATAACATTTTATTAAAAATCTTTTGAAGCCGATGTCTTCTTACAGAAAACATATTTCCATTAAAAAGACGTTTCCTGTTCTCATGTTCTTGAAAATCAAATAATTTTCCACTAGTAATGATCGCTCAAAGAATAAAATAAAAGCAAATTAAATTCTACTATTCATGATGCTATCTCAAAATATTTTGCATCTTTTGTGTCTATAATTAGCGCATCTTCACATTTTCATTAGTTAAATCAATATTGCAAAAGATGAATGCGAAGGAGATTAAAAATCAATTAAAAGTCAGAGAGTAAAATATGGTTAGTTCACACGAGCAAAACAAGCACGAACGACACGATTTTTGTTCTGTGATGTCACCATTCAGTTTATTCAGTCGTGCTGTGAAAATTTTTGTCTGTTCCCCATCACTGTGAAAACAATAGACTTCTAAAGATATGAATAATGAAATGGTCTAGTATTTACATAGCAGGAGTTATCTTTTTTATTCTTTATTATTTTCTTTTGTTTCCGTTAAGGCATTGACTTTTTTCACTTCAGTGAACCAGGCTCAATATTTACGTTACAATTAGAGAAAATTACAATAAGATTATTTTTTTGTGTACTGCTGTTAGTATTCGTACCGTTCTTGTTTCTGGTGGCGAAAAACAATGGTAACAGGTAAGCCATGTAAAAATTAATTACTAAGAAGTGAGGTCTAATTAGAGTGTGTGTAGATCTGTCAATCATATGACAATTTTGGACGAATGGTTGTCCAGATATGATTAACCAGCTGACATACAGACGTGTATAAAAAGAGTATCCACACAAAAAAATTTTCGTACAATCAGAACACTATCTTAAAAGGACGGTTGAAACGAGATATTAAGAAGACGAACCAACTAAAATCATCACTTGTTTTGGTAAGAAAGGACAACTTCTACATTCTAATAAATGTTTTTTAAAGTATTTTTCGAATTATTAATTAAGGAATTTGACACTTTCGTTGCAAATTAAACGTATAAAATGCTTTTGTTTAATGCGTTCGTTTTGTAGAATGTAGCTAATTAAGACAAAAATGCAAAACCTTTATGAGCTCTTTATGATCTTAAAGTATGTTTGATAATGTACTGCTTTTGTTAAAGGTAAAATATGAAGGTATTGAAGGTGGTATTATTTCTTATGCTTGTTATATTGGCTGTCCATGGAAAGAAACGATCTAGTGATAAGCTGTTGAAGAAGTTCGAGTCAAATCGTACGTTGATCATATATCTAGATACTTAAACTAACAGAGCTATTTTCTTCTGTAGAGCTATTTGCTTTTCGATGTGTTAAATGAAAAACTAACAGTGTAATCATTGTATATTACTCTTACACAAATTGATTTTTTTTCAAAACAATTGCTCTAAAAGCTTAAAATGTGCAAAACGATATTTGAAATAAAAGTTTTACTTTCATTTGAATTGATACAAAACCATTACCAAGAACAGGGACTTAAATTTATTTCTTTTTGAGTAAAAAAGCACTCGAGTATCATATTTTCATAAGCTACACTTTCATCTAGGATTTGCAAGAACACACGAGTCTTGTTCTTGTGTAAACGGTCTTCAAGGAGTTTGCGAGGACAATGTCTGCCCAGGAGGAAAACAAAACTGCACTGGAAGCTGTCCTCATACTGGAGAAGTTTGCTGTTACTGATGTAACCTATAGAGTGGTGTTTAGCATGTAATGACGAATTATGGGTGTAATGATTAAATAAAAGTATATTGCAAGAATGGTGAATATATTGATTTATGTTTGTGGTGTTTGTATTACTAACAAAAAAACTATTATCTGCGATTTCAGTTCATGCACAATGTCTCATTTTCGACTAACAAACCATTTCAAATTTTCTGTTTATTTGTTGTATTTCAACTACAATTACTGCCATATATCGACATGGAGTTTTGAACAGTTATTTTCATGGTTTTTCTGGCTTTTCTCTTTAACGTTCAACGTAAAAAATATGATTGTAGCCTATTTGCTACTAATCACCGGTTAAAGATCAAAACTTTGGCATCTGATATTTAAACACATTGATGAAGACGTTTTTTAAGATGCTGTTGAATAATATTCTTTAGTCAAACCAATATTGTAAGACTAATGTTCTTTTCTTTAAAGCCAAAGTATTACTTCCTTTCTTTACTAAAGAAGATCAAATATAGCAAAACTGTAACCATAGACACATTAACAATAAAATAATGGACGATGTTAACTTACGATGTTGCTCGATCTGTCGCTTACAGCACTAGACACGTGATTGCATAATCCTAACAAATAATATCCTTGTGGAGTAGATATAAAGCCATAAACTAGATTGCCATAGAGGTAGTGAATTCTGCCCTTCTAAAATGGGTCCAAGTAAGAGTCTCCCGACTATAACTCGCTAATTACCATTCCATAAAAACTGTTAGGAGAGAATCAAGTTGTATGGCATATTGGATATTGTTCAATTATTCAACAGTGTGATTAATCCACGTTAGTGACTTTCAAAAATTCATGGCGACTTAAGATAAACGCACTTTGTGCGTTCAGACTGTTGTGTTATATCCTCCTAAAAATATTTATTTTGATCATTCTAGTTAGTAAATTTTAGGAAAACACACTTTATTGTTAAGCTTTGAAAATAAAAATATCTTGAACACATATGCTGCAGTTTATGCAGTCTGTTAAGACTCAAAATGTCGGCATACTTTTTTTATTGTTTGGTTCATCTCTACTGTAAACATTAGTAGATTTTTTGTTCCGATTTCCTTTCAGATAGTTGTTTGTCAACTAATTATTGCTCTTATGTAAATTATAATGTCACGGGGAACTCAATACGCCATTTGTCATATTTCATTTTATTACCATTAGTTCTTATGTTGTGTCATATTACTCGACACGAACTATTCTGTAATCTTAACTGAAAATAGCATTTTGATAATGCTCTTAAGAAAATTGTCGTCTTGATTAAATGTTGTTGAAATTTATCGCTACTGAGTAATTATAGTGAATGAAATACAATTACAATCAAATAAGACAATGAAAGCAAATGGTAAATTTGCAATACGGAGATAGGTAGCTTTACAAACAGCTCCCGGAATATTGTTTTGACACGAAAAAATGCGTACTCATACAAACGTATGCTCTATCCATTTCATTAAAATTATTGAAAATTTACACACATGAAAGAGGTTCAAGCTGCAAATTTAGCTCCAGTTTAAAAAATTGCGCACATTGCTTTATGGTAACAATATGTGAACGAAAAATATTGGAAAAGTTAGCCGATCGTGCATTAAAAAAGAGTACATCATTCACTGATTATAGATATGCTTTATACAAGCTTTACATTTATAGCTTGCTTATAACAAAAATACGATTTAATACGACACAAGCGCGAGATAAAAACCAACACGACAACGCCAGTTCAAACTTCAACGTTTTTCCGGTAGCATGTAGAAAACGCTATTGCACCTTTTTAGGTTGCTGCCATATGCTCGCTCGCTCAAGGCTTGCTGGCTGCAGCAGCAATAAATATTCCATCAAAAATGATCTTAACTTCGTTTGTAGAATGGCATCGCTAGAATAAATTTTTAGAGTCTAAATTTTTACTGCTTATAAGTGTTCTTTCAAATTTTTGTATTTGCGGTCAAATAGTTCTAAATTGAATTTTTAGAGTTTAATTTTTACAAACGCTATACTTTAATGTACTTTCAAGATCTTTTACTTGGAATTTGATATTGTAGCATATCTACTTTCTCAAAATAGGCTTGGCCGAATACTGCATAGGAAATTGTCATCTTTACTTAATAACACAAATATCATTATGTTGAGACACTTGTTTCCAACATTCAATGAAGTAATGTATCTTGGATTAGCAGCACGATCAAGGAGTATACTCAGCACTCAATTTTTAAAAATCAACATGCAGAATGTCGCATGTTGGAATCTTAATTTATTGACGATGCTGTTGGCTTGCAAAATGAAGACGAAAATCTTAAGTCATGGAGTATATAGTCATAGGTAAGTTATTTTATGAAAATTTGTTTCGTTGCTCATTGCTAAATGAGAAAACTTTTAGAACATACGAATTCAATACAAAACAATAGTTATTTCAACAAAAAGTACAATATAAATACTTGAATGATGGCGATGACCAAAGGGTAATAATTGCTGTTTCTTCCTTTTCCTATACAAGCGAGTAAACACATGTCAAAAAGCGAGTCACTCAAATTGGAAACAGTAGCATTTTTGTAAATGATGGAAGTATTCTTATGGATTGAAATTCATTGCCTCAAAGCATGGCATGAGAAAAGAATGAACGAATAAATTACTCATGTGAATATAATTTCGTAAAAGCACTATTGCCAATACACATTTAATATAAACGACAACTTTTTTGAAAATAGACATGTTTCGACTGCCATACTGAAGATGGCATCATGAGATGTCGAAACATGTCTATTTTCAAAAAAGTTGTCGTTTATATTTCATGTGAATATATAGTATGTCAAACTAAGTATCCAATAAAAGACGTTTATAATTGTACTTTCTGCAATTGAAATAATAAATTTTCTAAATTTTATTATTAAACAATCTTACCATTTGTTTGGAAAACAATCCAATCGCTTTGTTTTCCTTCAAATTTCACTCCAAGCCCTTTTACAGACACTTCATAACGTGTTTCATATAAGAGATTTCTTAGGAAAAATTCGGATTCGTTCACTGAGACATTATAATGAACCATATTTGTTGTGTTTGACAAAATGACTCTATAACCACGTAAATTGTCATGTTTCCATTGATCTTGGCTGATTGGCGACCATGAAACGACAGCGGAAGATACCATTATGTTCGTCAAAGATACATTCTCAGGTGGTGGATTTATCACTAAAATAAATAATAACTAATGCCAATAGATTTTGAGAAAATACATTCATTGGAGTAAGATTATAATAGTTACATTGTAAGGATTACATTACTGGCAAAAATATTTCTTCATGCAAGTTGGGTAATGCTTACAACTGTACAATATATCATAGTAATACCAAGATGACTAGTGTAGCAAAAATATTGGTTTAAAATATAAAACTGTTATTTTCATTCTTTTTACGTATTGTTATAAAAATGAACATCATTGTACACGAGTTCTTTTTTCGACTTCATCAAGTGTTATCCGAATAACATAACACAAGATAAGAACAAATTCTTGATAATATTATCAACACCCATGAACTTCATTTTGATCTTATACATCACGCAACAGTTATATTATCTCGTAAACCCACCCACCCCCCCTCCCATAGAAAAACTATGAAAGCTACCTGACATTTATGATTGAAAATACACTCATATAACAATAATTCAAAATCTTTTTACATTTTGTGCGTGAATGGTAATGAAAATTCCACGTGATTTTACGACCACATAAAATTGAGCGATGTGTAAATGCAATAAATAATTACATACCTAAAGTCGAAAATGCTGCATATGAGATTACAATGTCGCCGTTTTTTGTTAACGCTCGAAGTTTGGCCTTACACGAAGTGCTCGTAAGCTGATTCATGACGTCGACTATCATGGTAGTACCATTAACAACACGATCTTCAGAAAATGTTTCGCCACAAGTTATGGAAACATTATAGAACGCAACTGTGCCGTTTATGAAGTCAGGATTCCATGATATCCTCGTAGTTGTCAAAGTTTCGTGCATAACTAATGAACAATGAAATCATTTTTAAATAATAAGTTAATCATTTATGAAATATTTGAGACACGTATAATACATAATCATAGCAGTTTCACTCAACGTGACGGTTAAGTTTTTAGGATATGAATACTCTTAAAAAGATAGATTACCTTTCATTTTCAGAACGTAAACATTTTCACTTCTTGCTGTTCCTTCTCTACCTTTAGCAAGACATTGAAGACGCAAAGATTGTCGGAAATCAGAAATGGTTATTTTTGAGGTGATAATGTAAGTATTGTTTCGAAATTTCACTTGTCGTTGAGCAATCTTTACATGTTGAGGTAATATTTCCATATTTGAAAAAGTCACGTTGCTAACTACCCAGTCCAAATTATGTTTTGAGGTTCCACGTGTTTTGCACGTGATTTCTACCTTTTCCCCACTCAAATATTTTACAGTCGGCAATAAATTAGCCACAGTAGGTGAAGTTAATTCTAGAGAAAATGAAAATAAAGAAAAGAAATACTTTGAAAAATACAATAATAAAATCTACCAATTATTCCTGCGATCAACTGTACAGCAAGTCATGTTAGGAAGAAATTAACATCAATGAAAAAAAATACTCACTTGTAATGTTGAACATGATTTCAGCTCTATTACATAAACCAAACGATGCATAGATCCCACACACGAACCTCTCATTTGCCGTAACATTTGTAACAGTCGTATAGCATGACGCAGTTGCAGTTGGATCCGAATTCTTTATTATGCATTTGTGAATAGGGGGGAAATCATCGTTACGGAAGAATTCAATTGACACAAGGTGAATGACATCCGGCTCTTCGTCCTCAAATTTTTTTTTAGCTTTAACGACAGTTCCGGAACATGCCAACGTAACATGGGTATATTTGGATATCAGAGGATATGGTTTTGCAGAGTATTTTATAATTGGCAGCTCTTCTCCTGAATATCATAGATAAATATTATGAAAAGAAATTAAATACAGATTTCATACTTCGCTTCAAAGTAAGCTGAGCAGATGTATATTGAGCTTGAGTCTCCTATCCATAAGATAGTGATATTTCCAGATTATTACTTAAGAAAATGGAAACATTTAAAGAAAGTTAGGTACGTAAATTTTATATTTGTGAGTTTACGTTGCATTTTATGAATTGCAGTACCAAGTTAAGTAACATATTTAAAAAGTTATGGATCGATAGGAAACATTTACTATACATTGAAGAGCTCGGTCTGAGCTTCATACAACAAGTATTCCAACCAAAAGAAATTTATTTCATTCTCTTAAACGCCGTTATCATGTAAAACTGAAAGGTTTATACGTGTATAACATGATTAGATCTCAAACAAGCATTCTATGTAAACATTGTTTTACTCAATATTGCAAAGAGACCAGTAAAATCATTTTAACTTACGATCAATGCCATTCACCGCACAATCTGAACTACGATCTGTGTATGTTGCCATAACAACTGACATCACAACGATCATGAAAACCACAATGAAATCTATGCAGAAAATACGTTAACACAAATAAAATTCATTTGCATCTAATATGTCACGATAAATCAATTTCTATAAGATTATTGTCATTTCCTCTTCTCTTCAGCCATTAAACACAACCTTCAACGTTAAATATGATTGATGAAATATTTAAGGCTATTTATCCTTATGAAAGTGAATGACTTGTATCTAATTGCCCTTTTTTCTCCGTTAAAGTTAGGGTCAAGGCTCAATTTCAGGAGAAAATTGATGAAATTTCTTACATAATATAACGTCGTAGATGTAATTAATTTTAAATATACAAAAAACGAAATACTCTTTTGACTCGATTTCTAACATTTAGGTAGACTTGGAGATTAACTTTTAGAGGTTGAAATAAAGTTAACATGAGATTTTAAATGGTTATATATGTTGCACATCTTTGTTGCACAAAGCATATATATACATACGTTAATTTTTCAAATGAAAAAGAACTTACTTCGGTTGATAACGTTAAGATGATTCATTACTGTCCTTTTTGTTGATTATATACTAGCTATAAAGAGAAAATATGAAAATAAGAAAAAGCTCGTGGAACGAGGGTAAAAATTTTTATAGATGCTTTATTTTCCAAAAACATACATACGACAACGTGTTTTTTTCTGCTATGAATTTTAATTTTTGGTGGAAAATGTTTAGGAAAAAAATTCAAAAATAAATTCAAAAGTTCCGCTTCGTCTCTTTTCATGAGCCGCACTGCGTTCAAACCACTTGAGTTCAAATGAAAACAAGTTTAAACGCTATTTAAAGAAGAGTGTTCGCAGCCAAGCTATAATTTTCGATAAAACTTTCATATTTCTTTAACGAGGTGGTCTTAATGTATATTCTGTAAACCCAAATTAAGATCTGGATGTCATGAGCAGATATAACTAGTGTATAAGTAATTTACATAAGTGGCTTGGACAACGTGGTATCTAAAAACTACTTTATTCAACATTTGATGAATATAAGTATAAATAAATTGCATCTTAATGATATCTAAATGCCCTTTTTACTCCGCGCCAATGACGTGCCACCTCACTTCACTTTCCTTTGACGTGTAATTTGAAAAGATTGCTTGTGCAGAAGTTTCGTTTTTATAGCAGTTTAAAAACCTTTCAAAAGATTTGATGCTGATTAAATTAAACGACTTTCTCTGATAGAAATTTGGAGAAGTATGCGGTCAATCCTTACGATTTCTTTTGGCTTTTGCAAAGCAACGGTTTCATAAACATACAAGAGCGTACTTCGAGCTAATTAAATAATTAAGACTGTTAGCACGCAATAAAAAACATTTCTATACACGATAATACCTTAAGTGAGCAGATCTTCTCGAAAAATTGATAAAAGAATGCAGCACTTATTGAAACTTGTTATAATTACTGACTGTAATATATAGTTTGTATATTCGTAAACTGAATATAAACTTATTAACATTTCCATCCTGTATCAAGTCTGACGTAAACATAGACCATCACACGACAACTAGTAGCTTTTTCCAACATATCGGCAAGATTCCCGCAAGCAGAAAGAGACAATAACAAATAGCAATAGTCACGTAAAGGTAGCAGAACGAAATTGACTTTATAATGACAACCTCTTTAAATGATAACAATAACAACAACAATTGTTCAGTTTAAAACTTGTTTCAGCAATATAAATTGCTCATTGCTGGGAATATCAACCAAGGACCTGTTTCTTGAAATACTACCAGGGATTGGATTGATATTTCCAAAAGCAGCATTTCAATGTTAACGCAGAAAATAGAGAATAGATAGAACGCAATTCATATATACGACAACTATCACACAGGAAGTTTTTTAAAAGTGTGCGTGCGATATAATATTTACGCATTTCTGAGGTGCAACTCTTTTACAGGAATTTTAAGAACAAAGTAACTTTTACCAAGATGAAGAAAATTTTAACTGCAGAAAATAAAATCATTACACAATGCTGAGTACAAAAATCATGTACGCGGCTAATTCGATGAAAGTGCGCTCATGCAATCTCTTGGGTAAATATTGTGGTATAACACAAAGATTAGATTTGGTACTTACATATAAGATCCTGTTTTATTGAGATGGAAAGTAGATGTCATTCGTGTTCGTCGCGTTTGTGAAAACATCGAGCGGAAGTTTTTTGCACCCTGCAAAATGAAATATATAATTAGAACCACGCATGCCTAAAAAAGCAAGCATGCAGAAGATAAAGCCTTTTATACTTTCATTAATTTAAACCAGACATGTTACTTTGTCTTGAATGAATATATTTTTGAATAAATCATCTCTAGCAATAACTGTATGAGGTGTCCTCACCTTACATTGTTGTCATTGCACTTTAATAATGTTTATGTATTTGCTCCTAAGCAAAAAAACCCAAATATCATGAAATGAAATATTTAAATAATTTACAAATAAGGGCGTAAGTGCTGTGTAGAGGAATGACAGGAGGGGAGGGGGCTTGAAAGGCTAACTTTTTATTTGCAATAATTCCGTGTTCCACAAATACATGATCTCTAACCTTGACACTTCATGATCGATTTTTTAATTTAAAATATGTTTACTTGAACATGGAAATGGTCCATTTTCAGTGGTATTATTGCTCCTAGCATGTAAAGTGTAATGTTTAACGTAGTTTAAAGAGCTTAAAAGTTTCATATAACTTACATTGTTGATAACTTATTTTATTTCATCAATTAAAATGACACTAGAGATAGGTTATTCCTTTATGGATAGTAAAAATCGTTAGTTAAGATATATTTTCAATAACATATATTTTTAGATAGTTTGCATGAATCATTAATTTTTATCAATGCTACCATTATCCATTGATGCTGTTAATGAGATCCCAGAACTCGAGGAGTCTTCTTCCGTATGGTTTTCGATTGCTGAAGACGTTATTTCATCAACTTCGTTATGGAGACGAACGTTGATATAGTGTTTCTAAAAATTAAAAAAATACCAGACTTACCGACAATCCTTAAAAGGCTTAACAAGTGAAATTCTTCTGCGCTCTTTCATTGGCTTAACTCAAAATAGACAAGGATGCCATGTTAAACCCGCGACGTGTTATGCTTATATGCGCTCTTTCATTGGCTTAACTCAAAATAGACAAGGATGCCATGTTAAACCCGCGACGTGTAATGCTTATATGCGCTCTTTCATTGGCTTAACTCAAAATAGACAAGGATGCCATGTTAAACACGCGACGTGTTATGCTTATATGCGCTCTTTCATTGGCTTAACTCAAAATAGACAAGGATGACATGTTAAACCCGCGACGTGTAATGCTTATAAGTCATAAATATATCAAATTCCCTCTATATTTCTTTCACCGATAAAAAAGGAAGATCGTTTCTGTTTTAAGATCATTTTTTTAGAGATCGTCTCTGTTTGAAGATTATTACTGTTTAGAGATCATTTCCTATATTAGGTAGCGCCCATTCATTTAGCTTTGAAATAAATGATTTCTTTTTGCAAAGCGTATTTACTCGTATTAAAATAGAGTTTTCCTCGTTGACTATAATAATGCTTCGCGGTGCAATATAAAAGTACGATTTTGGGGTAGATGATAAAAAATGAGATTACAATTTGAAAATCGTGTTTGTTTTTTGCGACTCAAAAATACAACAAGTATCTTTGAACAGCCGCGGAGTTGGTCCACTTTACCTCTTTTTCGACGAGCATATTCTCCAATGACAAATGAATATCTGAGAAACTCGGCCTTTTCTTTTCCTCTTGTTGCCAGCATTGACTCATCAACAAATATCTATAAAAATATTAGAACATAATATTACATATAATCTGTTCATAAATATGTCCTTCAAAAACACTAGGTGTCTTCGTTCAGCCAATGAAATATAAGCAATATACGATAAAAAATGGCCAATAACAAACCATGGCAAGTGTTGTGTTGGTATAACTCGCCTTAGCCCTCTTAGAAGTTTTTCTCTCCTTATTAATCGGTGCATAAAAACTTACATTTCTTCGCTGCAATGTGAGGGACGCGTCATTCTATTTCCTTTAGTCAGGTAATCAAACATATTGTAAGGCGACGTGTCCTCATAAGGTTCTTTACCTAGTGTGTAAAGACATGTGCTGAATGATATAACAGATTACATTCGGTACCAGGTCTCTATATAATACATACATGTCATTGAAGAGTATGAGAACTTAGCTATACTTAAAATTTTTTAATGCTATAAAAAGTTAATGCATGCACTTAAAACTTAAGAATAAAGAAACTGCTAGCACATTTTACAAATAAATATTATAAAGTACAGACATAACTATTAATGTCGAAAATATACAGAACATGTACTATTACAATTTTATAGGTGTAAATCTCCCATAAGGAAAAAAAGTGGCTAAAATTTGAGCAAGGAGTCAAAATTTCCACAATTTCATTCCAATTCTCCATAAAAAAAACGGAACTACGTGCGAGTGATGAATTTAAGGAAATTTTCCCATTAAAACATACCAAGAGTACAAATTTCCCATAACAATACCCCATACGACCACCTATGGAAAGAAGAGATGATAAAAACGAAAAGAGTAAATGGAAAATTAGACAAAGAGGCCGGTTTCAACAAGGAATTTACACTTTTGCGTTTTGACATTCACGTAGTTACATTATCGTAGCTTAACTATTGACTTAACGACAAACTCACAAAGATTAATCACTTGTTACAATGCTATCGCTTCGTGTGCTGTTAATATATTAATCTAATTTGGAATATGATAAAATGCAAAACGATATGGGATTGTAGATGCCTCTCTATATGTATTCGAAACGCAAACATTCCCTGAGTAGATTTAGACAGAATTCTGCATGGTGTTTACTTCTTATTTGTTTTGATGTTCCCTTACGGACAAAACTTTAAAATGGAAATCTTTACGAAAATCTTATAGGCTACGTCATTTCCTGTCACTAAATGCTTTAGAATGTTACTTACGTATCGGACGCAGATGTAAATCGCCCTTCAAGCAAAGATTCTAAAGACATCCATTTCACAGGAAGCATTTTCTGTAAACATGGTGAATAAAAAGATGATCGGTATGGATCAATCACTTATAAAGGAATTTGGCGAACACAATACATTCACTGTCTAGAAAATAAGTATTCCAGGGATAGCATAGAGTGTTTACTCTCATTAAACATTGTGTAGGTTGACTTGCTTCACAACAAAGTCAACCAAAGTTTTCCAACTTACATTTTTGTTAACAATATAATGACGTGTAACATCAATTTTTCTTGCGAGTCCAAAATCTGCAATTTTTAGAGCAAGTTGTTCCGTCAAGAGAATGTTATGGCAGGCAATGTCTCGATGTACAATCTAAAATATAAGAAATTAAATAATTTCATAGAAAATTATGGTACAATTAAAATGAAATCATCCTTTCACATCTATTCTACTACACAACACACTAAACTCTGTAAAAATAACCACGATTTTTACTACCTCGACAGTTACTCTACTCTTTATAGGACGGGGATGCTCTAGTTTCGATAAGATTTCAGTGGATTTTACAGTTACATATCACATCTTTTATGCAAAATTCATGAATGTGAAAAAGCACCATGCTTAAGTGCTTTGTATATTAATAGTTAGAAGAGAAATTGACAAACTCTCCAGTAGCTGAGGCTAGAAGAGATGCACAAATCACATTAAATCAATCCCTGCATTAACCTACCTTTTGCTCGTTCAAAAACATCAATCCTTTCGCAATCTTTGAAGCGAAGTTAATCAGCTGCTTTTCAGTAAGCTTTGAATAAATGTTCTCATAACTTTCATGTTCTTCACGGTTGATTCTACTTTCTTTCAAAAATTCCTTTAAATTTCCTCGACAGCAAAACCCCATAACCAACAAGATGGGCACTATAATAATAATAGCTGATCTTTATTGAGGATGCCAACATCACTAAAAAGTGGTTTACAGAGGGGTCCTCTAAAAGTGACTAAATATAATATAACTACTTAAAAATAAAAATAAAAAGAATACAAATCGAAAAATATGAAGATAAAACTACATCATTTGAAAAATTAACATGCTAAAAACGAAACTAATTAAAATAGTGCTTTCTTTGATACCTCACGTTTAAAACCATCGCTTTAAACCATACTTTTTCACTATAAGTGAAAAAGGCAAAAAATTCTGATTCACAACACGATATTGAATCGCAGGGCTAAAAGATATTGAGGACAAGTTAAGAAGTAAAAATCTCCAATCTAGCCAGGCAGAAAAGTACTAAGTGAAATGTGAAGTTACTCCATTCATCTCTTATTGAGCCTTTCCAACGAACGATAAGCACATCTTACAGTTTATCTTTTATAAGAGTTAGTATCTCTTCCTTATAGTTGGTAGCCCCCTCATATAGTTAGTAAAGTAATGAACAGTAAATAAACGCAATTTCAATAAAGACAAAATTGCTCTTTGAATAGTTCATAGGAAATCATAAACTGGACAAAAGATGAGACATTTTAAGAGCAACTTATAAGACAACAAGACGACTGAATCCACAATGAAAATTTTCAATAAAAACTGTGTGCTCCTGGATAGCAAGAATAAGACATTTTTGAATTCTCGAAGTCAGTTCTCTTTATTTGCTCTGTGGAGAATACCTTCTTGTGTACATGCACCATGGAGTTTGATGACGTTTTCATGACCAATGGTGTTCACGTATTGGAGAATTTCAAATTCTCGAATCAACTCAAACCAGTCGCTTTGGCCACGATTGGCTAAAACAAAAATAGTTATAGTTATTGTCAGAGGATCTATATTTGGCTACAATAGAGCAGTAAAGCATTTCTTTTTTTCTCAGTTTTCTTTAACTTGTAGAAAAACATAGGACAAGTTACTTGTATATGTTGTTTGAAGTTATTTGTAGTAAAATTGAGACTATAGCCACATTGCCTGCATTTGAATTGAAAGAATACAAACACTAGCAAGTAGCAATGATCATTGACTGAAACTATTTTTGATCATTTGTTTCGAGCCCATGGTCAAATATTCTGTCTTGGTTGAATTTAAACTAAATTTTTTCCCTATCAACCACTTTTCAAGATTTTTCAAGTCAGAGTTTACTGTCGTTTCTAGCTCAACTATATTATTATTTGAAGCAGTTATGCTTGTATCATTAACAAACATTTCTGTGTACATTGCTCTAAGCATTAGGGAAAGTCATTTATGGAAATGGAAAGAAATTAATTTATTTTGATGCTTTTGTGGCATTTTACGCTGATATAAAAATTTCCGTCATTACAAAAAGAAATCACTCTTCAAAATATTTTGCGACAGTCAATGAACGAACGAGTAATTTATTTGAACATGCCAATCATTTGGTAGATACCTCTGAGAGTTTTCACAGCAACACGAATTTCTCTCTCAGATTCATCAAAAGATGTCTTCATTAGCAAACCTTCTCTCACCAAACCAAAATATCCACCGCCAAGGACATGATCAAATATGGCCAACTGACTCCGATCTATCTCCCATTCTGATGCGTCTTAAAAAATAATATAAACATATGCTGCTATCGATTCCATAAAGTTTTTACTGCCTAACGTCTAGTGCATAATATTTAGTGTACATACTACATAGCCTAATAAATAGTGTGTAACTTAACATCAAGTGCATGACCCATACTGCCTAACATATAGTGCATAACAGTTGCACTCTAAAACCATGCACAAAAATGAATCAACGGACTCCTAAACAAATCATGTAGGGTTAAAATAACTGTCAAAACAGCTTGGTCAGGGTAGTCTCGAAATTTTCCAAATTGCTCAAAAATATCATAAAAATTTATAAATAATTAGAATATGCAATTTTATGAAGTCTCACCTTCCAAATCGCTGGTCATGTCACTGCCAAAATATTCCGGAAAAAGAATTCGAAGATTTATCATAGCATTATTGGAATCCATCTAAAAAATTTTGAGTAACAAAACTAGTTCAGCAAAAAGTCAGATTTATCATATTTGCTAACAGTTATACCTAGAATTTTCTTAATTGAAGCAACAAAAAATATATATAAAATATATATAATTTCACATAAATATAATGAAAAATTTATGTTACAATTAGTTGTAGTAACGTAGTAATAAAATTTAGGTAAATGGACCGAGATCTTTCGAAAAGTTTCATCAGGAAATGTTGTTATTAAATTTTAGAACGATGAGATTTCACTGCACAAGTTACAAACATTGAAAAGTATAAAATGCTCAGAAATCTAAAATTGATAAAATTTAGCACTAGATAAGTAAAGGAAAAAAATTTAATAAAGTTTAAAATAGTTTAAATGTGCAAAAACGACCAATCTCATTAGATGTAGTCTTCTTCAAAAACCAGCAAAGCAATATTTGTCATTTCGAAACCATTGAATTAATATCAGAAGTAAAATCACCACAGCCGTTAAGCACACAAGTGAGACGATAATTGTCAATGTTAAGTTGTTCTTTCTCTGAACAGTTAGCGGAATCTTTGTGTTAATGTAGTCTTGAGTCTTTAGTTCTAACGGAGCTGGAAAAAACAAACATCCAATCTTCTATAGCAAATTGTCTCATGTATAATAATTTAATCTATATGAAGAATATCAGTTCCTTATTATTACAGTATACGTTTGGACCAATGACAAATAAAAACCGACTATAAAACATGAGTTTCAAGACTGCACGTCATAAATTGGCATCAACACTTACCAGTTGTTTTGAACTTCATCCAGCCGCTTGATTTTCCTTCAAAATTCTTGCCAACTCCCGTTACTGAAACTTCGTAGTTAGTTGAGTGCGACAGATTTGTCAAAGAAAACTTCAAAACATCATTGGGTATTGTGTAATTTAACCGAACACTTCTGTTAGCGAGGTTTATTCGGTAACCAGCAAGGCGATCGTACCTCCATTCCGATTTTCTTATAGCAGTCCATCGAACAATGGCCGATGAATCACTAATGTTCAACAGTGATACGTTTCTGGGGGCAGGATTTTGATCTGAAAGAATAAAACACTTTTTTCAGTAAGATTCTTGCTATTCAATAGTTTCATCGATGTTTTTTGTCGTATTCAGTCCACTGATTTCCAGCTCATTTAAGCGTCTGAACAGCGCATGAGCATTAATAATACAATAATACAAAGTTTGAAAAATGATGGACAGTTTTTATCAAACACATATAGTTCTGTTTAAGTCTGAGGGAAATGTACTTAGAGCACAGTATAGTAAAAAATATATGGCCAAATCCATTAAATTCTTTTGAAATGCATATCTTATTACGCAAGTTATTGACATAAAGACCGCCAGTCGTGAGTCAGATGACCAATAAAACGCTAAACTTGCTTCATGCAGCTAATAATCTAATTATTAATACATCAACAATTTGCGCATCGAAGTGTACCCTATGTTTATTCTTTATAATGTGTTTGGAGTCTTACCTAGTGTCGTAAAACTAGAAGTTCCCACAAGTAAATCGCTTTTATTTGAAGAAACCCCACGAACGTCAACAATGCAAGTGAGGATAGTCCTGAACGGCGTGGGATAGCTGATGCTAACACTGGTCTGTCTTAAATCCATAAATGCTTTAGAGAATTTATCGCCACATGTTATAGAAACATTATACGATGAAATGGGGAGATATAAAAGGTCTGGATGTACAGACCAATCAACCTTCATAGTCACAAGGTTTATATTCATTGCTACAAAAAGATTAAAAAAAAAACACCATTCAGAAATGTTAGACTGAGACGAAACTTTTTCAATGCAAAAATTATTTATTAGTTTGCGAGTAATAACAATGCTGAAACCATAGCAATAAATAACTCCTGACAACAACCCTGTTTAAAATATGACATTCGAAAGAGATAAGGAGGGATAGGAAGAGATAGGAGTCCATTAAGGAGGGATGGGAATAGATGAGGAGGTATGAGAAGAGATAAGGAGGGATAGGTGCTCATTTCACCAGCACAACTACTAAACCCCATTCTCACTAAGTACCTTGGATGCCCATGTAGTAGAAATAGACATTTTGACTGAGTGTTTTTCCCGGGAGATTTTGAGAAACACATTTGACGTGAAGACCTAGTTCGTTATTCGAGACAACAATTTTCGATGTAACGCTGTATGTATCGCTGTTGTTTTGAAATACATCGTTTGTTGTGTTAATGTTCACATGTGGATAAATAGCCTTTATTCCAAGACTCCCATTTTCGTTAGTATTTTGGTCCACAGTACTGGAGTTAGACAACACGCGAGTAGCGTTTATAAACCACGAAACGTTAGGTGCAGGCAATCCAGATGTCTTGCAAGTAACTTCTATTTTTTTTCTATCCACATAATTGGCTACTAGCAATGTAATTTTGGAGCAACAGGAGCTAGAAACACAACACAAGCAGTTTTATCAAGCCGTTGGCTCTCCAATAAAGACAAAACTTCTAATTTGGTGAAATTAAGGATGTAAAATTTGAAAAAAATTTAACTACTTCTGATATATAGACGCCTGCTCAGTCGATTTTGATGATAAGTTACACGTTACAAGAGCAGAGTACTTGGAAAACGTGGATTGGATGACATAACTCGATTACCTTGTGCAAAATGACGAAAACTTATTTTAAATTTATAAATTCATGAAATTTTCATTGGATAAAAATTCCACCGAAGAAGTGCAACAGAGGCATAATCTTAGTGTTGTTGAGTTAGAGAATAGGAATTCTTCCTAGGAGTTAAAATTTAAAGCCCAATTTCACTGAATTTTGTACAAAACAAAAATGTACTGATTTTTGCGGATGTGATGATGTACAAACATTGTATAAACTTTCAAGTTATTTTTCATGTAAGCAGTGCCAAGTAAAATGTTGACAACTCGGTAGAGTTTGATCGCATTTACAAACAATAAATTTTGCAAGTAAATCAACGGATGAAATGTAAAATTGATAATTTTTCTTGGACCATGCACTATTCTAAAAGCCATGTGCTTGGGTAATAATTCAAGCAGTTAACCAAATTTTTGTAGCTATGTTTCCAGATTGCAAAATTATTTTTGGTCTTTATAAATTTCATTATAACTACTTAAACAAGAATGAGAAACAAAATAGTAAACTGTTGTAAATTAAAAAACAATCATATCTATGAAGTTTCATTTCTTGAAGAAGAAGTATACATACTAAAAGTTCAGTAAATCGTAGATAAAAATTTTATACTTTGCATTGAGCATTCGCAAATTTACTTACTCTGAGTAAGAGAAAACTTACGTTTGACGTCAAAAATAATCTTCGCTTCATTGCAGTAATCAAATCTGGTTACAATTTTACATCTGAATGAAGGGAATTCTTCGAGAACAGATACGTGCACATCACAAGTCGCCCATATTTTTTTACGCCACGATTCATACCTACAAGCGTGGATTGGTCTGTAACCATCGCGGTAAAATAGAATTTTGTATATGTATGTTTTGTCTTGTTCTCCCTGTTTTTGAACGGCTTTTGTAGAACAATTCAAGTGAACTTTGCTTGCGTTGATCAAAATTGGGTAGGGACTAGCAGTAAAATTCATTAACGGTCTTGTTTCGGCTAAATAACGGAAAATCGCAGTAAACAAGCTATTTTAACTTAAGAAACGTTTATATAAAAATTTCAATTTTTCTTTTCTCACTTTAAGAAAATAATGCACTTCACTAAACATTGTGATTTTCCGAACAATTTTCTCGTTGTTCTCAAAACGCGGCGAAGAATTGTGAGATTTAGTCACCATATCAGTATCACAATTCACTTTTTCTAATTTCAGGTGGTTTGATGGCTATAATAATGATTTGGACGGATGCAGAAAAATTTAGTTCGTCATGGAAGATCTTTTGAGCTTATTTCCTACTACGTCATTTGTTTAGGAAAATGGGCATTATAATCTTATGGTAAGAAAATCAAAAGAACTTTAATAAAAGTTATCTCTACTATAGTTACTTACGTGTATTATCTGGGCGGCAACTATCACCAAGATCTATAAAAGTTGTCTTGGCCAATAATAAGAAGGGAAGTAACACTGCGATGACGTATTCTATAAATAGAAATTTCAAAACAATATATATTATATAGCTAATTCCCTGACAGGATCACCGTGCAACTTAAACTGCTCAAAATCGTCGGAAAACCTCCAACATTTGAATGTACGTCTATTCAGTGTATATTACACAATACATTTTGTTTGGTTTTCAGTTTAGGAGATTTTTCTTGGTGATGATGCAGTAGGAAATAATCATCAACTGCCACTGGTTGATGTACTTAATGCTAAATAGCAGTTCAAAATCTATAAAAACAGTAACACTCGATAATAAATAGCACAAAATTTCTGGTACAAAGCAAATTTATACAACAAATTAACAATGGGATTTGCAGTTCCTGTCCCACTGTATTGTTATGTAGAAACAAGATAGATTCTCTTGTACTTGGAAAAATCTATGTGATCTTGTGTTGTCTAAAAATGTTTGAGTAAAATCAACTAGTGCAGGTTTTGTCATCAGGGTATACTAAAACCATAGTAATGTTTCATAGAAAATATTTCGCATGACAGAATTTGTAAAATTTTCCTGCGATACTTTTTGTCTGTATAATAGTGTGCAAAAGTCTTAGGTTATACCCAATATTTTGGTGTTCATCATGATTTTCCAATGTTTAATGAGACATACACCAATTTTATTTTAACAAACAATATAAGATGTCTGTTAAGCGCAGATCAACATAAATCTCACAAGTAAAATACACGTGCAACTTCGCCGTTTAAGTCAAGATATTCTGTAGTTTGAAGCAGAGATAGTAAAGAGACGAAATTTTATGGTTGAAAAAATGTCAAGTTGCTCTGAACCAATCAGAATGCCGCTTTCAACTAGTCATTGGGTAATAAAACACGACATTTTTCGTCAGCACTGTGCTTGGGCCAGCGGTCTACATTGCAAAACGTCATTTACTATTTTTGAGAGTTCTTCGTCAACTTCTGCGTGCGAAAAGTTTCAACTTTGCGGTTAAAAAAATGTAGCTATTGCAACTAGAAATGAAGAGCACGTCAAAACTTACTTATATTTGTGTTCATGAAAATATTCAACCCCATGATCTTCGACGTCAAAGAAACCTGAAATACAATAATTGCGGTTTAACAAACATTTTAAATGTATAATAATTAGCAGAATACATCCAAGATGATTGTTTATGGGGTTTGAGAGGGAGGAGGTTGATCTTCTTGGAATAAAATTTTGGTGGATAATTAGTAGTTGTAAGGCATCGTGACATGGGGCACGTCAGACATTTTCTTCTATTCTGTTAATTTAATACCATGATTTAGAGATTTTTTAGGACGTTTTAATTTCTTAACCCGAAGTCTATCGCTAATGAATCTGAAAACTTGCAAAGATCTCATTTGCACAAATAAAGTTGATGTGTTACGCTGTGTTATTTGATTTGTTTTAAATATTACTTTCTTGTGAACATACTTGCTGAATTCAAAACTGTATTAAAGTGCACTTAATTCTTTCATGTGCATGACGTTGCATGAAATTGTCCACTGTAATGTCATCTGTTTTATCCGTTCTGTGAATTTATCAATATTGACGATAACAATAAAACCCTACAGTGAAAAAACTATAAGTCCGATAACGTTAGCATTGACAGTTACAAGAAATCACCAAATGAAATGTCTCAAAAAAAAATAAAGAAAGCAACATGAGTTCTTCGTTATTATGAAACTTAATCCTTGTAATTTAATTCCAAGTAACACCAAAATCTTATATCGCTGTAATAATAATAATCCTAATCAACTTCTCATCTTAGAAGCTCTTTTGATAAAACGCAATATGCCACAACTTAATAGTAGTCTCAAAGCTTGTAAGAAATTATCTTTATTTTAATGTTAGTATACTGCCTAACTGTTGAGTCTTATAGTTCTCTAATTACGTACTGTCACTTCCACTTGTAAATAATTATATAAACGTTTCGCAGCCTGCCTTGTAAACTATTAGTCTGAAGATGTATTTAGAATAAAGACGAAATATTACACCATCTTTTGTTTTAAAACTTTGTATTATCTTGAATATCAAGAAAACGAGATGTCCGTTTTCGGAAATTGTTTTATTTTGTTTTATTTTCAATATTACATATTCCAAATTTTACTATAGTCTAGAACTGTGTAAAGATGTAATAAAAACAGCGCAAAGTTGCGAACTTTGCGTAAAAAAGCGACGAAATGACTAAAACGAGTTTCGCTATTATTGTTCCTTGAAAAGGAAATCAAGTCAAATAATAACAGAAAATTACTAACCTCAAATTTCCCACTTCCCAGTAGTTAAAATGTATGTTAAACATCTTTGAGGTAAGTTATCGTTATTCTTGAACAGTCTGCTTATCAAATGAAAGACAAGAATTTAAAATGTACTAATTGCGACAAGAGAGCGGATGCTGAAAATGCACGACATTCACAGACAAAAATATGCACTTATGGTGACGTCAAAGGCGAATGAACGCCGTGACCCACGCATTCAAATGCACAGGAAGTTAGGAGCAACAACATTTTCAAAGAAATCTTCCTGTTCAGACCTACAAAAATCATGTACGCGGCTAAATCGATGAAAGTGCGCTCATGCAATCTCTTAGGTAAATATTGTGGTATAACACAAAGATTAGATTTGGTACTCATATATAAGATCCATTTTTATTGAGATGGAAAGTAGATGTCATTCGTGTTCGTCGCGTTTGTGAAAACATCGAGCGGAAGTTTTTTGCACCTTGCAAAATGAAATATATAATTAGAACCACGCACGCCTAAAAAAGCAAGCATGCAGAAGATAAAGCCTTTTATACTTTCATTAATTTAAACCAGACATGTTACTTTGTCTTGAATGAATATATTTTTGAATAAATCATCTCTAGCAATAACTGTATGAGGTTTCATCACCTTACATTGTTGTCATTGCACTTTAATAATGTTTATGTATTTGCTCCAAAGCAAAAAACCCCCAAATATCATGAGATGAAATATTTAAATAATTTACAAATAAGGGCGTAAGTGCTGTGTAGAGGAGTGACAGGAGGGGAAGGGACTTGAAAGGATAACTTTTTATTTGCAATAATTCCGTGTTCCACAAATACATGATCTCTAACCTTGACACTTCATGATCGATTTTTTAATTTAAAATATGTTTACTTGAACATGGAAATGGTCCATTTTCTGTGGTATTCTTGCTCCTAGCATGCCAAGTGTAATGTTGAAAGTAGTTTTGAAGAGCTTAAAAGTTTCATATAACTTACATTGTTGATAACGTATTTTATTTTATCAATAAAATGACACTAGAGATAGATTATTCCTTTATGGATAGTAAAAATCGTTAGTTAAGATATATTTTCAATAACATATATTTTTAGATAGTTTGCATGAATCATTAATTTTTATTAACGCTACAATAAACGAACTACACTCTTTGTTTATAAGAACCGAGTTAATGAGAATATTGAGCTTGAACTTTCAGTGTTGCTTGTCTTCTTTTTTGTCATCTTAGACATCAACTGTAAGTAGCTACTGTATCATAAACCCAAAATTTAACAACTGAGATTTGTAGTCCAGAAATTAATCTCAAATCCTAAACATAATCCTGTTTGACACTATATAGGTACATTATGGAAATTTATATCACAGAAAAGACTGCATGCATGATAATAACCAGGCTAAGAACATTTTTAGCCTGGAAACTTTTTTTCTGGCGATGATCAGTCAACGGAGAATGCAACATTACAAAAAACAGAATTTCAAGTAATTTATTTTGCATAAAACCGAATCTGGGACTTCTAAAAAGCAGTTTCGTTTACTCCACTTTCAATCAAATCCAATCCGCTGTCATTATCCATTGATGCTGTTAATGAGATCCCAGAACTCGAGGAGTCTTCTTCCGTATGGTTTTCGATTGCTGAAGACGTTATTTCATCAACTTCGTTATGGAGACGAACGTTGATATAGTGTTTCTAAAATTAAAAATACCAGACTTACCGACAATCCTTAAAAGGCTTAACAAGTGAAATTCTTCTGCGCTTTTTCATTGGCTTAACTCAAAATAGACAAGGATGACATGTTAAGCCCGCAACGTGTTATGCTTATATGCGCTCTTTCATTGGCTTAACTCAAAATAGACAAGGATGCCATGTTAAGACCGCAACGTGTTATGCTTATATGCGCTCTTTCATTGGCTTAACTCAAAATAGACAAGGATGCCATGTTAAACCGCAACGTGTTATGCTTATATGCGCTCTTTCATTGGCTTAACTCAAAATAGACAAGGATGACATGTAAACCGCAACGTGTTATGCTTATATGCGCTCTTTCATTGGCTTAACTCAAAATAGACAAGGATGCCATGTTAAACCCGCGACGTGTTATGCTTATATGCGCTCTTTCATTGGCTTAACTCAAAATAGACAAGGATGCCATGTTAAACCCGCAACGTGTTATGCTTATATGCGCTCTTTCATTGGCTTAACTCAAAATAGACAAGGATGACATGTTAAACCCGCGACGTGTTATGCTTATATGCGCTCTTTCATTGGCTTAACTCAAAATAGACAAGGATGACATGTTAAACCCGCGACGTGTAATGCTTATAAGTCATAAATATATCAAATTCCCTCTATATTTCTTTCACCGATAAAAAAGGAAGATCGTTTCTGTTTTAAGATCATTTTTTTAGAGATCGTCTCTGTTTGAAGATTATTACTGTTTAGAGATCATTTCCTATATTAGGTAGCGCCCATTCATTTAGCTTTGAAATAAATGATTTCTTTTTGCAAAGCGTATTTACTCGTATTAAAATAGAGTTTTCCTCGTTGACTATAATAATGCTTCGCGGTGCAATATAAAAGTACGATTTTGTGTAGATGATAAAAAATGAGATTACAATTTGAAAATCGTGTTTGTTTTTTGCGACTGAAAAATACAACAAGTATCTTTGAACAGCCGCGGAGTGGGTCCACTTTACCTCTTTTTCGACGAGCATATCCTCCAATGACAAATGAATATCTGAGAAACTCGGCCTTTTCTTTTCATCTTGTTGCCAGCATTGACTCATCAACAAATATCTATAAAAATATTAGAACATAATATTACATATAATCTGTTCATAAATATGTCCTTCAAAAACACTAGGTGTCTTCGTTCAGCCAATGAAATATAAGCAATATACGAGAAAAATGGCCAATAACAAACCATGGCAAGCGTCGTGTTGGTACAACTCGTCTTAGCCCTCTTAGAAGTTTTTCTCTCCTTATTAATCGGTGCATAAAAACTTACATTTCTTCGCTGCAATGTGAGGGACGCGTCATTCTATTTCCTTTAGTCAGGTAATCAAACATATCGTAAGGCGACGTGTCCTCATAAGGTTCTTTACCTAGTGTGTGAAACATGTGCTGAATGATATAACAGATTACATTCGGTACCAGGTCTCTATATAATACATACATGTCATTGAAGAGTATGAGAACTTAGCTATACTTAAATTTTTTTAATGCTATAAAAAGTTAATGCATGCAATTAAAACTTAAGAATAAACAAACTGCTAGCACGTTTTACAAATAAATAATTATAAAGTACAGACATAACTATTAATGTCGAAAATATACAGAACATGTACAATTAAAATTTTATAGGTGTAAATCTCCCATAAGGCAAAAAATTGCTAAAATTTCAGCAAGGAGTCAAAATTTCCACAATTTCATTCCAATTCTCCATGAAACTACGTGCAAGTGATGAATTTAAGGAGATTTTTCCATTAAAACATACCAAGAGTACAAATTTCCCATAACAATACCCCATACGACCACCTATGGAAAGAAGAGATGATAAAAACGAAAAGAGTATATGGAAAATTAGACAAAGAGGCCGGTTTCAACAAGGAATTTACACTTTTGCGTTTTGACATTCACGTAGCTACATTATCGTAGCTTAACTATTGACTTAATGACAAACTCACAAAGATTAATCACTTGTTACAATGCTATCGCTTCGTGTGCTGTTAATATATTAATCTAATTTGGAATATGATAAAATGCAAAACGATATGTGATTGTAGATGCCTCTCTATATGTATTCGAAACGCAAACATTCCCTGAGAAGATTTAGACAGAATTCTGCATGGTGTTTATTTCTTATTTGTTTTGATGTTCCCTTACGGACAAAACTTTAAAATGGAAATCTTTACGAAAATCTTACAGGCTACGTCATTTCCTGTCACTAAATGCTTTAGAATGTTACTTACGTATCGGACGCAGATGTAAATCGCCCTTCAAGCAAAGATTCTAGAGACATCCATTTCACAGGAAGCATTTTCTGTAAACATGGTGAATAAGGGATAATCACTTATTAAGGAATTTGGCGAACAAAATACATGCACTGTCTAGAAAATAAATATTCCTGGTATAGCATAGAGTGTTTACTCTCATTAAACATTGTGTAGGTTGACTTGCTTCACAACAAAGTCAACCAAAGTTTTCCAACTTACATTTTTGTTAACAATATAGTGACGTGTAACATCAATTTTTCTTGCGAGTCCAAAATCTGCAATTTTTGGAACAAGTTGTTCCGTCAAGAGAATGTTACGGCAGGCAATGTCTCGATGTACAATCTAAAATATAAGAAATTAAATAATTTCATAGAAAAATTATGGTACAATTAAAATGAAATCATCCTTTCACATCTATTCTACTACACAACACACTAAACTCTGTAAAAATAACCACGATTTTTACTACCTCGACAGTTACTCTACTCTTTATAGCTAGGAATGGGATGCTCTAGTTTCGATAAGATTTCAGTGGATGTTACAGTTACATATCACATCTTTTATGTGAAATTCATGAATGTGAAAAAGCATCAAGCTTAAGTGCTTTGTACATTAATATTTAGTAGAGGAATTCACAAACTCTCCAGTAGCTGAGGCTAGAAGAGATGCACAAATCACATTAAATCAATCCCTGCATTAACCTACCTTTTGCTCGTTCAAAAACATCAATCCTTTAGCAATCTTTGAAGCGAAGTTAATCAGCTGCTTTTCAGTAAGCCTTGAATAAATGTTCTCATAACTTTCATGTTCTTCACGGTTGATTCTATTTTCTTTCAAAAATTCCTTTAAATTTCCTCGACAGCAAAACTCCATAACCAACAAGATGGGCACTATAAGTGAAAAAGGCAAAAAATTCTGATTCGCAACACGATATTGAATCGCAGGGCTAAAAGATATTGAGGACAAGTTAAGAAGTAAAAATCTCCTATCTAGCCAGACAGAAAAGTACTAAGTGAAATGTGAAGTTACTCCATTCATCTCTTATTGAGCCTTTCCAACGAACGAAAAGCACATCTAACAGTTTATCTTTTATGAGAGTTGGTATCCCCCTTCCCTCATAGTTGGTAGCCCCCCTCCTTCCCTCATAGTTGGTAGCCCCCTCCTTCCCTCATAGTTGGTAGCCCCCTCGCTCCCTTATAGTTGGTAGCCCCTCGCTCCCTTATAGTTGGTAGCCCCCTCCCTCATATAGTTAGTAAAGTAATGAACAGTAAATAACGCAATTTCAATAAAGACAAAAATTGCTCTTTGAATAGTTCATAGGAAATCAAAAATTGGACAAAAGATGAGACATTTTAAGAGCAACTTATAAGACAACAAGACGACTGAATCCACAATGAAAATTTTCAATAAAAACTGTGTGCTCCTGGATAGCAAGAACAAGACATTTTTGAATTCTCGAAGTCAGTTCTCTTTATTTGCTCTGTGGAGAATACCTTCTTGTGTACATGCACCATGGAGTTTGATGACGTTTTCATGACCAATGGTGTTCACGTATTGGAGAATTTCAAATTCTCGAATCAACTCAAACCAGTCGCTTTGGCCACGATTGGCTAAAACAAAAATAGTTATAGTTATTGTCAGAGGATCTATATTTGGCTACAATAGAGCAGTAAAGCATTTCTTTTTTCTCAGTTTTCTTTAACTTGTAGAAAACATAGGACAAGTTACTTGTATATGTTGTTTGAAGTTATTTGTAGTAAAATTGAGACTATAGCCACATTGCCTGCATTTGAATTGAAAGAATACAAACACTAGCAAGTAGCAATGATCATTGACTGAAACTATTTTTGATCATTTGTTTCGAGCCCATGGTCAAATATTCTGTCTTGGTTGAATTTAAACTAAATTTTTTCCCTATCAACCACTTTTCAAGATTTTTCAAGTCAGAGTTTACTGTCGTTTCTAGCTCAACTATATTATTATTTGAAGCAGTTATGCTTGTATCATTAGCAAACATTTCTGTGTACATTGCTCTAAGCATTAGGGAAAGTCATTTATGGAAATGGAAAGAAATTAATTTATTTTGATGCTTTTGTGGCATTTTACGCTGATATAAAAATTTCCGTCATTACAAAAAAGAAATCACTCTTCAAAATATTTTGCGACAGTCAATGAACGAACGAGTAATTTATTTGAACATGCCAATCATTTGGTAGATACCTCTGAGAGTTTTCACAGCAACACGAATTTCTCTCTCAAATTCATCAAAAGATGTCTTCATTAGCAAACCTTCTCTCACCAAACCAAAATATCCACCGCCAAGGACATGATCAAATATGGCCAACTGACTCCGATCTATCTCCCATTCTGATGCGTCTTAAAAAAATAATATAAACATATGCTGCTATCGATTCCATAAAGTTTTTACTGCCTAACGTCTAGTGCATAATATTTAGTGTACATACTACATAGCCTAATAAATAGTGTGTAACTTAACATCAAGTGCATGACCCATACTGCCTAACATATAGTGCATAACAGTTGCACTCTAAAACCATGCACAAAAATGAATCAACGGACTCCTAAACAAATCATGTAGGGTTAAAATAACTGTCAAAACAGCTTGGTCAGGGTAGTCTCGAAATTTTCCAAATTGCCAAAAATATCATAAAATTTATAAATAATTAGAATATGCAATTTTATGAAGTCTCACCTTCCAAATCGCTGGTCATGTCACTGCCAAAATATTCCGGAAAAAGAATTCGAAGATTTATCATAGCATTATTGGAATCCATCTAAAAATTTTGAGTAACAAAACTAGTTCAGCAAAAGTCAGATTTATCATATTTGTTAACAGTTATACCTAGAATTTTCTTAATTGAAGCAACAAAATATATATATAAAATATATATAATTTCACATAAATATAATGAAAAATTTATGTTACAATTAGTTGTAGTAACGTAGTAATAAAATTTATGTAAATAGACATCTTTCGAAAAGTTTCATCAGGAAATGTTGTTATTAAATTTTAGAACGATGAGATTTCACTGCACAAGTTACAAACATTGAAAAGTATAAAATGCTCAGAAATCTAAAATTGATAAAATTTAGCACTAGATAAGTAAAGGAAAAAAATTTAATAAATTTTAAAATAGTTTAAATCTGCAAAAACGACCAACCTCATTAGATGTAGTCTTCTTCGAAAAAGCAGCAAAGCAATATTTGTCATTTCGAAACCATTGAATTAAAATCAGAAGTAAAATCACCACAGCCGTTAAGCACACAAGTGAGACGATAATTGTCAATGTTAAGTTGTTCTTTTTCTGAACAGTTTGCGGAATCTTTGTGTTAATGTAGTCTTGAGTCTTTAGTTCTAACGGAGCTGGAAAAAACAAACATCCAATCTTCTATAGCAAATTGTCTCGTGTATAATAATTTAATCTATATGAAGAATATCACTTTCCTAATTATTACAGTATACGTTTGGACCAATGACAACTAAAAACCGACTATAAAACATGAGTTTCAAGACTGCACGTCATAAATTGGCATCAACACTTACCAGTTGTTTTGAACTTCATCCAGCCGCTTGATTTTCCTTCAAAATTCTTGCCAACTCCCGTTACTGAAACTTCGTAGTTAGTTGAGTGCGACAGATTTGTCAAAGAAAACTTCAAAACATCATTGGGTATTGTGTAATTTAACCGAACACTTCTGTTAGCGAGGTTTATTCGGTAACCAGCAAGGCGATCGTACCTCCATTCCGATTTTCTTATAGCAGTCCATCGAACAATGACCGATGAATCACTAATGTTCAACAGGGATACGTTTCTGGGGGCAGGATTTTGATCTGAAAGAATAAAACACTTTTTTCAGTAAGATTCTTGCTATTCAATAGTTTCATCGATCTTTTTGGTCGTGTTCAGTCCACTGATTTCCAGCTCAATTAAGCGACTGAACAGCGCATGAGCATTAATAATAAAATAATACAAAAAGTTTGAAAAAATGATGGACAGTTTTTTATCAAACACATATAGTTCTGTTTAAGTCTGAGGGAAATGTACTTAGACCACAGTATAGTAAAAAAAATATGGCCAAATCCATTAAATTTTTTTTGAAATGCATATCTTATTACGCAAGTTATTGACATAAAGACCGCCAGTCGTGAGTCAGATGACCAATAAAAACGCTAAACTTGCTTAATGCAGCCAATAATCTAATTATTAATACATCAACAATTTGCGCACCGAAGTGTACCCTATGTTTATTCTTTATAATGTGTTTGGAGTCTTAGTCTAAAAATCTTACCTAGTGTCGTAAAACTAGAAGTTCCCACAAGTAAATCGCTTTTATTTGAAGAAACCCCACGAACGTCAACAATGCAAGTGAGGATAGTCCTGAACGGCGTGGGATAGCTGATGTTAACACTGGTCTGTCTTAAATCCATAAATGCTTTAGAGAATTTATCGCCACATGTTATAGAAACATTATATGATGAAATGGGGAGATATAAAAGGTCTGGATGTACAGACCAATCAACCTTCATAGTCACAAGGTTTATATTCATTGCTACAAAAAGATTAAAAAAAACACCATTCAGAAATGTTAGACTGAGACGAAACTTTTTCAATGCAAAAATTATTTATTAGTTTGCGAGTAATAACAATGCTGAAACCATAGCAATAATGAACTCCTGACAACAACCCTGTTTTGAATATGACATTCGAAAGAGATAAGGAGGGATAGGAAGAGATAGGGAGTCCATTAAGGAGGGATGGGAATAGATGAGGAGGTATGAGAAGAGATAAGGAGGGATAGGTGATCATTTCACCAGCACAATTTCTAAACCCCATTCTCACTAAGTACCTTGGATGCCCATGTAGTAGAAATAGACATTTTGACTGAGTGTTTTTCCCGGGAGATTTTGAGAAACACATTTGACGTGAAGACCTAGTTCGTTATTCGAGACAACAATTTTCGATGTAACGCTGTATGTATCGCTGTTGTTTTGAAATACATCGTTTGTTGTGTTAATGTTCACATGTGGATAAATAGCCTTTATTCCAAGACTCCCATTTTCGTTAGTATTTTGGTCCACAGTACTGGAGTTAGACAACACGCGAGTAGCGTTTATAAACCACGAAACGTTAGGTGCAGGCAATCCAGATGTCTTGCAAGTAACTTCTATTTTTTTTCTATCCACATAATTGGCTACTAGCAATGTAATTTTTGGAGCAACAGGAGCTAGAAACACAACACAAGCAGTTTTATCAAGCCGTTGGCTCTCCAATAAAGACAAAACTTCTAATTTGGTGAAATTAAGGATGTAAAAATTTGAAAAAAAAATTTAACTACTTCTGATATATAGACGCCTGCTCAGTCGATTTTGATGATAAGTTACACGTTACAAGAGCAGAGTACTTGGAAAACGTGGATTGGATGACATAACTCGATTACCTTGTGCAAAATGACGAAAACTTATTTTTAAATTTATAAATTCATGAAATTTTCATTGGATAAAAATTCCACCGAAGAAGTGCAACAGAGGCATAATCTTAGTGTTGTTGAGTTAGAGAATAGGAATTCTTCCTAGGAGTTAAAATTTAAAGCCCAATTTCACTGAATTTTGTACAAAACAAAAATGTACTGATTTTTGCGGATGTGATGATGTACAAACTTTGTATAAACTTTCAAGTTATTTTTCATGTAAGCAGTGCCAAGTAAAATGTTGAAACTCGGTAGAGTTTGATCGCATTTACAAACAATAAATTTTGCAAGTAAATCAACGGATGAAATGTAAAATTGATAATTTTTCTTGGACCATGCACTATTCTAAAAGCCATGTGGTTGGGTAATAATTCAAGCAGTTAACCAAATTTTTGTAGCTATGTTTCCAGATTGCAAAATTATTTTTGGTCTTTATAAATTTCATTATAACTACTTAAACAAGAATGAGAAACAAAATAGTAAACTGTTGTAAATTAAAAAACAATCATATCTATGAAGTTTCATTTCTTGAAGAAGTATATATACTAAAAGTTCAGTAAATCGTAGATAAAAATTTTATACTTTGCATTGAGCATTCGCAAATTTACTTACTCTGAGTAAGAGAAAACTTACGTTTGACGTCAAAAATAATCTTCGCTTCATTGCAGTAATCAAATCTGGTTACAATTTTACATCTGAATGAAGGGAATTCTTCGAGAACAGACACGTGCACATCACAAGTCGCCCATATTTTTTTACGCCACGATTCATACCTGCAAGCGTGGATTAGTCTGTAACCATCGCGGTAAAATAGAATTCGATATATGTATGTTTTGTCTCGTGCTCCCTGTTTTTGCACGGCTTTTGCAGAACAGTTCAAGTGAACTTTGCTTGCGTTGATCAAAATTGGGTAGGGACTAGCAGTAAAATTCATTAACGGTCTTGTTTCGGCTAAATAACGGAAGATCGCAGTAAACAAGCTATTTTAACTTAAGAAACGTTTATATAAAAATTTCAATTTTTCTTTTCTCACTTTAAGAAAATAATGCACTTCACTAAACATTGTGATTTTCCGAACAATTTTCTCGTTGTTCTCAAAACGCGGCGAAGAATTGTGAGATTTAGTCACCATATCAGTATCACAATTCACTTTTTCTAATTTCAGGTGGTTTGATGGCTATAATAATGATTTGGACGGATGCAGAAAAATTTAGTTCGTCATGGAAGATCTTTTGAGCTTATTTCCTACTACGTCATTTGTTTAGGAAAATGGGCATTATAATCTTATGGTAAGAAAATCAAAAGAACTTTAATAAAAGTTATCTCTACTATAGTTACTTACTATCTGGGCGGCAACTATCACCAAGATCTATAAAAGTTGTCTTGGCCAATAATAAGGGAAGTAAACTGCGATGACGTATTCTATAAATAGAAATTTCAAAACAATATATATGATATAGCTAATTCCCTGACAGGATCACCGTGCAACTTAAACTGCTCAAAATCGTCGGAAAAACCTCCAACATTTGAATGTACGTCTATTCAGTGTATATTACACAATACATTTTGTTTGGTTTTCAGTTTAGGAGATTTTTCTTGGTGATGATGCAGTAGGAAATAATCATCAACTGCCACTGGTTGATGTACTTAATGCTAAATAGCAGTTCAAAATCTATAAAAACAGTAACACTCGATAATAAATAGCACAAAATTTCTGGTACAAAGCAAATTTATACAACAAATTAACAATGGGATTTGCAGTTCCTGTCCCACTGTATTGTTATGTAGAAACAAGATAGATTCTCTTGTACTTGGAAAAATCTATGTGATCTTGTGTTGTCTAAAAATGTTTGAGTAAAATCAACTAGTGCAGGTTTTGTCATCAGGGTATACTAAAACCATAGTAATGTTTCATAGAAAATATTTCGCATGACAGAATTTGTAAAATTTTCCTGCGATACTTTTGTCTGTATAATAGTGTGCAAAAGTCTTAGGTTATACCCAATATTTTGGTGTTCATCATGATTTTCCAATGTTTAATGAGACATACACCAATTTTATTTTAACAAACAATATAAGATGTCTGTTAAGCGCAGATCAACATAAATCTCACAAGTAAAATACACGTGCAACTTCGCCGTTTAAGTCAAGATATTCTGTAGTTTGAAGCAGAGATAGTAAAGAGACGAAATTTTATGGTTGAAAAAATGTCAAGTTGCTCTGAACCAATCAGAATGCCGCTTTCAACTAGTCATTGGGTAATAAAACACGACATTTTCGTCAGCACTGTGCTTGGGCCAGCGGTCTACATTGCAAAACGTCATTTACTATTTTTGAGAGTTCTTCGTCAACTTCTGCGTGCGAAAAGTTTCAACTTTGCGGTTAAAAAAATGTAGCTATTGCAACTAGAAATGAAGAGCACGTCAAAACTTACTTATATTTGTGTTCATGAAAATATTCAACCCCATGATCTTCGACGTCAAAGAAACCTGAAATACAATAATTGCGGCTTAACAAACATTTTAAATGTATAATAATCAGCAGAATACATCCAAGATGATTGTTTATGGGGTTTGAGAGGGAGGAGGTTGATCTTCTTGGAATAAAATTTTGGTGGATAATTAGTAGTTGTAAGGCATCGTGACATGGGGCACGTCAGACATTTTTTCTTCTATTCTGTTAATTTAATACCATGATTTAGAGATTTTTTAGGACGTTTTAATTTCTTAACCCGAAGTCTATCGCTAATGAATCTGAAAACTTGCAAAGATCTCATTTGCACAAATAAAGTTGATGTGTTACGCTGTGTTATTTGATTTGTTTTAAATATTACTTTCTTGTGAACATACTTGCTCAATTCAAAACTGTATTAAAGTGCACTTGAAATTGTCCACTGTAATGTCATCTGTTTTATCCGTTCTGTGAATTTACCAATATTGACGATAACAATAAAACCCTACAGTGAAAAAATTATAAGTCCGATAACGTCAGCATTGACAGTTACAAGAAATCACCAAATGAAGTGTCTCAACAAATATAAATAAAGCAACATGAGTTTTTCAGTCTTCGTTATTAAAGATTACAGAAACACAAATGCAACAACACAGTGAAAATCTATTACATTTCAAAAACAACTTTTGCAATTGCCTGAAGAACGTGTGGTAAGTCAAGAAAAAATTCAAAAAGGAAATGAAATGTGTGGAAAAATTTGAAAGATAGAACAACATTGCGATGAAAGAATTTGATTGGCAACTCAAATTCTGGTAAAATATGCACACACTCTTTTTGTGAGTTGTGAATGGCTCATTCAATCTGTGATTTCACATAAGTTATAACAATTCATACCTTACAGTCATAAATTATTTTATCAACGTAATCGTAAATTAAGTTAGTCAGGTGACTGCTAAATCAAGCTCATTCAAAAGTGTGGGAATTATACCGTTTAAGTCATTGTTTTTCATTATTATAGTTGGCACTTCCATATGGCAAAATATTTTTCTACGATTAATCGATCGGATATTGTACGACTTTTCTTTGAACAAAATCATAGAACAAAGTCGTCTTCCCAGTCCGCCATTTGCTATTGCTTCGTAAATAATTATTTCCTTTCAATATTTTCCTATCAGAAACTCAATAGTGATTACGCCATTCTTAAACCTGACAAAGGCAATGAAGTTGTCTTGTAAACCGCTCTGATTATGTCAACTCTCATAATTCCCTGTTTGAAAATTCCTGTAAATTTAAGCGTATTTCAAGCGACCTTACTTCTAGTAGACTCTTTACTCTACAGTCATATCTATGCACACTTCTAAAACGGGATGAGATCAATGAAACTGAACATACTTTCTTACGACCTACTCACGCGCATTTTGCCAGAGCACATGGACTACCTAAAACGCACAAACAATTTGACACATTACCTAAGTTACGACCAATAATTGACACCACAACACAATGTAGGTAAATTCATTGCAAACCTTTTGAATCCACTCCCTAAAATAAATTTTCATTACAAGACTCTTTCGATGCTGCTGATGCTATTAAATCTATACCTAAGATCTATTTTCCCAAGGTTATAAGTTTGTCTCTTTTAATGTTGAATCTCTTTTCACCAACGTGTCTTTGCGTAAAACCATCAACATTGTACTAGATCGCATTTACAAACAAAATATTATTCATACCACACTCCGAAAATCAACACTGAAAAAACTTATTATTGATTCATGCACCAAAACTATATTTCTTGCAACGGAATTCTTTATGAACAACTCGACGGGGTTTCCATGGGGTCTTCTCTCGGTCCCGTCTTAACTAATATAATTCTCACTGAGTTTTAAATTATCATTGTCGCTGATTTGATCAACTCAGGTGTCCTTAAGTTTACCGACGTTATGTTGATGATGCTCTTGTTCTTATACGACATTCTGACATTCCTCATGTTCTAGCCAAATTTAATAATTTTGATAAAAATCTTAAATTTACTTTTGACGACTTTTCTGACTCACATGTCCACTTTCTAGACTTCAAAATAAACAATAATGATATTGATGTATTCTGCAAAACTACTCGTACTGGCCAATATATACATTTTTCAAGTTTCGAACCTTTCAACCGCAAAACTACTTGGATCAATTCCCTATTTTTACGTGCATTTAACATTTGTTCTAACCAAACATTATTCAAAAAACACTGAATATATTCAACATATTCAATAATTCAAATTCAAACACTCAATATATTCAACATATTCAATACTCGATATATTCAACACTCGTCTTTTATGTCATGGAATGGTTTCCCTCTTACAGTCCGGAAATTCTTGATTCATAAACTCAAAGCCCCCCCCCCAACAAAATACTGAGAATGACCTCCGTAAAATTTTCATTAGAAAACCATATCTAGGCAAACAGGGTGAACGTTTGGTTTTCAATCTTCTTCGTTAAATTCGCCGTAGCTTAAAAATCCCTATCAAACCTATAGTTATATATCAAACAAAAAAGACATCAATTTTCTGTCCCAAAAAGAACCGAATTCCGGGACTCTCTAAAGCCAATGTTGTATATGAATTTAAATGTCCTGGTTGTAGTCATACATACATAGGCAAAACTGAACGAAACCTACACACAAGACTAACCCAACATGCTACTAATTACAACAATTCTAGTGCTATCTCGCAACATTTACTCATTTTTCCAGACGTCAACTACATCTCACACCTTTTCTTACTTCCTGACGTTGACTCCGACCCTGATCTTACACGCGTGCCATTAAATCCTTGTAATTTGATTCCAAGTAACACCAAAATCTTATATCGCTGTAATAATAATAATCCTAATCAACTTCTCTTAGAAGCGCGTTTGATAAAACGCAATATGCCACAACTTAATAGTGGTCTCAAAGCTTGAAAGAAATTATCTCTATTTTAATGTAAGGAAGGATACCATCAGGAGAGACATGCAGCTATGTGGTGTCAAAGAAGAGGATACCCAGGACAGAGCAGCCTAGAGAAGTCTGATAGAACTGGGTCTCCGGCAAAGACCCGCTACCCGAGCAGGACACAGCGGAGAAAGGTGACCAAAGGTGACCATACTCCCTAAAAGTAACTGTTGAGTCTTATAGTTCTCTTATTACGTAACTGTCACTTCCGCTTGTAAATAATTATATAAACGTTTCGCAGCCTGCCTTGTAAACTATTAGTCTGAAGATGTCTTTAGAATAAAGACGAAATATTACGCCATCTTTTATTTTAAAACTCTTGTATTATCTTGAATATCAAGAAAACGAGATGTCCGTTTTCGCAATTTGTTTTATTTTGTTTTAGTTTCAATAATTATATTTCAAATTACTATAGTCTAGAACTGTGTAAAAGTCTAATAAAAACAGCGCAAAGTTGCGAACTTTGCATAAAAAAGCGACGAAATGACTAAAACGAGTTTCGCTATTATTGTTCCTTGAAAAGGAAATCAAGTCAAATAATAACAGAAAATTACTAACCTCAAATTTCCCACTTCCCAGTAGTTAAAAATGTATGTTAAACATCTTTGAGGTAAGTCATCGGTACTCTTGAACAGTCTGCTTATCGAATGAAAGACAAGAATTTAAAATGTACTAATTGCGACAGCTAATAATCAAGAGAGCGGATGCTGAAGATGCACGACATTACACAGACAAAAATATGCACTTATGTTGACGTTAAAGGCGAATGAACGCCGTGACCCACGCATTCAAATGCACAGGAAGTTAGGAGCAATAACATTTTCAAAGAAATCTTCCTGTTCAGACATTCGTCAGTGTGCCTTCGTCTTTCCAATCTTGTTAAACTAGCTGTGTTCAATTACTTAGGCTGCATGCGTTTACCACTATACCGGAATCGCTCACCACGACATCTTCATTTGCTTTAAAGGGGTAACTGTTCGGATTAAAAGATTATTAAGCTGATAGATTTAGTCTATTTGATTGTGTTTCTGGCGTTGAACAATTTCACTTTCTTTTAATACAAAGAATATTCAACCTGTAACGATAGCAATCCGGAATAGTGGAAACGGGGCCTTAAACAGCATTCTATGTACCACAACATGAACACAGCATGCAGTGATGATTTCTTTGTTTACTCCCAAAGGAAAGTTTGGAAAATACCGTCCACACAAAAGACACTATTGACACAACTACATGGCCGTATTCTTAAGTATAAAGACTCTAACACTTTCGTGGTTATTGTCCGCAGGCTACATTGGATACGGGTTTAAAATACAGCTAGACAATGCGGTCAAACGTTCTGTGATATAATATTTTATGAAACAAGCTTTCGGCTGTCTGTCTAAAGCCTTCGACGGTTTATAAAAAAATAAATGGGATTGGATGTAAGTGCACAAAACAATAACGGAAATTTTCTACCTGTGAATGAACGTGAACTAATCCTTCTACAATCTCACGGAGAAGCCGCCACATACTGTGTTGGTCTTTGTACTATCCCTCGTCGATATAGCATTCCTTAGAGTACTCTTCTCACAATAATCCATCTTTATATAGAAACTGTGCGGAGTAAACATTGAATCTTCTTGCAAACTCTTTTGGTGATTGCTTCCACCCCACTTTCGAAATCAGATTCCTCGTCCAAAAGGAGAGACGCTGGTGGTTTATTTTTACATATTTTCAGCCAACTAACTTCCAAACTGTATGTGTGATTCATCGATATTTATTTTGAACATATCTTCAGAAGACTCAGTGTTATGATTTTCTATTGGAACCTCATCCTCGCTAAAGCTTTTATCGTCGTCAGCATGCTTGGAATCATTCGTGTTTTCATTGGTCCACGAGTCTTCATCCACAACTCTCGAGCGTACGCTAGATGCTTCAACTACGTTCAATTTCATCTGTTCCAATTATACGTGAAATGGCAATCAAATGTTGTAATTTGTACAATTAGAAATACAAAAACACTACTTTTATGTTTTTAATTTCGTGTTTTATTGAATTTGGAAGCATCACTTACTTTTATTTATTAATACAAAAAACTTTCCACATAGAAAGGTTTCTATGTTTTTTGAGGGAGGAATTTTGGCAATAAAGCACAGGAAAATTACCAAACATTCTGGACTGAAAAGTCAACAATGAAGAATTACAAAGACGTATCGTTTTATACAACTAGAGCCTAACTGTATCTTTTAAATTTTTATGACTAGTGTTTAGTTTTATTTCACACATAGCACAAAATCCACAAATTCTTTGACCTGTTGTCTTGAAAAGGTAAACTTTATCTATTCGTTAATTTAGTGTAAATTCAAATTGACTACACTCCTGTAAATCATCACAGCATACATTTTTTTATCAACGTAGACGATCGTGGACATGCCTCACTGCATGTAATAAACATCCGCTTTACAAATATATCATAAACCCTGTACAACTTGCTGACAGACATGATGGCCATGTCACCTGATGGATTTCAAAGTTATGTATTGGTGATTTGTATTGGATGTTGCTTGGCATGTATAGGTTAGACAAGGCAGACAAAGTAAGTGAGTGATCGTGTTTTAGCTTTTAAGTACATCAAGACTGTTCGATATTAACTAAGTGTTTATAATAGCTATACTATATTCGTTCAAGTACGTTAATATTTAAGACATTATTTAATAAAGAATACTACTTTCTGTAAATTTATATCAATCAATGCATGTTCTCATCTCAACATCAATAACGTCGTATGAAAGATGTATTGTTTTACTGAAAGATATCGCAGTAGCTGTAGTTTTCGGTGAATTTAAATGCTCAGATGTGTTTGATCATTTTACTCAAAGCAGTCTTTGTGAAAACTGTGCGCTCATTGAAAAACACTTTATGAAATTTTACTATCGCTATTTTCATCGCTCATTCTTTTTCAAATGCAAGCATTTTTATTTTCAAAGTCAAAGAATTTTCCTTTGTAGAACTCAAAAATATATAAAACTATAAAACAATACGATATGATAGTTAATTGCTTCAAGCCCGTTGAATTATTGGTAGTCGGATTTTCGAACAAAAGCAGTTAATTTTTAAATAGTATAATTTTAATACTTTTTTAAGTAGATAAAAGTATTTCATCCATACACCTGTGCTCGGTGATATCGGTCTTCCACCTTTAGTCTACAAACTTACTCAGCTATAATGATTTTAATGATTTTAATACAAATACAGTAAAGAAGCTTTGTCCGTGAACCAAAAACTTCCTAATTAAAATAATTGAACCCCCTCCCAATAAGGATGCTCTTGGTGCGCCTCTGAGTTGATCAATGATCACATGATAAAAATCCGCTACCACAACTTCTTTTGGAACTCCATTCCTTATTAAACTCTATTCCTCATTGAATTAAATCCCTTTCTTTCGAGAAAAAATTGCAACTTCTGCACATAGATAGTTCAGGGAACTATATTATATCTGTAAAAACCTTGTGTACGCTATGCCATATCCTACAATAGTACTTTTTATACGTAGTGTTTTGTCAAAAGCTTTTATGTGCAATTCATCTTTCTTTTGGATTTCTGCATGAAAACGATGTTGAGGAGGTTTTAAAACTGATTGAAATCAACAGGACATTAATAATTTAAAATGGATAAATCTTCCAGTCCATGCATGCTAGACTTCATATACAGTTTTATAAACACAAACATTAACCAGTTTCTTCATGAAGGATTATTTCTGAACAACATGAACTTTCACAAACTTTGCCGACATCCAAATATTACGTATTTTACAGCTACAATGAGAAGTAAATATCACTTGACCCATATTTAACAAACATATTAGGCTTTTTAAGGCTTAAGAACACAACACAAGTAGAGCAGCTTATAGCAACATATCGCTAAACCTACAGCATAAATATTTACCCATGCATAAGAGTTGTTCAAACCTGCAGCATAAGTATCTACCCATGCATAAGAGTTGCTCAAACCTGCAGCATAAATATTTACCCATGCATAAGAGTTGTTCAAACCTGCAGCATAAGTATTTACCCATGTATAAGAGTTGTTCAAACCTGCAGCATAAATATTTACCCATGCATAAGAGTTGTTCAAACCTGCAGCCTAAGTATCTACCCATGCATAAGAGTTGTTCAAACCTGCAGCATAAATATTTACCCATGCATAAGAGTTGTTCAAACCTGCAGCATAAATATCTACCCATGCATAAGAGTTGTTCAAACCTGCAGCATAAGTATTTACCCATGCATAAGAGTTGTTCAAACCTGCAGCCTAAGTATCTACCCATGCATAAGAGTTGTTCAAACCTGCAGCATAAGTATTTACCCATGCATAAGAGTTGTTCAAACCTGCAGCCTAAGTATCTACCCATGCATAAGAGTTGTTCAAACCTGCAGCATAAATATTTACCCATGCATAAGAGTTGTTCAAACCTGCAGCATAAGTATCTACCCATGCATAAGAGTTGTTCAAATAAATTACAGTGTATTTGTGGCTTGTGTTCAATGCGTTGTTTGCTGTGACGTCAAACACCGTGGCAAAGTATATAGATGAAAGTGAATCTTGTCGGCGTTTCAAACAAAATGGTGAGTTTATTGGATATTTGAGTATTGTTAACAATATAAAACTAAACACGTCAACGAATATCTTACAGGAATATTGCCTGTCATAAAATACTTCGCCGATCCATACCCCTTAGTAACCAAGGATACCAATGTTTCACTGTCTTGCACCGCGATCATCGTAAAAGAAAAGAACCCAAATGAAGAAAACGATCCCGATTTGCTGGAGACGATTCACTTCTATCGCAATAATGCAGCTCCGGGTTTTCATAATTGTGACTGGCGGGGGAAAATGGCGACTAATGGTACCTGCCATGTCACCGTGACGGATGTGAAACAAAATGATACGTTTAAATGTGTTATCCATGGAACATTTAATTTATGCAATGCTGCTTCAATCATGTTTGACGTAAGAGGTAAATCGTTGGGGGTCCAGTATTTAATTTATGCAAAACTTCTTCAGTCGTTAATGACGTAAAAGGTAAATCGATAGTGGTCGCAGAGCAGTTCTCTTTTGCAAGTGTTTATAAAATTTAGTAAACATGAGGTGCACTCTAACATATTGTGAAAATGGCGTGACTTCTCAATATATGGGCACATCACGCCATTTTAAAAAGTATCTTAATCGGTACAACAGTACTCTCCTTGCGCACCATCTTGGTGGTGTGGTGCGCACCATCTTGGTGGTCTGATGCGCACCACCTTGGTGGTCTGATGCGCACCACCTTGGTGGTCTGATGCGCACCACCTTGGTCGTCTGATGAGTTGAATTAAGCTCGCGAAAATCTCTCGTAACACGCGACCTTTTAACGCTCAACTGTCTCGTGGAATAGGAAAACGTGGTTCGAACGGGATATTTGGATTTTCAAAAGTCTTCTTATGTCTATGCATGAGTTCTTCTTCTAACTTTAATATCCAAGAATAAAGCTTCAAACAGTGTCTGTCTTTTTTACTTAAAATTTAAGGCATTCTTAAACATATATTTCATGCAATTTTGATTGTCTTTTTTTTATTTTTAACAATTTAACTGGATCATTTATAGTTTCATGTATCTCAACCACTAACAAGGATTAACTATTGTTTTTACAACTAGTTATCACAAAAATATTTACGTTGAAGAAGTAAATAGACAGTTTGGCTACGGCACTGATGTGAATAGTCTAGTATGCGTTTGTGACTTGTTTCTTTGTTTTCCAGTTACTACAGCCGCTGCTTTGCACAGTTTGTGGCCAATCGTAAAGTTTGTAGGAGAGGAAGAAGTTAAAATAGTCTGCATTTCTTCTGGACTACCTAAGCCCATCGTATATTGGCTGGTGAACGGTTCTTTCGTGTCAAAATCGAAGACAATGTTTCCAGTCATAGGGACTGCTACACAACAAGAAAAGGTTAAAAATGGCAGCAATGTATATTATGTCACCTCAACCATTAGTATCATTTATCGACAAAATCCAATTCGTGTGCAATGCTTTGCAAATAATTCTGCCGGTGAAGTTCGCAGTAATAACGCTTCTCTATTGGACATGAAAGGTACGAATTGAGAACACTTGAAGTGTTCATGAAAAGAAAATTTTGCTATTTTAATTATACTTTCATTGAAACTAACTCTTAAACTTACAATGGTCTTTTTAAAACAGTTCATGTACATCTCTTTTCATTCTCGAGTTTATGATATTTTTAATGTCCAATTTAGAAAATCAATGACGTCACATTACATAATGAATTGTGGCAAAATTTCAAAAATTCAAACATCTTTCAGTTTACCGGGGGAGTTTCGCATTTGCTGTTCTTGTCATTAAAAATAAACATGAAACGGCAAGATAAAAAATGCCCACGGACCATAGTGCTCTCTAACACATAATAGATAATGAAAATTTAATTGCAATTATGAGCTTTCAAGCCATTCTAAAGGATAATCTAGAAATTTAATTTAACATAAATATCATGATAATATTGTATCTCTTGCCAATGCAACAGTTTTGTGACAGTGGCAGAAGCAACGGAGTCCGTTTGTAAAAGCAACGTTGTTTCGACACGTCATATCGTTGTTTGTAAAGCACATCTGTGGAACACCAACTTCCCTTTCATATTTGTCAGGTCTGAATTCGGCTCATGACGTAAGAATTTACATTTCAATTGATTATTTAAGATAAATGACACATGACCTAATATTCTGAACTCATGAAACATGTGAAAAGAAATATCCATTCATTTCTATCGTATTTTGTGGAGACGTCAGATATATTTTAGAGATTTCAAATATTTCTTATTCAACGAATTTCTTATTCTAGTTGAAGATCTCACGCCCACTATTTGGAAAGCGTCTTGGAGCAACGTCTTTTTTGACGACAGACATGACAACGTTACAACTTATAACGCTTCAATTAGCTGCAGTAAAGAATTTTCGCAAGATATTATGGTGATCAATGATCAGAGTGCCACATTTACACTCACAAATCCATTTCTCGGTAAATGTCAGATTAAAGTTAGCTCACTTAACGACAACGGAGATGCTGCTTTTGGACAAATAGCATTCATTTCAGGTAAAAATGTGAAATGGGTAAATCCATTATTACCTGACAAATTGATAAAATAAACTTATAAAATATCCATCATTAATTGAATATTTAAGATAAAAACGAGAATAATAGTTTAGTGATGTTTGAATATTTTACAGACTGACTCTAACTGAATTATTGTCCTCTCTCTTATATCAAATATTGATTTAAAGATGGATATCTTTTTGGAGAATGTTTCGTTTTCTACTTTATTAGAAAAAGTTTAAATACTGTCAAACGTTTGACAACCGTCATTTTGCTTCGTTGTCACATTTGCCTGCAGCATGAATGCAATTTTTTGAAAATTATTAAAATAGCACACACGATCAATCTCTCAAGAAAAAATTCACCAATAACGTCCGAAAACAATAGTTGTCAGTCAATGAGGTTTGCATAAAATAAAATTGTTCGGAGGAACGTATATGTTGTGTATGCAGTTCCTCTATACTGAGAAAGAGTAAATAAAAAGGAAACGAGTGTTTTCATATTCATGCTAATGCTCCTTTTCTCATTATGTTAGATATTTGATAACTATTGATAAAAATATCTCCAACAACGAATATAATATTTGATGCATTTTCATCGTTACATTAAATATGAGCAAAGTTTGGGTGATCACTTAAAATGCTAGCCGAAGAATAAGTGCAATGAAGCAAAGGACACGGAATAAAAATACCGGAAGTTACTCCAAAGATTAAGACTCTGCGTGTTCGCCTGAAGACTCGTCATTGCAGCATTTACTAGCTTATGTTAACAGAATTTAGCGAAAGACTCAAATCTGCCTGCCTCCCTTGTGATAAACAATGAACAATTCCTCGGCATCTGTCATGTCTGTTTTTTATGGGGCGGCGTGAAAACCTTTGAAAGCAATGTCTTTGTGAAATTAGAAAAATATCGCCTGAAAACATGCTTATATTCGAGCTCGTTTGCAGCTTGTGTGTCTATTTTTTATACAAACCAGAAAAAAATAAAGTTAACCACTAATCTAACGAAGTTAGTAAAGTAACAAACTACTAACCTCAAACCATTTTCTCTGTAATTTGACAAGTTGTCGGTTAACACGTTATTAATCCTTTATTAAAGAGCGATTTCCGCCACCAGAGAACGTTATGATTTCAAATATCACCGAGTCATCTGTTGTTCTTCGATGGACTCCGATCAACAAACAGCAATGGAAGCATAACGTGAATGGTTACAAAGTCATCCTGAAAAGCAAAATAGAAATAGTTGATTATAGACTTGCGAGCAATAGTTCTGAGTTAATGCTCAGCAAACTGCAGCATGCAACGGGTTATAATGTTTCCGTAACAGGAATTGGTGACATCTTCGAGGGAAAACAAAGTGAATGGATTTATTTCAAAACAAATGGTGAGATATTGAGGATGATGTGTGTAAATCCCATCTAATCTCAAGTAAGAACGTTAGTTAGTTGTCTGCATCATTTAAATTGAAAAAAATTTTTTTTAAATATCGAGGAATAATAATGTGGATTTTTCCAGCACCTTCAAACATAGCAAATCCACCTTTCCGACGGTAAACACACGTGTCAAAAATACGAGATCAAATTACCAAATTCGGACAATCAAATGGTCGGATATAGTATTGTATTTGTAGAATAGTGGCAGCAAAATAGAAAGAAGATGCTCTTGGGGCATTTGTAAATCTTATTTTAAAAATCCGGAAAGACTAATTATAAAGACAGAAGGCGTAAAGCCTGTTCTCTACTAGCCACGTATCGTAACGTATCGTAACAAAACGTAACATGGCGCATGCGTGACTGTGCCTATTGACCATCAAATTCATAAGCACGCATGCGCCATGTTATGTTTTGCTACGATACGTTACGATACGTGGCTAATAGAAAACAGGCTTAATACTGAATAAAAACCATTTTCCATCAAATCAAAGGAAAGCTTGGATATGATATGTAATATATATGCAGATACAAAGTTTTAGAGAAAAATAAAAACATCTCTAACATTGTCACAGATATTACGAGTGGCGTAACAAAGTGTTGACGAGTTTTGATATGCATTTGTCAAAACAAACTTAAGAAGACAAAGAGCATGCCAAAAATATATGATTGAAAACTTGCTCAGCACATCTACAAGCACCAATTTCAGAGCTTGCTCTGTCACAGATTAATTGAGAATTAATCTGAGCATGCGTAGTCAACGCCGCCAACTCTCCAAGTTCATGGTCATGACAACGGCCAACTGTAAGTAATAGTACCAATTATGGAGTAAATAGCACGCTCAGTCACAAATTTTCGGATAAATCATCTGCGCATGCGCAGTAGTGACTTTAACAACACCACAACTTTCGTAAGCCTTTGAATTTTGGTATATATATGTATAAAGCCAATATTAGGTATAGTAGATGTCAACCAGCAGTGGAAGCTGGGTGCGATATAGTATGCAGTGGCTTAGAGGCCCACACTTCGGTGGCGACCGCACTCTCCCTGCGTACCCCGAGCAAAGCCTATCGCTTAACATGCGGCTTTCTAGTGCCTTACGTATAACAAGGTATCGGGAAGCATGGCCCGAAAACGGGTTTTTTTTTGTTTTCGAATTTTATCTTTTTGTTCTCATAAAATAAACAAAGCAATGTTTCAATTAACTTCTTCTGACACTGTGCCTTTTTTTGACACTTATAATTTAAGACAACCTTAAACATGTTTTAAACAATTTTTATTGATTTATATCTTTTTGATTTAACTCTCTTATTTACTGTTTCTCATGTTTCACGAGCAAACCATCCATGGGCTTCATGGCAGACAGGATTATCTGGTCCCTTAATAAACATGAGACGCTCTAGTGCTCAACTATCGGGAGGGTATCGGGGGGGTATGGATCGAAAACCGGATTTTTTGTTTTCAAAATTTGTCTTTTTTTACAAGAATTCTTCTCATAGAAGAAACTAGAACATCCAAGGATACTGCAAAGGTTGAAACAACTTCTGCCTTTTTGACTTATAATTCAGTAAACCAAATCGAAACATGTTTATACGCTTTTTAGTTGTTATCTTCTACAATGTAACTTTCTCATAACTCTCTCGTAACAAACGAGAGCCTCCTTACAGGCATATACAATGTAAATCTTACATCATGAACGAAAGCACCCATGGGTCTTTTGGAAAAAAGGGACTACATACTTTTTCAATAATAGTTTTACAATGATAACATTTAATAAGCCAAGCCATTTGTATCGTCTAAAATGAGCCCTTATGTCATACAATTTTAATTTATTTTGGATAGTAAATTTCTTTTTACTTTTCAATATTTTCATGATTCAAGCTAGAAAGCAACTTCTCTTCTCGAGTAATTTTGCAATTAAACAGCACACTTTAGACTCAAAGGAATTCTTTTGATCGCATAAGGACAACAGTATAATTTATTACGTAAATGCATGTAGTATGCATTTCGTTGTAAGAAACCACCCTACCAAAGAATATCAAGATCCGATTTTAGCTGCATCGAGCAAAGAAAATTGCAAGTCATGTTATTTTTATGATATTTATAATTCGACATATCATGAGATTCCAGATGATATTCATGACTGGCCTTTGAATACAATTAACACATATTCATAATAAGACAAAGTTTTATGTTATCATTTATCATTTACGTGAATAACTTGTAAATGAACCTGAAAAGCCAGTTTTAGGGAGATTTTATCCATCAATAATAATAATGGTGATTAGTGATTATAAGACAGCGAAATCAACATGTAATAAAAATAACAGTTCAAAAATTTGTATGGTTTGCTTTTTTGAGCTTTATGCAGCTGGAATCCGTATAGGATATTCTTAAGTCACGCCGTAAAGGCCCGTAACAATCCTTATAAAAAAGTCATTAGCGCGACAACATGCCAGTATTCAAGCCTCACTTCGATCGTTATGCTTTTTCGAACCCAAAATTGTTAATATTTACTGTTATGCCTTCTGCCTGTATAAATAATCGTTCTGAATAACTAGAATCAGATTCACAAATGCCCCCAAACTCAGAAAGCATCATTCAATAATTAATATTTTATTTTTAGATATGATTGCGAAAAAAAGAAATAAATTATCAACAACAGAGAGCAATGATTTCAAATCATTTATAGTCATTATACCGTCTTGTGCAGTCGTTGTTGCTTTTCTCATAACATTTTGTGTTCTTCTCAAATATTTTCGAAAGCACAAACATGGATTGTCGAAAGAAAATACGCCGGATGAGGTAAAGTTAATCATGATCTCAATAAGATTAATGTACATTTGATGGTCATATCATTGAACTGAATATGTAACTGGATAGCTATCTAAATATTGCGTACTTGCATGAATGCAAAAAGTTGCATGTTGCTAAAGTTCTGCCTTTTGGCTTACTGTTAAAACCATGTCCAACAGAGAATTTAAAAAAGTAGAGTAAAAACCAAGTTTTCGAAAATTACTTTTTCTGTACGCAGCTAACAAATGTAACGGAACTTTTTATTGGCCGGGCGTGGAAGGATTGGAACTAGTTGAACTACTAGTCGAACTTGAAGGCCGTCTAGTTGTATCAAGTTCAAATGATCAGACCACTCAGATAGATTACCCTCCCTAAACTAGAGCCCGCAATTTATTACTTCATTTAGATGGAGAATGCTCGACGAGCTTCCCAGGATAATCTCAGGATTCTTTTTCCAGAGTATTTTGGAGACGAGGCAACAGAAGCCGAAGGTGAGAGAATTATTATTTCCTTGCATATACAAGATACGAACACTTATTTATACAGAATATTGGGGGAAAAAATGATATCGATCAAAATAGTCGGTTTTCTTTTCGTATCTTTGTATCTTGGTGAAAATGGATTGTCGACATGTTTTGAAACAGGAGTTTAATCTTTTTAGACATTTCAAGATGGGAAATCGAAGCCAATCAGTTGGCGATATTTGATCATGTTCTTGGAGGTGGACAATTTGGCGTAGTAAAAGAGGGTTTACTGTTGAGTAAAGATGGACCTAACGCAAATAACAACGACATTCCCGTGGCAATTAAGACTCTCAGAGGTAAATCAATTTTCATTTAGTAAATAATATACCTATGTCAAAGTGCATTTTTTGCTAAGTAATAAAATAGCCATGCAGATTAAGAGAGCTGGTTTTTGCTGATGACTTTTCCTGTTTTTCTTTCAACGCAAAATTCTCTTGGAAAACATAAAATTTTTAAGCGTAGCTAAGACAAGCAAGATCTTTCGCATGTGTACATATTGAGGACGAAATTGAATTGAAATGACTTAGCTCACTGTTCGTTTCGAAGATTAAAATGCAACATACCAAATTTGGAGTTGATCATAAAATGTTATGAAAATATATCATAGTTTTGAAGCAAGAAAACGCTTAAATATACCACTAATTTTTACAAAAATAAGGTTTAAACTTACTGATGAATAGTTCCAACAGCCATAAGCTTCTTCTTAGTTTATGACTTCACGTTTACCCAAATGTTCTGCCATTTTGTTACCATAATTTGCCAGTCCATTAGATTAAGAGTATGCGCTATTTCCCGACAAGAGAACCATTAAGATTGCAGAATACGCCCCATCAAGCGCTTGTGGCATTTTAATGATTCCACATATGTCATAGCCATGCAGCTTTGGATACTACTTGGCATCGTATGATTTTTTTTGTTTTTCTTTTGGGATTGTTGTAACCATGCAGCCGACACATTTAGTCCTGTCTTGCATATGTTTCTTTACTCATTCACTTCAAAAAGAACACACATCTTTATCTGTTAAAGCAGCTTTCCATCAATTTCTTATTTAATTCAGCCAATCGTGGCCAAAGTGATTGGTTTGATTTGATGCGAGAATTCGAGATTCTGCAGCATTTAAACATCACTGGTCATGAAAACGTAGTCAAACTCTACGGGGCCTGTGCACAAGAAGGTATGTCACAAAAATAAATACAATTTTGAAGAACTCGCGAATGAAGGTTAAAAAAAGATTAATTATATAAAATAGTCTTTGGAAGATATGGAGGAGAATTCAGTTTGGGTATGAACGACCACAAGTTGCACAATGTTTAATTGTGATATTCAGAGGCGTAACTAGAACGGGGTGTATATTCATATATTCCGTTGTGCCCTACTGATTTCTGTTGAAAGTGAATTGAATTTCAAAAGAAATCAGCAGGGCACAACTGAATATATGAATATACACCCCCCGTTCTAGTTACGTCTCTGGTGATATTTTCCTATCGTTGGAATTCACAAGTAGCCTATTTTCATTGATAATAAATTTTCGTACACTAACTAAAAATATAACCTAAATGTAATAAAATGGAAATTGTTTGGTTTGATAGCCAGCATGTCATGTCGTGCTATGTAGTTTTTTTTTATGTTGATTCATGAAAGAAAAAATGCTAATGATCATGAGGCAAATGCGCGAAGACTGGATAGCGTTATCCATTGGAAAGTAAAATTTTCAAACTTGTAAAAAAGTTGTTTATATTTTCCTTACGACATAGAAATTTTTGTAATCATGGAAGCAATATTAGTGAAGGCTCATCTCAAATCTGATATTTTTCTCTTTTAAGAGGTTTTCAAACGTTCAAAAAAATTTGCTATTCAGTGGATAGCGCTATTCGATCTTCATGCAACCGGCCCCTGAATTTTATATAGCATAACTAAAGTTGAGGGCTGGCTACGCTTCTGGAACGCGAAATGAATCACTTCATGTATAAAAAAAGTTGATTCAATTAAAGTCATTCTTTTCTTAAAATATTTACATTTTATGTTGAGAAACATCCCACATAGTTTTTTTTTTGATTAAAGCACATGAAAATTTCGTCATTTGAAACTGCTTTTCAGTTCCTATCATGTTGGTTATGGAATATTGTAAAAATGGAAACCTAAAAGATTTCTTAATAAACAGTCAAATGTATCCAGATTCCGATGAAAGCTACACAAATATCTACTCAAAGCTTACAGAAAGGCAACTCCTTACTTTTGCCGTGGAGATATGCAAAGGCATGATATACTTGGATGAACAAAAGGTATATTACTGTAAATACAAGGTGTCACAAAAAAACCAGAACCCATGGAAATTAGGCATTCGCTTAAATTCACAACAGCAAACTTGACTGCTCTGCGCCTCAGGGATTTTAAAGGATTTGTAGGATATTAGTGAGTGATATTAGTGGCAAGACAAGTTAAAAGCACTGTCATACACTGATTTTTGCCTCAAAATTACTATGTGAAAGCTTCGTAAAATCAAAGCAAAATTACCTGAGTTAAAAAAGCCACTGAAAACATAATCATATTTTCCATAAGTAGCAACAAACATGGGCAATTAGAGTGTGACTAAATTAACAAGGCAGAAAAAATAGCTTTTGCAGACTAAATTATTTCATGCAGATTCATATACTGTACATAAATATTTGTGCAGCTTCTGTTTTCTTTGGAGCACCGTGAACACTTCAATGAGCCAGACAAGATTAGTACCATTATTTACACATTTGTAGACTCTGGGAATGTGCTGTATCATGATTCTGGTAAAATTTTAATATCGAGATACATAGCCAGACATTAAAGATTTTGTGTTTAGTTTCGTGTTACTTGCACTGATAAAGTATTTTATGGTGTTTGCCCTTGCCCATGATATCACAGTTTTATTTTTCGGTCGAGGGTCGGGGGGGAGGGGAGGAGTAAAAAAGCAACATGACAAACCCGTAATGTAGTAACACAATAATGCAGAATATTCTTCATTTTACTATTTAGTAAATTTTAAAACGCTTCCAAGAGGGAACTATTCATTAAAAAACTAACAATCCCGACTATTCATTTCCCTGATGTCAAATTTTACTTATTACAAGTAACTGCATGCATGTATGAATGCGAACTGTCGGTGCGATGCAATAGTTCCTAAGTAGGTCATTTCCAAAGTCTATTGTCTACATTATAAGTCATATGTATTTTTGTGCTCACATATAATCCTTGCTGTTAAGAATATTCCCAACATTAAAGAAACAGATAATGATGATAGTAGCGGTAGAAAATATCGTTATCTATTTATGCCAGTTTTGGCTAAGAATATGGCTTAAATATTAGAAGCGACTTATTTCAAATCAAAACTGCATCTTACCTCACAAGACTGATGAGGACGAAAGCTTGGTTATCGACACATAAAACACAAATTTCTCACGCTGATATCCGCACGAAAACGACGAAATAACATGTACATCATGTTCATCTTTAAAACAGGCGCCATTTTTCATGCTTATTTTTGTTTGGTCACTATCTTAATCCTGTTATAATCTGATTAAGACCAGTTAAAACCAAAAACCGGTTTTTATAATTCATACGTCAAAAGATGTGACGTCACTAGAGGTCCAAGAATTCACAGGACTGGAGTTCTACTTACTTGTGTAAACTTCTGTATTTTCTAATTTGTATACTCGCTTTAATACGCGATGAATGCGGGCAAAGACCGGGAAATAACTTTTGGTAAAAACAAGAACTTTTATCTCAACTTGTTGTTCATATGGAGTATGATCTTAAATTACTCTAGTAAAGAATATGAGCTTACTTAGAAGAACGAACACCTATCTTAGGGAAAAAATAGCGTTTACAATACCCCAAAACCATGAAGAACATGTTTTATGCATACCAAGCCTCGGGAAAGATTTTTTGTACAGAAGTCAAAAGCGTTTTCCTGAGTCTAAAATTTTATCTTTTTTTAAGGTTGTGCACAGGGATATTGCGAGTCGCAACATCCTCCTTACTGAGAAACTTGTACCAAAAATCTCAGATTTTGGACTGGCACGAAAACTTGACGTCACACGTCACTATATTGTCAACAAGAATGTGTGTTATATATTTGCCTGTTTCACTGATCGTGTGGGTATTATTTATATAGTTTTGGATTATTTTTTACGTACTTTGCAGAAAATGCTGCCAGTAAAATGGATGTCGATTGAATCTTTGTTATATGGGCGATTCACTTCGGAGTCTGAAAGGTAAGCCGTTTTCTTCATAGTCATTTTCAACCTTTTTTTCTCTTTAAAGTTATTTTGTTTTTCAAATATGATCAAGCGGCGCCATGCATGACAAGGTTGTGGTTATTTTTATCACATAATAAGATGATACAGTAAAGAATTAGCAGATTTTGCATAAGCTGACGTTTGATCACAATTCTGCCTTGTCGTTGACCGTATTTCACCTCATTTCTGAATCAATGGTCAAAGCATGCGACTGAAACGTCATCTTTGAATTGGTTCCCATTGAACAATGTAATGACCTTTATTTTAATATATATATTCTTTTATTTTCATTCAAGATGGTCATACGGGATACTATTGTGGGAAATTTGTACTCAAGGTGAGCAGGAAATATTTAGATAAAATTTTGCTCTCCCCTCCGACAAACCATTGTGGTATAGCGCTATGATTAGCTGCAACGATAAACTCGAGCATATTGAAAATAATGCAACTTCATTATCTCCATGCTATCATTTCTTTAGCTCAGGAACCTTACAGTGATCTATCGCCTTATCATATCGTCGATTATCTCGTTGAGGGTAACAGAATGGCCTGTCCACCTCATTGCAACCAAGAAATGTAAGTTCACAGCTAAATATTCGTGACTTTGACAACCTTTGGCAGCCCCTACAGCAGCAAGTTTGTTTAAAGCTGGCTCGTCACAACAGTCACGTAAGCAGTCTGCAAGTTTGGTCACATATGTAAATATAATGGTGATCACTTATTGGTGCTCATTCACTGTAAAATTTCTCTAAGATTAAATAATTTTTAAAAAATTACTAATTTGAAATTCATTATACATAGCATTCACCAAACTTGCAGATAGCAAGCTAGCGGGAAGATTGTGTGACAGTTGTGTTGACAGTTTAACTATCAGCCAGCTCGCTAGAGTATTGATGATCTCACTCATCTTGTCGAACTAGCATTTGACAAAGTAATTTCTGAACGTAAACTCATTACAAAACGTATTTAAAACAATGCGCCATTGAAACTTGGAAATATTTATAACTGCTCATAACAGACAATAGTTTTGATTATTTTGTAAAGATATTCATTGATGTCAGACTGCTGGTCACACGATCCAGAGAACAGACCTAGTTTCTCAGAAATTTACCGGTCACTGAACGAAATGCTGACATGTAATGAGGTACGAGAAAATAATTATACAAGCAAACGCCATTACGTTAGTCTCGAGATCAGACAAACAAACAGCCAAAATACTGATGTCTCATGAAGAATATGATAGATTCTTTCATCAACCTCGCCAAGCGTTGCCTAACATATATTTATCAATTGCAACCTCCATTCGATAACATAAAGTTTATAACTACTTGTACATTCCGCTACTTTAAGCATCACGCACGCAATTGACAAGAATTTACAAACATTTTTAGAAATGTTACATCAACATAGAAATTTTTCACGATACGAATGAACCAATGACGTCAGAATCGCGAAGTCCTTCCGGAGACCTAACGACAAGTCTAGCAGATTCTGCGATCGTGATCAATGACAACACAATTGGTAGCAATTCTGAGTCTAATGTCATATTTGATACAGCTGTTTGAAGTTGAAGTCGAATATTACCCAGTGAAAATTAAAAAAATATTCTGTTGTTAGCTACTTTCATAGACAGCGAAAAAAAAGACAAGATTAAACTGTTGATACACTTAAACTTTCTTCCTTTATTTCGGGTATAAAAATTGAAACACACATACGACTATATGACTACACAATCAAGGTAAAGAGAAAAATCAGGGAATCACGATTAATGCCAAAAACAATATTCTAATTTTTCAGCTGCGTCATACTGGACTATGTCAATAATATTGTTAAGTATTACGTCATGCGATTGTATTTTTAACTCAAAAATCATACTGAGCTTTGCCACTTAAATATCCTTCATAGAACTTCGAATGTTTTTCTGTAGAGTGTTGTGTTGCTTTCACAGCAGAATCATTTTTCATTAAATTAAACCAGTTACTAAGATTTGGATGTTGGTCAGCGCTCAACGAATACACCGCGGGAGTTCGTTCAAACCAAGGCCAGATCATGTAGTCTGCCATTCCCACCTGGTTACCTTGGAAACAAAAGAAAAAATGCATTTTGAGGCACAAGAGAAAAAAAATTTTGAAAATTGGAATAAAGTGAGGAATTTTATTTTTTAATTCGTTATTCTTGAAGACGTCTTGAATTTAAAAATGGCTATATATTTGCTTTTATAAGAATTATAATGTTAGTAAGCAATGATAAAAAATGCTGACTCACCAGAAAAGTACTTTGACTTGTTATCAACTAGGTATTTCTCAGCATTAGATAAATTCTTAACAAATTCCTCTTTTGTTTCGTCTGTTTTTTGTTTCATATACTTGTAGAATGAAGGGATGAACTGTGCAAACAAATCAGAAAGATTACAGAAAACAAATGACGTTTTTATCCGTTTGGTGAATCAACTTCTCTTGAAATTGAAATTTTCGCGTTGTTTGACAAAACAAGTAGAAGTTGATTTGCACCAATACTTTCAAAAGTAGAAATAAATCCTCCCCTTATTTGGTACTTTTAACAAAACAGTACATGAACGGACCAGAAATCGATTCTCAAATGACAAATACGTACTTGACATTGAGGGGGGGGGGGCGTTAAAACAAGGAACGGTCGTTCTTACGCATAAGACGTTGACATTTCGAGAGTTTTGCCAAGGAACCAGAAAGAGAGGGGGTGCATTAAAACAAGGAATGGTCGTTGCTTATGGAGAAGTCGTTGCTTATGGAGAAGTCGTTGCTTATGGAGAAGTCGTTGCTTATGGAGAAGTCGTTGCTTATGGAGAAGTCGTTGCTTATGGAAAGTCGTTGCTTATGGAGAAGTCGTTGCTTAAGGAGAAGTCGTTGCTTAAGGAGAAGTCGTTGCTTATGGAGAAGTCGTTGCTTATGGATAAGACGTTGACATTTCGAGAACTTTACCATTCAGTCTAATACAACATGATAAGAATATTCTATCTTCCTAAACTATGTTTCTCTCAAAATTTCTTTTTTCTTTCTTTTCAAAATGCATCATTCACATGCTTCTGACAATACAGATCAAAAAAATCTCTACCACCAGTCAACCTTATATGAAAATAATACAAAATCAAAAGAAACATAAACCACTCACAGTTTTACCATACTTGTCGATAAGTAATTTTTGCTTGGCTCTTTCGATAGGATCTTTTGAGTGAAGCTGTTTCTCAGGAAACATTTCATCAATCAAATCTATAAAAATATCAATATGTACAAATGGCCTCGCTCTTTGTAGAAAAACGTTATGTAAAAATAATATACAGTTCCATAACGATATGCAACATGCATCACCATTCAATGTTGAATAATCAAGGGCAGAACCGCCTTACCTTAAATTTAGTAAGTAATAAACAATGACAGATGAAGCATTACAAAGGTTTACATTACACAAATGTCTGAGAGAAAACTGCTACTCTTAAATACCCATTAAACCCACCTGAAATAACAAGAGATTCACCAATTGTTTCACCATTAGGAAATTCGATTGCAGGGACGGTCCGAGAAGGATTGATGGCTGGATACCATTCAGGAAGTTCAGTGCGTAATTTTACATTCACAATGTCTAAGTCCACAAGACCTTTAGCAGCTACAACAAGTCTTGGTCTCTAGAGAATGTTTAAATTTAAGATTTTTTGTTACAAAGATTATTCTTTCATCAGAGAAACAGCTTCTGAATTTAGCACTGTCTTTCACAAATGGTGAGAGCCAGTAAAGATCACAGGAAGGGAGACACAAATTTCCTAAATATAGGTGTGGCTATTGGGTGTGGTCTTTGGAGAAGCCCCTTTATACCTAGTAGACAAATTTTCTTTGGACAATACAGAATTGAAATCAATGAAGTACGCAATTTTGTTGTACAAAACAAAACTTTAAAATAAAAATTATTATAACATGGAAATAAAGACAACTTAAAATGGAAAAAAACATGATATTTTCAATTTTTTAATAACTCAAGCGCATATCAAGGTTTAGGGAAAAAAATATTAGAATCATTAATTTCAAAATCAAAATACTCTAAAAATAGGTTATAAAATTCAAATGTTCAAAATTACTAGTTTATTATACCTAACGCTGGATTCAAGACTGTAACAAAAGAAATTCTTGGATTAATTTAAATGTTAAACAATATTTTAACAAATGACCGGTGAATGTCAACAGCTAATATTAGTCTTAGAAATTGATCCAAAATCTGTTTCACCTGTTTGTACTATGGCCTAATACTAGACCTTCAATATGATAATATCAAAAAATGTATACGATATACATCATTATAGTGCACCATTTAACAAATCAATATATGGATGAACAGTAGCAATAAATACACATATACAAAAGTTTTGCCCTCTCTTTATAGTTATAACTATGTAGACAATTCCATTAAATCACAAACTCGATCAATCGATGTTCGATCTATGCATTTAGATTTTTACCTGAGCAAAAGGGCAAAATGCCATGCTGTAAATACGGAATTTTTTGGCGACGTCAAATGGAGGCTTTGCATCTCCAGTTTGAAGATGTTTCGAAGACATTGTTCTGGTGGAATAAAAAATTCCTATTGAGTATCGAGTTTGACCTCTGACTACGAAAATAATGACGATGGAATTTCAAGATATGGTCGAATGGTGAGTAAATTACGTAACTCACTCTTTTCCATCACTCGAAAGGTATAAAATTTGCGGAGGCACAGATGAAGCTTCACGTCAGAATGTGTTACATTATCTTCTTCTTTTGAACGGTTGATGGTCGTCAGCCAATGCTTACATTCTTGACTATTTTTTTCTTTGAAACCACGATACTTTGAAAAACATTTTTCTTTTCTCCCGTGTCATGGTCACCTTTGGTCACCTTTCTCCGCTTTGTCCTGCTCGGGTAGCGGGTCTTTGCCGGAGACCCAGTTCTATGAGACTTCTCCAGGCTGCTCTGTCCTGGGTATCCTCTTCTTTGACACCACATAGCTGCATGTCTCTCCTGATGGTATCCTTCCACCGATGCTTTGGGCGTCCTCGTTTCCGTCTCCCCTCCATTTGCATCTCATAAACTCTCCGAATGTCTACATCTTCTTCACGCCGGCACACATGTCCGAACCACTGCAGTCTTTTTCTTCTCATCAATTTCAGTATACTCATGACATTCGCTTCTTCTCTTATGCTTTCATTTGTTCTGTGCTCCTCCAGGCTGACTCCAAGACAATAGCGTATCATTCTCATCTCGCATACACTGATCTTCTCTGCTAGGTAGTCTGTAACAGACCATGTTTCATTCCCATACAGAAGCACTGGGCGTATCACCGTTTTGTAGATGAGGATCTTCAGTTTCTTCGGCATCTTCTTATCACAGAGCACTCCCGTTAACTCTCTCCATTTATTCCATGCCCGGCTAATCCGTAGTTCAACCTCGGTCTTGCAACCGCCATCCTGATGGATGGTGGTCCCGAGGTACTTAAATGTCTCGCACTTTGGTAGATCTGTATTTCCGGGTCCAGCATATTCTCTTAGCTTGATGTTTCCTATGCAGCCACTCGGTGGGAGGTACTCCGTCTTGGCTCTACTAACTTTCAAGCCAACATCTTCTAATATTCTTCTCCACTCTTCTAGTCTTCCTTCCAGATGTTCTCTCTTCTCATCACACAAGACCAAATCATCTGCAAACATCATACTCCAAGGTGTGTCTTCTGTCGTGTCATCCGAGATTACATCCATAATGATAATAAAGAGTAGGGGGCTTAGTGCCGAGCCTTGATGTAACCCGACCTCTACTTGAATTTTCTCAGTCTCACCAACGTTCGTTGCGACACTAGTGGTAGAGCGCTTATACATATCTTTGATGGTTTCAATATAGGCCTCCGGGACTTGACGCTTCCTTAGACAGTACCATATTAGCTCCCTCGGGATTGTATCATATGCCTTTTCAAGGTCCACGAAAACCATATGTAGCTCTTTGTTGAATTCTCTATACTTCTCTTGCAGCATCCGCAGACAGAACATCGGCTCAGTGGTTGATTTTCCGCGTTGGAATCCATATTGGTTGTCCTTTATCTTCACTATTTCCTTTATCTTCACTATTGGTTGTCCTTTATCTTCATACGTACCATAAAGAAATTTTTGAGCAGGACAAGGTTGACCAAGATATTGACTGCATGTTTGGCATATCCACAGGTGTAAATCCGATCTAAATATAGAAAGTCAACTTATATAATGCTAGTCATCAGTACATGCGACAAAGATTCCTATTTTAAAATGATCTGAATACAAATGTGATCAAATCATCAATTTCCATCAACTTGCTATTTACATTGATGAAAAGTCTATTCTATGTGTGATTATGTCAGGATTAAGCAAAGAAAACTTAACGATAACTGCATTGTTGATATCTGTGGTGCCCAGCATTAACGAGAGACAAAGTTAACTAAACAGTAGGCACGAATAGTTATCAACTTAGTACCAAGGACTTTGACACAGATGATGGAGTTTGAACGGTAACCAAGTTTCAAAGGGATTATCATAGCATCGGATTTTTCAAGCTATTTTACTTGAATAGTGGATTAAAGCAGAAAATAATTATACATACTCGAAGATTTTATTATTAAATAGTTTAAAGAGTTATATAACAGTTTATATAGTTTTACATTTCAAATGAAATCATGTTTCAATGTTATTGTAATTGACAATTTTGAATAATAAATTGATACATTCTAATTAATTACAAAAATAATATAAATCTTACAATTACTCGTTGTATTGAACACTTCAACTTGACGATAAGCACAGAATGGCCTTCTGATTAACTGCGTAATTAAAGATTGCTATTAAGCTACAAAAAAGGGTTATAAACACCGGGAAAATGGCAACATAGTTAAGGCAATAGTATAGGTAAAAAAAATTGTCGCGTCGATTGCATGAACGAGTCACAAACTGACGCACAAATTAGGTATAAGAGCTGCGTGGAAAAAAGATACGGATTTCTCTATATCAGATATGATATATATGTATATATGTATATAATATGTATATATGTGCATAAATGTGCCTCTAAAAATATCATTTTCTCGTCTTTATATTATCTTGGTCTCACCCAGCGGACTGGAACCCATTGGGATTTTGTCTCGAGTTCATTCACTGTCTGAATTAATTCGTTGAAAGTTCTCTCTAAGTCTGTGTTCACGATAATTTTATCGAAATAATGACCAAAGTTATCCTCCATTTCTTGGGCACTCATTACCATATCCACAAGCTCCTCATCCTAAATAAATAATTTACAAGTTTTATTTCAAGAACTTTACACTGAATGGATCAACTATTTCAACTTACACTGCTTAATTTTTTAAGATTGGGGTTAAACGAATCCACATTGTCACGTCGTAATCTCTTTATTTTCTCGACGGTTGGCGGACAAATGAAAACAGAGTACGGTTTAAGTTCAGATTCACGCAGAACTTTGAGACCCTAAAATATATATGGAAAATACATCATTTTAACATAAACAGTTTTTTTAAAAACAGTTAGGCAAAGTAAACATTGAAATTTTCAATAAGCTAAATGGTTAAATCAATAACCCAAAGTTGAAATAATTATATCAGGTCCATCGTTTTAATTCACTCTCGTTGGACTCCAACCCAACTTTTAGGGTGGGTTTAAATTTAGAAGAAAATAATACGACAGGTGTAAGGGTAAGGGATGTGGAGGGTGATAATAAAGACCTTTAAGTGCAAGATTGCCATAACAGATAAAAACAAATAAAAAGAATCATATATGACGATACGAACCCTCCCCTTAAACGATAACGTGAATAGGAAGAAAAAAAGGCGAAAAAGCCAGGCAGAGTACAAAAATATTTCATCCAGTTTATACCTAGTCAGTTTATGTACGATTGAAAGAACGTACTATGGTGAATTCCACTTTATTCCTTTGTTGACTTTACCTGACAATGGAGATTGACGATGCAAACTTTTCCACTCTTTACAACTTCTTCAATAGAATCCAAAGATGTTCCATATAAATGTTTATCTTGCTCGCCGTGTTCCACAAATTTGCCTCTCGCGATCAAATCCATAAAATTTTTACGAGTGACGAAATAATATTCTTTACCATTCATTTCATCCTTCTGTTGATGTCGACTAGTGTCTAAAATAAAACATTCATTACAGCAAAACTAGGTGTCGTGGGGTCTGGGAAAGAGCTTTTACTTACAAGGTACCGCTGACCCAAAACGTTCCGGAGCAACTTGCAACAGACGCTGACGTAGTTCACGACGGCCAATATTCTTTGGTCCTTCGAGAAAACATTGTAACTGACGTAAATATCATGTTAAATTTTCCACTAAAATTTTTACATTAGTTTTTCTTTGATATTATACCATATTTCAGTAAAACAAGAACATAGTGCTTAAGTAGTGAAACATATCCTACCAATAAGAACAATCGGACGCTTCTGATTTCTGCTTTGACGAAACAAGCCAACTTGTTCGTAAATGAGAAGATTATCTTCGTCTAAATAAAAAATAGACGCTAAATGAGCTTTTTGGAAAAATGATTGAATTGATTGAGTTGATTTACCTTCACTGTCAGACAAGAGATTTTTGCCACGATTTTTACGAAAACAACCACATTTTTTCCCTGCAAGCAAACATTTTAATCCCAGTAATTAACATTGTAGCAATAATTTGTAAACAACAGAATTCAAACATACTTTTTCTCTTCTTGTTTTCTTTTCCCTTTTCTTTGGTCAATTTTACTCTTCTAAATAGATGAAAAAGAATCTTTTATAACAGCATTACTATATAATAGTACGAAGCACCGCCAACAAAGTTCATAAATGTTATATTGATAAATGTTAACTTTTTGTGTTCTACTCTTTATATCCCTTGTTGTAGTGTCTTTGTTATTTTGTCGGGATACAGAAGTTAAGCCCGAGTTTAAAAATACGTTTTTCTCAGTCATACCGCGAAATTGCACATGCCACGCGTGACAGGCACGCAGTCCTTGAACCAATCAAAATCTTTCTTGGATCGTTTCACGCGTTAGTGTCGCTCATGGCACATACGCAGAAATATATTGACCCATAATGTAATGCCCAATGTGAGATTGCATTGTTGTGAATTTCGTTATCCTTATTTACAACTATTATAATACGCAAACATAACGAAACACTATGTTTTCCAGTAGCCTTAGTGAATACCTGATAGGTGTCATGTTGTTTTTGTAATTGTTTTTCATACCAAGTGTAATAAGCAAATGATGATTTTACAATTAATGCTTCTTACTGTTTTTGTAAGTTTTCTCCAGGTATAAGACCAGCAAGTTCCTGACCAGATGTTCCCTCTCTCCATGCTTGCCACCAGTTTGTATCAGCTTGATTCACAACATGTAATACATCACGTTTTGAGAACGAAAGACCCAGTTCTTTGCACGGGACAAACTCGTCATCGTTCGGATCGTAATCGAACAACGCTCGGACGTGTAGTTCGGCGGACGAGTATATGCTTTGTGTTTTATTTGATGGTCTGATAAGAAACGTTAACGTGCCACTCATATCAGCGAGTAATTCACAAAATTCATCAACAGTTTTTCCCACCATGTTGACACCATTTATCTCGATAATTTCATCACCCTCACGAAGAACTCCTGGATATTAACATTATAAAGCAACATTAATATCTTATTTAATATTTTCTCATATTACTAATGCGGTGCAGCAAGATGATTCAACTGAATGCAATACGAATATTCTATGCACCATCTTATCAAGCATGAAACGAACAAGTGCCACTTTCTTCTGAATTTTCATACATTAAGTTTTATTCTTTTTTAAAATGAATATAAAAAGAATATTTTATGTCTCAATTACTCTTGAGGTAGCAACTAACCACTTTTCTGTGCAGCTCCCCCCTCGACAACTCTTCCAATAATAACCGCTGATCCCTCGTTGCGTACAGTTGCCCCAAGTGGATCATCCGTTTTCTCAATCTTAACAATTTTTACTTCTTCGTCGTCTTCCATTGACACCCGGTCAGCGGAAATACGACCGCGAGATATTCGAGAACTATCCGTACGATCAAAGCCAGCATTAACTCCGGTTTCCACGAAGTTTGGACGATCTATTTTAGCAGCTCTATCGTGAGCTATCAAGAGTTGCTAAAAGTGAAAACAATACAGAGAGACTGAATACAAATTAAAAGCACCTTTTGCCAGGACAACATTTATCCTGACAATACTCAAATTAAGAACATTTTTAAGAAAAAGATACAATTCATGAAAGGTTTTTAAGTGGAAAACAAACAAGATAAACAAATTTAATATCGCAATAATTATTAAAATAATCATTAAAATGAGACTGACCTTGAGATGAACGGAGTTCAAAATATCCGAAAGTTCATGAGCTTCACTTGATAAAACTCTTTGATTTGAGATGAAATTTGTAATCTAAATATCACAAAAAAAATACAATAAAATAAAACGAATTTTTTGTTTGAAAACACAGAAAAATTACAATACCTGCTCTCGTATTACGGAAGAATCATCGCGATGAGCCGAAACAAAATGAGGTCCACGTCCTTGGTTTTCTAATTCCATTATTTTACATTGTACCTGCACAAAAACCAAAACCAATCTGTGAGCTGAGAAGTAGAGCAAGAAACTGAGTGAAGTAGAAGAAAAGAGCGACATGGATGAAATAAGGAGGAATGGATGAGAAAGTGACAGGAAGTTGGGTTAAATTGATTTTAAATGGAGTGTGATTGTTAGCGTTTGTAGGAGAGTGTTGATGAATAATTGCGAACATAATAAGTGAAGAGAAATTGGAAACAACTTACAGATAACGCATTATTGAAATGTTTCGTTTGAAGGTACGATTCAAGGACTCTAAGATCAAGCATTAGTTCTTCGTCATCCACATTAACTGCATGTCGCTTTAACGTTGAAACAACGTCTAGACAATCTGAAACAAGCATTATTAAATATAACAAAGTTGTCAATGAGTTTGGAAGAAAAAATGAGATGAAAATGGGATGAAAATTTTTCGTAGTCAAAAAACAGGACAAAGTAAACATGTCCATCTTTCTACAAACTGACGATGAACGTATACAGTTCTTCAGAAATTTTCACTTTTTTCATACTACTTCATCACGTTGTTTCAATTTTAGTTGTGTTAAAATAATTGAATAAAAAAGCGCTGACATTGCAGAATTTCAGTCAGCTAAAAATTAAGACTGGAATGCAATGCTGTCTAAAATTGTAACGAATTAAAAGACTGACCATTAGAATCCATCACTGGTACACCAACATCATCAGAATCAACAGAACTGTAATGTGATAAACGAGTTGGACCGTGAACAGCTTCATTATATGAAGGGACAACAATTCCAAACTGACTACGGCGATAATCGTATCCATAATTATCAACACCAACAAATCCAGGATCAATGGTTCGTAAAGGTGAAGAGTTAGCATTGCCATTATTTGTAAGACTCAGAGTTGATCCCGACGTATACGAACTAGTGGCAGACATCTTAACATCTCCATTGCTCATGCCAGCGTTTACCAATCTTTCATTGTCGCCATTTGTTTGAAGACTTTTTCCACGAGTCTTTAACGACATGCTCGTGTTCTCTTCATTGAAATTGTTGTTACGATTACCGAGACGACCTCGTACTGGTAAACTGTTGGTATCGTCTAAATGAAGGGACAATACAGTAAAGCCGCGATACCGATTATTCGAGCTAGGAGTTCGAGAAAGCGAAGATGGTGTTAAATTTCGTATGGTATAGGAGAAATACATAAACTACCAAAGTTTTACAGTTCATTAACAATTGTGAAAAAATTTTACAATACGTGATTGAGGAAAATTGTTCATTATGAACCATTTAGGTATGCCACATTACATGCATAAATGGGTTGATTCCTTGTTGTTGTAATCCAATTTAAACTTTCGACTTACAAAAATATTCGAGGTTTACCATATAGTGTTCCCACATTGGATTTTCCCAGATGAACTGCAAGTTCGCGTTAACCGAAGTAAATTACTTCTAAGCTTACGAATAAGTCAAGGGAAAATTTAATTTAGCTACAGTATTTTGAATGAGTGAAGAGTTGAAATAAAGTGAGTTTGAGTTATTGTAGTTCTACTGAAGTTAGAACGGTAAATATCGTCATGCACATGAAAATTGTTTTTCTTACCTGACATTGGTAAATTTATTCTATTCAAAGTTAGTTTGATGGTACCAGTTTGCACACTCTATATTCAAAAAAATATCTTGAGACAAATTCATTATGATCTCACATCATCTATGAAAGAAAAATTTTACCTCAAGGATTGTTGTGACAATTTGAGCGTGGGTTAAAGACCGAATAGATTTATCATTGACTTTCTCAATTTCATCTCCAATACGAACACCCTTTCTTGCTGCTGGTAGACCTGCATAAAATAATCGTTGATACTGTAAGTAATAACTATTTATTGGCTTCGCTCTGTTGTCCAAATGATCGTAATGAAGTGAAAGTTCTGAGTACATAACTGTCGTTAGATGTCTTTATATGTCTGTACGTAGATGTTGATTGTCCAGGTTAGTAAAGTTCTAAGAAAGACTGTCGGTGTTGATGTTGACGTACGTTTTGACAATCTTAACAGGAGTTATCTTTAGTAACTGGACTGTGAAAATGACTGCCTGAAATAATCTCAAAACGTCAGTCAACACTAACACCAACAGTCCTTGTATGTTGATCAATCTATGTGTGCATAGATTTGTGTCATATTGATAGAATTTTCGTAGTTCACGTTGATAAAAATATTTCAAAAGGTCGTGTGGTGTTTGAACGAGCAATTACGAATAACTGACGTGACAAAGAAATGTTTTTGGGTTAACTGTTATAGTACTTGTATATACATTTGCTAAGGTGGGGGAAAGGCAAAATTTGGCAATCACCTCCGCCCTACAAGAAAAAAATTAAGACAGTAGTCTTTATTTATACAATTTGATTGTATTTACAGTTTGTGAACATGAACATATATGTACAAGCTTGTGGATTGATAGTTGTTACTGACCAAATTGAATACAAGATAATGACTGGATAGTGATAATACATATTTTACTAGTAATAAGTAAAGTTTAACATTAATAAAAACACAAGGAAGGAAGTAGTATTTTTTATGAATAGTACCTTTCCAAAAGCATTTTACAAAGGCTGCTCTGCATTACAGGTTATGATGTTGGGGTTTTACTAACCGCAATGGCATAAACTAAACCTGTGATGTCATATTCAGAAGTAAACCCAAAATCTAATATTTAGTTACATATCTGGAAAATATACCAGAGTCCATATACTATATCAGAGATTGAAATTTTAACGTATAACAGAATCCAGATTCAGCACATCCATAAAAATATTGAACATTACCTTCAACAATTTCATCAATTCTGGGCCGAAATCCTTCATCTTCACCTCCAACAACAGAGAACCCAAATCTCTTTTCATTTTCAGTCAGTTCCAACACCACAGCAAATTTAGTGACTTGATCCTACATTATCAAGATTCCATTTTCTCACTCTCTTCATTTTGACAATTTAGACTTACTACCTAACTTGTTCCTTACTTGAACATTTGGTAAATAGCCATTTGTATGTGAGCCCCTTCGCATAGGAAAATATTCATCTTTTCCTATGTGACCATTTTCATAGTGTGACATGGTATTTAGTGATATTTCATTTAACTATCAAATATATCAAAAAACATTTGTAAGATAAAATCAAACAAATTAATCAAAAATTAAAGTGTGTACACTACCTTTGATCCAGGTAAATCTACATCAATATCTCCTCTGTTGTTATACATTCCTTAAATATGCTGTTAATCCTCATTTAAAACTCATCACAACTAAAACAACATAATGTAATGAAAAATGGACAACAGAGTAAACATCAGACTAAAATACAGTAACAGATCTAGCGTGGGTCAGGATAATTTACCAAACATACATATGTTTAAAACTAGGAATTACTATCGCAAGGTAATTGCTGCCTCTTGCACCAAGTAGGCGAAAAGTGCCATTTCAATCATTTATCATCTGTTATAAGCAACACAATACCAAATGGACAAAAGCACAGTAATTTTTAAAACATACAATTGATATGATGAGCAACAAACTGCAAAATCTTGTATATTTCTTCACTTAATTTAGACAAAGTAATTGTATAACCTTTTATTTTCAAACTCTCAAATAACTAAGTAAATTTATAGAAGTAACAGCAAGAAGAAACAATGTATGTACGTATAATATGCAAATATTAAATTAGGAATAATTTAAAATACTTTAGAGCTAATCCTATAGGGATTATTTTAGTCTTAAACATTCTTTGCAAATTTCTACCAAACAGCAATGTTATAAAAGTAGTTTGAATTTAAAACAAGTCTCTACAATTTATTTTGACCTTCCCTAGATCTGCCACAGCCAAAATATTCCACATATTATCTGATACAAATGTTACATATCATGAAGCTTTGAGCATATGTATAACACAACCTCCAACAGAGTTAATTAATGCTGATTAATATAACACAGCATGGAAGATGACCTAATGTTTAAATGAAATTTATAACAAAATACATTAATTATAAAATACAGCTTTGACATGTCAATAAAGGGCCCTTTTAAATGTCAAACCTCTGACAAACTAAAATACTAAATGCATTAAAGACAAATGATAACTGGTTAAAAAACAGTCATTATATTTTGTTTATAGTTTGACACTAGAAAAATTTCATAAGGTATACAGCATTAAATGATATTACCTACCATTTATTGTAATAAATTTTTAATTTGATCTTCCTTGTGGTATCTTTCCCTCACTGCTTTAAGTAATTCATATTATAATAAACTAAACAAAAATATATGAAAATAAAACCAAATCTAAAACACCAAATAAAATATTTTACTGGAATCTATTGAAATATTTGAAACAAATCCAAGGTGCATTCCAGGTAACAATGTAATGAATATATACACCTATGTTTTTAAAAAATGCACCCCAAAATTGTAATTTCAAGTTGAAAAACTTTGAAATAGGCTACAGAGAATGCAGTCTGCAAACCTTTTAATTGATCGAACTTATTAAATAAGTCTTCCCACGAAAAACAAAAAATTTCAGACAGTAAATGAACGAAATTCCTTTTCACTGGACTACTACCACTCGTCAAGAGCACAAAAAATACTTCAAAACTTTCAATGTCTCTAAGTCCATTTATTTTACATCAAGACGATCGGATATTTTAATACTAAAACTTCAAATACATTCAAATGAACAGACAATATGCTATATATTGTTCACAGAATGAATACAATGTGATGAAATGTTTCGTACGGCTTGGAAGGTTACGCTGAACTTTAAAATATTTTACACACGATACTCTAACTATTCAATAAATGCCTGAATGCCAACATACAAAACAACAAAATTATACGACAACGTATGATGCAGAAAGTTGTCCTGATATGATCATATGGAAAAACGCATTTAGACTCTACTTACATACATATCACGGATTAAAGTTTAATACTTTAGCATTGAATCTAACTTCATTTGCTGACCTTGGATATTTCTGAGCTGTAGATGACTTTATAAAAGTTGATAATATATCCACAATGGGTTTAAAAGTGTCACAACAGGCTAAGAAATCGCTATAAATGTTAGCAATTATCGCAATTTAAAAAGTTCGACCACAAAACATAGATACTTGACTCAAGTATTTAACTGAGTTTGCGCAATTGTGTCATCTATCTCTCAAGCTGTTAGCATTCCAGACATGCAAGTCAATGAAATCATTTATTTCGTATGTCTTCCCTAAAGAAAACTTTTTTGCACGAGTAAAATCTGTGAAAGATCGAATTCATATTTATCTTCAGTTTTTTACTTTTCCAAAACATATATTTTGATATAAAGCAATAATAAAATTCAAATAAAAAACACAAACCTTGGAATGGTAAGAATGCAGTCAGGAGGGTGTGATTATGTTTTGCATTTTATTTTACATTAGCAAAGGGGACAATAGGAGGAGAGATTGAGAAAAACAATTTAAAGTTTCAGCCATATTTTTTGACAACGTCACGTTACAATTGGGCTATATTAAATTTTTTCGGACGTGAAGACTTGTAGTAATAGCTCTAGAAAATACAAAATAAAGAAGAGGCCTGTCACTAAAAATACAAAAAGCATTTAAAGCAAAAAGAGTTTCAAAAATTTCATTGCGTCTCAACGACCCACTGAACTCTACAACCTTCATTTCCATACCCAATGTCTTCTGTCGTCTTTATTATAGTTGTGCCGTATGAACGTAAAAACGAAGACTCCGAAATTAAACAGCGGGAAATTAAACAGCGGGAAATTAAACAGCGGGAAATTAAACAGCGGGGTAGCGATAAAAGTTTAAAAAGAAGTTTGACCGATACAATAAAAGAAGAGAAGACAACAGATAACGATGATGATGTAGTTAGTTTGGCTGAACAAATAAACTTACCTGAGGTAGAAAATAAATCCCCACTGTTGTAGTTTTCTGTTCTCGAATTTTAACTTATGATACCTTTTAATTGTTTTAAAGGTTTTGCGAAATGAACTGTTATCTTTGAAGGTTCATGGTGAATCTTGGAATATTTCCTATGATAAACAATTTTACCAAGCAAGTAGAATAACTGCATAGTGGTATTGTGTTATTGCAATCTTTCAGTTAATTTTTGCTTCGAAATTTGGATGGTCAGACTATTCTTTTTAAAAAACAACAATTTTTTCTTTCAAAACACCATTGTAGGTTTTGTTTATTGCAAAGGCTGGAAGAAGAGTGGAAGAGATTTTAGGGCGATTAACCCAAATTGGCATTGGAATACGTCCAAAGACCTCTATAAGGTATAAAAATAAGCTATTATTGAAGAAATTTTATCCTAACATATTTATATTTACAGTGTCACAACAACAACAGTCCATATAGAGATGGAAAACAATGAAATTTCTGGGTCAGGACTCGATGAAAATCAACAAAATCTGACTGATCCACATTTTGGGTGAGTTCAAACTTGAAACCTACATGTCCAGTATCATAAGTGATAGTCAATGAAGATATAAGTATCAAGTATAATTTGCTAAAAGGTTTTGTTGATAAATATATTTTAGAGAACAAAAATCAACCAAAGAAAAGTTCAAAGACTCCATTAAGTCAAGATTAACTGTCGAGCAAGTAAATCAGTTCTGACTTCACCTAATGTTCTTTCTGTTATTCTAACAAATGAGTGGGTTATTATTTTCAAGGTTGTTAAAGGAGTGACAGATCACGCAATGCTAACATTTGATTTTGTCATGTTTACTATCCTGGCAAGGTCAGATACTTAGGTTGATTTTTCTTGAGAGAACTAAGAAAATTTTTTTTAAATTTAATATTCATTAAATCATAATTTTTGGTAAATCATAAGTTTTATAGCTGCTGTTGGTTTGGTTGAGGACAATGCTGTTGTATTAGTTGCAAGTATGTTGGTGTCGCCCTTAATGGTACATTCCAAATATTTACTATATATTAACTCATCCTTTAAGTGTCTAAACAATTGATTACATTTAATATAGGGTCCAATTCTTGCTTTAACATTTGGTATTGTAATTAAAAAAGATAATTTGAGAAATATTGGGTTCAAAACGGAGATTTGTGGCCTGGCTATTTCTGTGGTTGTTGGTAATGTAGTTGTTTGATTTCCCATTGATGAAGAATAAAACATTCAATGGTGTAATAACTAAGATCTTTTGAAATGTAGGTTTACTGTTTGGGTTCATTGCTGGAACATTTGGAAGGTCTGGAGCATCATGGGATAGTGTTAAAGGAATCTGGCCTACAAATGAAATGTCCAGCAGGTGCAGAGAAGTTAACAATGAGCAGAAAGAAAATTGTGATCAAAATGAAAATATCTATTCTTAAAATTCTAGAGGCATGACTCGTAGTCTTTGGATTGGTGTATTGATTGCACTACCATCTGGTGCAGGTGTTGCATTGTCTGTTCTTGGTGGAAATGCTGGATCTCTTGTCGGGGTTGCAATATCAGCATCTCTTCTTCCTCCAGCTGTAAACTCTGTAAGCTCTTATTCTTCTGCTAACTTTTTGTTGAAGTAGAAATTCAAATCATAAAAATATTGTCACTATTCAGGGCATGTTGTGGGCATATGCTATTATCGCTGCCATTAATCCTCCAGAAACTTTATCATCCTTCAATAACTCAAAAGTAAGACACAACAAATTTTAACAATGCAAGCTGTTGCCATCCTTAATTAATTCTTTTTAAATGCTTATTTAGTTTAAATGTCCTTTGTTTAAAGACAACAGTTATGTACCTACGTATAGCTGTAATATGGCTGAAGAGGCTGCTATTATGGCGATCATAAGTTTAGTCTTGACTATTATCAACATCATCTGTATTGTTATAACTGCTATACTAGTTCTTAAGGTACATGGAATCATAAACTAGTCATAATTTTTCGTTTTTTTAAAGGAAATATTTTCGTTACCTTAACGTAGGTGAAGGAAGTTGTACCACAAGCATCCAGTTCCAATGCAACTCAATCATTTTGGACTAAAGATATCAAAGTAATTAGTTTTCAACAATGTTATTGTACTGTTTGTTTCGTTGATATTTTCCCCTCTTTTTTTAGGTTGCAAGAGAAGCATATAAAACTTTTAAAGGCAATGAAGCATTAAACCTCCTAAATGAATGGAAAGTAAGAATTTGTGGAAAGTAAGTGTTCTTAAGAATTAAGTCTTCCGTTATACTTTTAATTGCAGAAAGTTCGTGATGAAAAAAGTAGATCGTCATCAGAGCTTTTGGTAAGTTCACGCAAAGTAGTCAGTGTTTTTTATATATTGGCATTTGACAAAAATCCTCTGTATTTTTTTGTTCTAGAGACTTGGTAACGAGGAATCTGACAATGACAAAGTTTCTTTAATGCATTCTTCGGCTAAACCTAAAGCAAGTTCACTTACAATAGTTACTGTTTTATAAATATTTGATTGGACTAATTTTTTTTGTAATTTTTTGTTTTAGAAAGTTTTCGACGAAGAATCTGATCCAGAAAATAATTCCTCAAAAGATTCTTTAAGATTAAATTGGGAATTAGTAGAAATGATAAAGGTATTTTTCTTCATGGAGGTTGTGTTATGAACTTTCATCTTTATTTACTTTTATTTAACTTAACCAGGACGTTGAGGAAAATCACGAATATCAATCTGTTGTAAATCGATCTCCTACAGGAGGGAAGAACGCTTATGTAAGTTGTTGAACTGTAAGAAGTTGTAATTGATTTTTATTCTGTTTTCTTATAGTTGTAATTTATAGTTTATTTACCGTAATAAAAGTCTGCGAACAGACATAATTTTTCAAAAAGTTCTTTTTGCGTTGACAGAACACGTCAAGACAGTTGGCAAGGATTTTGTCTCAGGATGAAAACCAGCAACCTGACTGCACAGAACATTTACGAACTCTACATACGTTCTATCGACAACAAAGTAAAGAAAGAAGTCAACAACCTCGCGTTGCTGAGATATTTAATAAACAGGAAACAAAGCAGAAGAAAAACGTGAGAGAATTTCACGTTGTTGATACAGAGAATCCGCACCATACATCTGTAGTTCTTGTTCAGGCTCCCAGTGAGAGTTCAGATTCGTACTCTGTTAAAAAGGAAAGTGGAGTTTAAGGTACAGAGAATGGAGCTTCACCTAAATTATTATTTATAGAACATAAACATACTAGATCGTGTTCTTGTAAGGATATTTAAAACGACCATCAAGAGTCAAGTTCAATTTTCACTAAATAAAAATTTTGAGTAATTATGGAAGTTGTAATATGAGCAATAGATATGGCCGCTTTTAGAGGAGAAAGCAAGTCTTCTGCTCTAAAAACGAAAAGAGAGGATGTGGATGATGAAGAAAACTACGAAAAGAAAGATGATCAGAGGAAAGTAACATGACATTGTATACTCCGAACACTTTGTGAATTCGTAAAGCAACGTTAACGCTTTGATATAAAATACCAGAGAAGAAGAAAAATAAACTCTTTTCTTTGACAAATATCTTCTCAAAAAGAAATGAAAAAGAAGTACTAAATTATCTAGCGTGGATGAAAAGCAGTTTGGATTAAAACAGAACACCTACTAAACCTTCAATGTACTAAAAGCGAACAAGCTTGATAGGGTCTTTCATTGATCCACTAAAATTGCTATCCATTGACTGACATGATTTGATAGAAAAAGCCACCCGATGACTTTCACAGAAACAAGCTTTATCACATTACTCAGACAAAACAAGAGACAAAAGTTTTTAGCTGGAAAAATATTAGATTAAACTGGAAAATGCAATTTCACAGAGACATCCCAAACTATTGTAGCATATATACATTCAAGGTTTGGGATATCTCTGTAAAATGTTTGGAATGTCTCTCTGTTGGATTACTACTTGTTGTTGTAATCCAATTTAAACTTTCGACTTACAAAAATATTTGAGGTTTACCTTATAGTGTTCCCACATTGGAGTTTCCCAGATGAAATGCAAGTTCGCGTTAACCGAAGTAAATTACTTCTAAGCTTACGAATAAATCAAGGGAAAATTTAATTTAGCTGCAGTATTTTAAGTGAGTGAAGAGTTATTGTAGTTCTACTGAAGTTAGAACGGTAAATATCGTCATGCACATAAAAATTGTTTTTCTCACCTGACATTGGTAAATTTATTCTATTCAAAGTTAGTTTGATGGTACCAGTTTGCACACTCTATATTCAAAAAATATCTTGAGACAAATTCATTATGATCTCATATCCATCTATGAAAGAAAAATTTTACCTCAAGGATTGTTGTGACAATTTGAGCGTGGGTTAAAGACCGAATAGACTTATCATTGACTTTCTCAATTTCATCTCCAATACGAACACCCTTTCTTGCTGCTGGTAGACCTGCATAAAGTGATCGTTGATATTGTAAGTAATGACGATTTATTAGCTTTGCTCTGCTCTCCAAATGATCGTATTGAAGTGAAAGTTCTGAGTACATAACTGTCGTTAGATGTCTTTATATGTCTGTACGTAGATGTTGATTGTCCAGGTTAGTAAAGTTCTAAGAAAGACTGTTGGTTTTGATGTTGACGTACGTTTTGACAATCTTAACAGGAGTTATCTTTAGTAACTGGACTGTGAAAATGACTGCCTGAGATAATCTCAAAACGTCAGTCAACACTAACACCAACAGTTCTTGTATGTTGATCAATCTATGTGTGCATAGATTTGTGTCATATTGATAGAATTTTCGTAGTTCACGTTGATAAAAATATTTCAAAAGGTCGTGTGGTGTTTGAACGAGCAATCACGAATAACTGACAAAACAAAGAAACGTTTTTGGGTTTACTGTTATATTACTTGTATATACATTTGTTCAGGTGGGGAGAAGGCAAAATTTGGCAATCACCTCCGCCCTCCAAGAAAAAAATTAAGACAGTAGTCTTTATTTGTACAATTTGATTGTATTTATGGTTTGTGAACATGAACATATATGAACAAGCTTGTGGATTGATAGTTGTTACTGACCAAATTGAATACAAGATAATGACTGGATAGTGATAATACATATTTTACTAGTAATTAGTAACGTTTAATATTAATAAAAACACGAGGAAGGAAGGAGTCTTTCTTATGAATAATACCTTTCCCAAAGCATTTTACGAAGGCTGCTCTGCATTACAGGTTACTATGTGGGGTTTTTACTCCCCGCAATGGTACAAACATAACCTGTGATGTCATATTCAGAAGTAAACACAAACTCTAATATTTAGTTACATATCTGGAAAATATACTGGAATCCATATACTATATCAGAGATTGGAATTTTAATGTATAACAGAATCCCGATTCAGCACATTCATGAAAATAATGAACATTACCTTCAACGATTTCATCAATTCTGGGCCGAAATCCTTCATCTTCACCTCCAACAACAGAGAACCTAAATCTCTTTTCATTTTCAGTCAGTTCCAACACCACAGCAAATTTAGTGACTTGTTCCTACATTATCAAGATTTCATTTTCTCACTCTCTTCCTTTTGACAATTTAGACTCACTATCTAGCTTGTTCCTTACTTGAACATTTGGTAAATAACTATTTGCAAGTGAACCCCCCTTGGCATAGGAAAATATTATCTTTTACTATGTGGCCAATTTCATAGTGTGACACAGAATTTAGTGATGTTTCATTTAACTATAAAATATATCAATAACATTTGTAAGATAAAATCAAACAATTAACCAAAATTAAAGTGTGTACACTACCTTTGATCCAGGTAAATCTACATCAATATCTCCTCCGTTGTTATACACTCATTAAATATGCTGTTAATCCTCATTTAAAACTCATCACAACTAAAACAACATAATGTAATGAAAAATGGACAACAGAGTAAACATCAGACTAAAATACAGTAACAGATCTAGCGTGGGTCAGGATAATTTACCAAACATACATATGTTTAAAACTAGGAGTTACTATCGCAAGGTAATTGCTGCCTCTTGCACCAAGTAGGCGAAAAGTGCCATTTCAATCATTTATCATCTGTTATAAGCAACACAATATGAAATAGACAAAAGCACAGTAATTTTTAAAACATACAATTGATATGATAAGCAACAAATTGCAATATCTTGTATATTTTGTCACTTAATTTAGACAAAGTAATTTTATCACCTTTTATTTTCAAACTCTCATATAACTAAGTCAATTTATAAAAGTAACAGCAAGAAGTAACACTGTATGTATGTATAATATGCAAATATTAAATTAGGAATAATTTAAAATACTTTAGAGCTAATCCTATAGGGATTATTTTAGTCTTAAACATTCTTTGCAAATTTCTACCAAACAGCAATGTTATAAAAGTAGTTTGAATTTAAAACAAGTCTCTACAATTTATTTTGACCTTCCCTAGATCTGCCACAGCCAAAATATTCCACATATTATCTGACACATATGTTACACATTATGAAGCTTTGAGCATATGTATAATACAACCTCCAACAGAATTAATTAATGCTGATTAATATACACAGCATGGAAAATGACCTAATGTTTAAATGAAATTTATAACAAAATACATTAATTATAAAATACAGCTTTGACTTGTCAATAAAAGGCCCTTTTAAATGTCAAACCTCTGACAAACTAAAATACTAAATGCATTAAAGACAAATGATAACTGGATAAAAAACAGTCATTATATTTTGTTTATAGTTTGACACTAGAAAAATTTCATAACGTATACAGCATCGAAAATGATATTACCTACCATTTATTGTAATAAATTTTAAATTTGATCTTCCTTGCGGTATCTTTCCCTCGCTGCTTTAAGTAATTCATATTATAATAAAGTAAACAAAAATATATAAAAATAAAACCAAATTGAAAACACCATATAAAATGTTTTACTGGAATCTATTGAAATCCAAGGTGCATTCCAGGTAAAAATGTAATGAATATATACACCTATGTTTTTAAAAAATGCACCACAAAACTGTAATTTCCAAGTTGAAAAACTTTGAAATAGGCTACAGAGAATGCACTCTGCAAACCTTTTAATTAATCGAACTTATTAAATAAGCCTGCCAACGAAAAACAAAAAATTTCAGACAGTAAATGAACGACATTCCTTTTCACTGAACTACTACCACTCGTCGAGAGCACAAAAAATATTTCAAAACTTTCAATGTCTCTGAGTCCATTTATTTTACATCATGACGATCGGATATTTTAATACTAAAACTTCAAATACATTCAAATGAACAGACAATATGCTATATATTGTTCACAGAATGAATACAATGTGATGAGATGTTTCGTACGGCTTAGAAGGTTACGCTGAACTTTAAAATATTTTACACACGATACTCTAACTATTCAATAAGCGCCTGAATGCCAACATACAAAACAAAAAAATTATACGACAACGTATGATGCAGAAAGTTGCCTTGATATGATCATATGGAAAAACGCATCTAGACACTACGTACATACATATCATGGATCAAAGTTAAATATTTTGGCATTGAATCTAACTTCATTTGCTGACCTTGGATATTTCTGAACTGTAGATGACTTTATAAGAGTTGATAATATAACCACAATGGGTTTAAAAGTGTCACAACAGGCTAAGAAATCGCTATAAATGTTAGCAATTATCGCAATTTAAAAAGTTCGACCACAAAACATAGATACTTGACTCAAGTATTTAAATGAGTTTGCGCAGTTGTGTCATCTATCTCTCAAGCTGCTAGCATTCCAGACATGCAAGTCAATGAAATCATTTATTTCGTATGTCTTCCCTAAAGAAAACTTTTTTGCACGAGTAAAATCTGTGAAAGATCGAATTCATATTTATCTTCAGTTTTTTACTTTTCCAAAACATATATTTTAACATAAAGCAACGATAAAATTCAAATAAGAAACACAAACCTCGGAATGGTAGGAATGCATTTTATTGTTACATTAGCAAAAGAGGCCACAACAAGAGGGAAGAAACAATTCAAAGTATCAACCATATTTTTTGACAACACACTTTACAATTGGGCTACATCAAACTTTGTCAGACTTGAAGACTTGAAGTAATAGCTCCAGGAAATACAAAATTAAGAAGAGGCCTGTCACCAGAAAATGCAAAAAGCATTTAAAACAAAAAGGGTTTCAAAAATTTGATTGCGTGTGAACGACCCACTGAACTCTACGACCTTCATAAGAATTTCCATACCCAATGGCTTCTGTCGTCTTTATTATAGTTGTGCCCTATGAACGTAAAAACGAAGACTCCGAA